CCTGCATCCTGAGCTCCTCCCTCCTCCTTCCAAGAGGCAGGCTGGTGCTGTTCTCTCTGCAGTTGGAGAGTGAAAGAGAAGGCGTCACTGCCTGACACTGTTGTCTCTCCTCCTGAGGGGCTGCAGCTGTGACCTGCAGGTGTGAGGACTCCCCAATCTGCTGCAGTCCCTAGGACCCAAAATCACAGGCAGCGAGGCAGATGGGGGTGGGGAAGGAGGGTGTGACGGTTCACACCCAGAAAGAACTGAAAGCTGACACAGTGGAAAACAAAGTATTCAAAGAGCTGTGGTTTCACATCGTAGCTGAGACACGGTGCTCAAGGTCGAGTTTTGTCACCAGCTTGCGGCTTGCTCTGGGTGCCCCTGTCTTAGAGTGAGTGATGTACCCTTGCTGGAGGAGGTAGGGAGGGGGGAACAAGTGTTTATTTAGGATGTGCCTGGGAGGTAGAGCCTCCCGGGGGTGGAGAAGGAACAGAAACTTCAAACTTTGCACAGGTCTGCAGTGCCGGGTGTGTTGTGTTGTGTTGGAGCTGTGGAGCTGTGTCCCCTGAACTGGGCCCCATTGGGTGGATGTTGTGTTTTCAGGCTTGGCCACTAGGGGTCAGGGCCACCCTCCGCTAAGCCTGGTTTTAGAGTAAAGAGGCAGAAAGGCCACACATACCTCCTGGATACTGCCCTCCCCTCTCCTCTCCCCTTCCCAGTCGGCACACTGCTTTGTAAAACTCACCTCTCTTCACTTCCTTCTCCTGTTTAGAGACCCTTGCTGGTTCCTTCTGCTGAATCAGTTCTGACTCCTCCCAGGGGTGGTTCCTGTTCATCAGGTGTCCCCCTTCAGCAGGAGACCTGTTCCTAGTGCCCCGGAACCCAGTTGGGAGGGCCTGTGGGAGGCTGCTGATCAGCTGCTGCCCATCCAGGATGTGGTGGAAGTGCGGAGTTCTAGCATCCCTGCCTGAAGCTCTTCCCTCTGGACACGGGGATTGGCCACTGCCTAGAACCACATGGCTGGACCACATGGCTGTTCTAGGGGAAGGTTCCCCTCCTCTGTGGTCCTTCCTCTGCCCCCACTTTTCAGTCATGCACACTTGCTCCTGTGTCTTTGTCTGTTCTTTTCTCCTGCATGCCAGTTCCCAGGGGTCACCTTCACCTTGCGGCCGGCATCCAGCAGTCAGCCTGGTGTTTATATACACATCTGATCTGAAGGGCCTAGACCTCCTTGAACTGGCCACAGCAGTCCACCCCTTCCTGCCTCCCTCCCTTCCACCTGGAGCATCCCGTGCCCACCAATGTCATGTTTAGAAAACAGTCTTGGTCTCTAAGATCTGCCGCCTTTGTGTTTTTTTATCTGCTGTTGAACTCACAGGTTATCTCCCTTGTGGCTTGGCAGGGTTTTATTCTTATTCACCGCCAGAGTTCCTCATGTTGTCACCATTTCCCCCTACCAACTGGCCTGTCTCCTGGATCATCATGAGGCTGACCCTCCATATGGGGCCAACATGTGAGCATGCTGTTTGCACTGGTCACATTGCACATGATCATGGTGGGGGCTGCAAGTCCACATACTTCTACAGAGAGAAGAGTGGTTAGCTTTGAGTTGGGGCTAGGAAACAGGTGTGAGGCTGGGTTTAGGATCTCTGCTAGCCGCTGCACCTGTTTCTGCACCCCAAGGGTGGTGAAGAACAGGGATGAATTGCTGCCCTGGCCTGCTGCTTCCTGGGCTCCTTCTCCCCTTCCTCCTTCACCATTCTCCCCTCCTCCACCATTTTCACCCATATTATTATAGTATAGTCCTTCAGCAACTGTCACAGTCCAACATTCTGATATTTGAGTGTATTATGGCATTGCAGGTATTGGCAATAGTGGAAAATCTAGTATATTGTCAAGGCACAAAAAAGACAAAGAAACCATCTGCTCCAGAAAAAGATGTTTGGGCCCAGCACGGTACTTAGTAGCTAAATTTTTGCCTTGCATGAAGAAACTCCTGGCTCCCAGCTTCAGATTGGCTCAGCTCCAGCCATTGTCGTCACTTGGGAAGTGAACCAACAGACAGAAGAGCTTTCTGTTTCTCCTTCTCTCTGTAAACCTGGTTTTTCAATAAAAATCTTTAACAAGATTTTTATTTGAAAGGTAAAGTTACTGAGAGAGAAGGAGAGGCAAAGAGATCTTCCAGCTGCTGATCCATTCCCAAATGGCCACAACAGCTGGAGCTAGGCTAGTTTGAAACCACAAGCCTGATGCGTCTTCCAGGCCTCCCAAGTGGGTGCAGGGACCCAAAGACTTGAGCCATCCTCTGTTGCTTTCCCAGGCACATTAGCAGGCAGTGGATAGGAAGTGAGGCAGCCAGAACTTGAACTGGTGTCTCTATGGGATGCCAGCATTGGCCCCCAGATGATTTCTTAGTGTACTTCCAGCCTCGGTGATAGGTGGGGAGACGAGTTATTTTACTTTTTTTGTTTTGTTTTTAATAAAGACCTTGGTTATTTTAGTAAACTAACACAAACATATCCGGAAACTCAGCTCTCCTCGCCTGCTGCGCCCCACCTCCTTGGGATCATCACCACTGCAGAACTTCTCTGCATGTCTGTTCTTCTGAGCCTTTTTGTTTAGGTTTGGCTTTGTTTATCTCCTGTTTAAGTCCAGAGAAGCACTCAGGCAGCCTGAAGCCTGTGGGCGACTCCAAGTGGCCTTGGTGGAAGGAGTCAGGAGAAGAGGGGCGCATCCGTGAGTTGTTGCCTCCCTCTGTGTCCCAGTGTGTGAGCTGCAGGCGCTGTAGCTAGTATCCACTGGGTGCACCCAGGGGATGTGACACATAGCAGCCACAGCTGCCCAGGTTGCTGAGAGGTGTTTGTTGGGAACTGCAGAGCATTCGAGGCCAGAGAGAAGCCAGGGCAAGAGTGGCCACAAGGGGAACTAATCCAGATACTGCTCTCCTCTCCTAACTGCTACCTTAGGCCTAGGCGTTGAGGTTGAGAGCCAGGGACTGTGCAGTGCTGTACCAGGGCCCAGTCAATGTGAGATTCGGGCCTGGCTAATGTAGAAGCCCCAAACACTGTCACTCAGGGTGAGGGCTATCTGTTGTGGCTCACATGGGACCCAAGGCAGTAGGCACTGGCCTTCTCAAGGAGGACATGCCCCTGCTGGGCCAGTGCTTCCTGAACAGATGACATACGGGACTGGGCCCACCCCCAGCTGCCCACCCACCCAGTGGGCAGTGGATGAACAGGGTCTCATCTGGCCCCAGTCAAGGGCATAGCCTGTCCCATATGCCTTGAGACATTGGTCCAGGCCTTTGTCTCATGGGGTGGGGCTTCATAACCCTAAGAACCCAAGGGGAGTGAAACGAGGCTTCACCTGACTTAGCTCCTGCTGGGCACAAGTACAGTGGTCAGGTTAGTTGTTGAGACAGAGAAGATGGTGGACAGGGATTTTAGGAAGTCAGGCCAAGTGGTGAAAGCCTGGGCTGAGCAGCAGGTGTGCTAGACTACGCATGTCACAATGCCCCTGAGCTTCTGCTGGCCAGCTGCACCCTGGCTCTGCAGGGAGGTAATCAAGACCAACAGCGTTGTCATAGGCTACCCCTCTCACTCTCTTCCTGGCTGCCTGGAACTTCAGCTCAGTGGGCATGGTAGGCATCCCCTGGAAAGGGCCCCTGGTCCTGCAGCAGGGCCACCTCATCATGATCGGCTTGCTCATGGTCTTGGTGGTCACCTACCTGGGTTACTCTCACTGCCATCTCTGTATATGGTGGCCTGGTGGGGACAGAGAATTGTGTGCCAGGACAAGTGCTTGTGCTGCAAGGATGCAGGTGTTAAGGTGGGAGTGGGAGTGACCTCCCTTCGGAGGGACTCACCTGTTCTTTGCGGCGTCCCACAAGGAAAATGACTCCTCGTTTTGTCTAGTGCATGTGTCGTCTGGCCCCTCTCTCTGCTCCTGTTTGGGAATCACATCAAGGACTTCCCTGTCTTTATGGGCAGCTGTTTGACACACTGCTTCAGATACTGCTTTGGATGTTTGCCAAACGAAGGGTGTGGTTCAGGTCCCAGCCTTGCTGCTGGTTGCAGGTTGCTGCTCATCACAGCCTGGAGGGAGCAGGCAATGCCTCTATGAGTTTGCTCTCTGCCACCCATCCGGGAGGCCTAAGCCCACTTCCTGGCTCCTAGTTCCTGGCTAGGGTTACTGCAGCTCTTTGGGGTGTAAACCAGAGAATGAGAACGTAAGGTCTTTCATGAGTTTGATCTCCATCTCTTTCTCCCACCTCGCTGCCCCGCCCTTCCATTCTGTGACTCTTTTGAATAATTTCTTTTTTTAAAAAAAGTGACAATTTTCTAAAAACAATCACATTCAAATGGGATCCTTTTGTGATACAAGATACTATACACAATGGTAATCTTGGGACAGACTGAGGATCAAAAGCATGAATTGGTGTTAACTGTGATTCTGAAGGCTGTACTGAAGTCTTGTTCTCACTTGTAGCATTGGTGAACACTACACGCTACAGTAATCAGAGCTAGTAATGTCCTTACTGATTTACTCTCAAATGGCTTGAGGGGAAAATTCTTTGCACTAAAAATGAACTCTTCCCTAATTTGAGGATTGTTTCTAAAAATTCAATCAAAAATAAAGGACGAAAAGCTTAGGCAGTTGGACACTTGAGTATGGTAGTGATTCTGGCTTTCAATTGTGAAACCTGCTCAGAAGTCACTTACATATCCCTCTCTAGGAATGTTTTAAAGCACCAGGTAGGGCAACGTGTTGGACACGGAGGTCCTGATGTTGTTTGGGTGGCCTGCCATCCTAATCGGACCACGTGATGTTGAGTCCCACTTCTTTTCCAGAAAAGAGACCTGGATTGAGTTCTTGGCTCCTGGCTTTGGCCCAGCTGAGGCACAGTGCTTGCAGGCAGGTAGAGAATAATTGCAGCAGAAGGAGAAAAAACACACATTCTCTCTCTCTCTCATTGTCTACATTCCAAATAAAACAACAAAAAAATAAAATTACATGTGTGTATTATCATACACAACAGTTTAATGAAATTTTGACATCATGTTTAGAATTGAGCATCATTAAAATGTTATATGAGCAGTCAAGCAAGGGCAATTCTTATTTGCAAATGCTTGTAATGTTTTGAAAGCAAAACAAGCTCTTCACTTAGAGATGACTTTTCCTTTAAGTGTCTTCAGAGGAGCCTGGATGGTCTGGTTCCATCTCCAGCAACTGCTATGGAAAAAAAAAAAAAGAATTCTGTGCTTTATCCCAAATATGTCACAGTTAGCTAAGCCTAAATGTAAGAAAGTTGAGAACAATATCACTGCTCAGAAGAAAAATGTGTAACTGTGATACAAATTATATTATTTATAGCTTGCCCATAGTTGTTTATGGGATTATCATTCTGGGTTAAGTATCAGAGCTTCTGATTTTCTCATTCTTCATCTGTTTATTCTGCAAACATATACTAAGCAGTAAAATTATAACATGAAGATGGTACAGTCAATCCATGAATAATCATAAACTACAGTCCAATAAAACAGATGAACAGGGGATTTGCAGGCAGAGTTCTAGACACAATGCCAGGAGTAAAACAATGCAGTGCTGGAATACACAGAGGGAGCATGTCTCCACGTTTCATGTCAGTATTGTAGGATTTCTGGAGGAGGTGTCATGTAAGTTGATATTTACAAGACAGTAAAGAGAACAGACGTGTAATGTCTGATAGAAACATAATTAGTATGTTGACAAATAGGTGATGTTTTCTTAATACAAAGATTAAACAAGTCCTGTGCAAAACTCTGCCATTTAGTAAAATTCAATGATGATCTCTCTTTTTTTACTTAAATTGATCTTTTCATTCTCTACTTTTAGAAAATTAAAATTGTGAAGTGTGTTCGTCGTAGGTGTTGAGTACAGCTGTCTGGCCACCTCTTGGGACGCCCACGATCTGTAAACTCCTGGTTTGAGTCCTCTTGGACTTTGGATTTAGCTTCTGGATAATTTATACTCTGACAGGAGATGATGACCCAAAGATGAGGGTCTTTGCCACCCACATGGGATGTGGAGTTCTGAGTCCTAATTATGGCTAGACACAGACAGAATAGTCTTCCATTTGCTTTTAGTAATCTCTGTGACTAAATGTATCATGAACTGGCAAACCAGGGTCATATATGGAATATGTGGACACAATGGAGCCACTACATTAAGTTTCAAATAACCTAATTTTCAATATCTAGAAGTACTAAACTATAAATACTCCTTTTCCCATTATCTGGAAAATCAAGGGAAAATATTTCCTTAAAAAATATTCTATCATGTCTGCATTTACACTCTATCTTGTAAAAAGATTTATTATATGATTTTCTGGTAAGAACTAGTGATAATATTCTATATTTATACCATATTTAACAACTGACAGAAACATTTAATGTTCATTTTCACCTTGAATCCAACAGATCATTTTGTTAGTCCAAAGCACTTAGGCTTTTCTCATGTGTTATAGAAAAATAAAGGTTAATATAATGATATATGAAAGAACATCCTTCTCAAGTATTGCAGAAAAATAAAGGTTAATATAATGAGATATGAAAAAACACCCAGCTGGGCTTGTAATCCATGTGCTGAAACAGTCATTTAATTTTATCTCTTTTAAACTATGCAGCTCCAATGCTGTCTAAGAAACTTTTGATCTGCTTTTCTATGATTTATTAGGGTATGAGTCAGGTGAAAAACCAAGGTTGAGTGTTTAGTTAACAAGGGATATGATGCTTCTCTCAATGAAAGAGATCACAGAAAAATAATTCAAACTGTAAGTCAGTGTACACCAACTGAGATAAACTCTTTAAAGGTCAATACAGAATGAACAGCTAGTTGATCTAAGTATCCTTTTCCCAAAACAAGTTTTTAAAATATATATATATATAATTTCCCATCTAATCTGAACATGGTCAAGAATTTTATGTGTTAAAGTTGGGTCAAATGGTTTCACCAGCTTTACAACTGATACAATTTGTCATAGCTATGAGCTTTTTTTTTTCTTTTTAACATAATTGGACATCACAGGATTAGAATGGAAGGTTCCTTTATTACGTCTCCAGTGGAGATCGGGGCAGTATTTAGCCTTGCCCAGGATTTTGGGTAGGAAGAATATGACCTGTACTGCTTGATGCTAGTGTTATCTTTTTTTTTTTAAGTTTTATTTATTTTTATTGGAAAGCCATATAGACAGAGGGGAACAGAGACAGGGAGGAAGATCTTCCATCTGCTGATTCACTCCCAAAGTGGCTGCAACAGCCAGAGCTGCGCCGATCCTAAGCCAGGAGCCTGGAGCCTCCTCCAGGATTCCCACACAGATGTAGTGTCCCAAGGCTTTGGACCATCCTCGGCTGCTTTACAGGCAGGGAGCTAGATAGGAAGTGGGGCCACTGGGATTAGAACCAGTGCTCATATGGGATCCTGGCATGTTCAAGGCAAGGATCTTAGCCGCTAGGCACCACGTTGGGCCCGATGTTATTATCTTTTAAAGACTTGATACCATTGCCATCTTAAACATTAAGCATTCAAGCAATGGTAGCATAAACATAAGTGACACTTTATACACTCGAATTAGCTTTTTAAAACTGACCATTGTCTAACAATAGAAACAGCTTTAAAAATGGAAATAAAGTGCTATAAAGAAGACAATAAATTCGTATGTATTACTATAAGTAAAATGAAAAAAAAACTTATTGCTATAAGGGTTTTTGTTTTTTTAATTCATGGAAAGCACTTATCCTGGATTCCTTGGAATAATAAACATCCACCAGTGATGAAGTGTCAGAATGGCAGTCATTCATGCTTGATTAAGGCTAGAAAGCTTGGGATGGTATAAGGAAACCTAAAATATACTAAGAGGCCATCTGGAGTCAGATAATAAACCAATATATCTCAAAGCATATATTTGGTTATGTGGCAGACAGCTTCATTGTCTAAAGCAAATTTAAATGCACTTCTTCAAGAAATTTAGTATGTGCCTGTTTGGTCACATTCATTAAGTCAGTAGAAAGTTGCAAATTTATTCCCTTTGAATATTAGTAACTATAATTATGACACTTAACATATATAAGTTAGGCAAATTCAGTATTGCAATGAAATAAACATAATGTGAAAATTGAAACACAGAGGGAAAAAAAAATTTCTCACCATGTTTGAAGGGCTCATTGTGCTGCGATATGATGGCTGCCACCTTGGGTAAGGACTCTGCGTGTTCTCTTGTGCTCTGACGTGGGCACTGCGCAGTGAACTGTAGCTAGAATCTCCAATGTTAGATGACTGTGAAAGTTTCATGGGGAAAGTAGTGGGCAAGTAACTCTTCTGTTGTTCCTCTAAAAAGTGTTCTGTTTTCCCCACTGCTAAATTCTCATAAGTACTGTGAAGATCAAAAAAAAAAAAAAAACTCAATTTTTTATGAGCCTAAATGGCTTGTATTTTTTTTTAAGTGCTATAAGGGTAAATAAACTGTCCTTTGGGTGGTATTTGGACATTGAATGTATGTCAGAGCATTCCTTCTGCATGTAAACCAAGTTTTGGGTTGTTCTCAGGATGTATATTTCCAGGGCAACTATTCATTAACAAATGATCCTAACAAAGGAATAGGGACAGAACCGGTTACTGATGTACAGCCAATCAGGTAGGATTTGCTGCCTTCTGGAAAAAAACTTTAAAGATTTGAGGAAGCCATTAGAAATATGTGTATTTAAGCAGTGCTTATGTGAAATAAGGAATATGACTTTCTTGACTAATACCCATATCACAAGCCACACATATATCAAAACATCATGTTGTACCCCTTGCATATATATATATGATAAAAATGTTTAGAAAGCTATAAATATTTCTATTTAGGAAAGCTGTTTGGAGATTTAAACCAATCCCCTCCCAAAGAAACGTCCAAAGAGTTCATGTCAGCACTGCTCTGTGCCTCTCACACCTTCGGCCCATTTCCCGAGAGCGGTGGCACGGCAGGAACTGAGGGATGATTCCTTGCAGCAGCCTCCGTGGAAACCTGCAAGAGCCCGGCTGAGGACAATTCCTTCCGAGCTCCGTCAGGAAGGCGTCACAGGTAAGAAGTGCCCTTCCTGCCATCCACACACTCCCTGGGGATGAATGAGGTCTTAGTTCTACCCACTCTAGAAACCAACTTGCCTTTCTCTCTCTTCATCATTCCCTATTTCACAAAGAGGAAAAACAAGATGACTGGTCTCAAGCCACCCTCTAGTGGTTACCCCAGTGATCCCAAGGCAAGTACCAGACTATGCCAAGTGCTGGTGGCAGCAGTAGTAGCAATAATAGGAGCAGGAGTAGGACCTCGGGTTTAGGTTGCTACAACCCCGAAAACAGGTGCAGCTGTTAATATTAGGGTAAACTGTTTTGAACAAAAATTTTTAGGTTCTTTTTCTTTCTTTTGTTTATTTGTTTTCTTTTTTATTTTCTGGACAAAAATTTTTAATGGTAAGCTCATTTAATAGCATTGTATCATCTCCTTGGATCTCATTTACCACCAATCTAAGGAATCTGTCTCAATGACAATTATGCCTTCCCAGCAAGAAATGAGCAGAATTTATGTTCTACGCTTCATGGACTTACTTGTTCAGTTCAGATGACCATGCTTTGCCAATTTCTTCCTCAGCCAAATAAATTTGTTTACATTTATCCAGTATTTTTCTATCCAGATTTTCATGGAGTTTTTTCATTTTGGAGAGTTCGGTGTTTAGTTCTTCATTACTGTAGTTCTTCTGACTCCTTAAAAGTGTTTGAGAAGATGCCTGTGCCTAAAGCAAATTTTAAAGATATATTTTTAGAATTGTTAATCTGGATAATCAGTGTTATTTGTTTCCCTTTAGCTTTCAATCAGGGATTCTGAGAGGAATTTCGCAGATATGAAAAGGAAATAACACTTCAAAAACTTATCTCCAAAATCAAGTGAATTCTATCTAGATTGTAATGAAAACTGAATCATTCTTATGTTACTATCATGCAATGCAGTAATCAAAAAATAGCAGAAGCAATTCAAACATTAGAAATTGAACAATGTCATTTAACAACATTTCATGCACACTGTGTAATTTTTTTAAAAAAAGATTTACTTATTTTTGTTGGAAAGGTAGATATATAGAGAGGAGGAGAGAGCAAGATCTTTTGTCCATTGATTCACTCCCCAAGCAGCCTCAATGGCTGGAACTGAGCCAATCCAAAGCCAGGAGCCCAGATCCTCTTCGGGCTCTACCACACAGGTGCAGGGCCCCAAGGATTTGGGCCATCCTCAACTGCTTTCCCAGGCCACAAGCTGGGAGCTGGATGGGAAGTGGGGCTGCCGGGATTAGAACTGGGTGCCCATATGGGATCCCGGCACATTCAAGGCAAGGCTACTGTGCCGGGCCCGACACTGTGTAACTTTTAAGTGACAATTTTTATTTGGTATAGAGGAGCAGCAGCCTCTCCCCATAGAAAAATTTATTGATATGAACTGCTTACTCTTCTGAATGAAATGACTTTTAAAGTTGTCTTGTCATTCTTTGGGGCTTTCCACAAAATAAGAACAGTAACTACAATAGCAGCAACAAAACTTGGGACTTCAAAGCAATCAGGTTGAGAGGAAATCATTTTCTTTAGACAATCATTATTTGATTTTTTTTTTAAGTGATTAGTGTGAGGGCCCAGCATGGTAGCCCAGTGGCTAAAGTCCTCATCTTGCATGCACCAGGATCCCATATGGGTATGGGTTCTAAACCCAGTTGCCCATCCAGCTCCCTGCTTGTGGCCTGAGAAAGCAGTCAAGGACGGTCCAAAGCCTTGGGACCCTGCACCATGTGGGAGATCCAGAAGAAGAGGCTCTTGGCTCCTGACTGCAGATCAGCTGAGCTCCAGCCACTGAAGCAGCTTGAGGAGTGAATCAATGTACAGAAAATCTTCCTCTCTCTCTCCCCTCTGTAAATCTGACTTTCCAATAAAAATAAAACTTTTTTAAAAAGTGAGTACTGTGTCATATATAAATCACCTGGCTTTTCTTCCACGAGATTCCCTCTCCTGACTATGAACTGGTTTCTCCCGAATAAAAGCTGGCACAGATGTTGAGTGCCTTTTGCTGGGTTAGGAAATGTGATACAATTTCCACTTGAATTTCTCTAGAGAAGCTCATCCTTAGAATCCAGCCACTATATGATAAGGGAGCACAAGCTACAAGGCAAGTCATCATATAGAGCGTCTTACCAACTTCCCCAGCTAAACAGCCAACAGAAAGCCAGCTCAGTAACTAATTACATGAATTAGCAAGCCTCTAGATAGTTAAAGTCTCTAGTTTCCAATCACCCCAGATGGAGCTAAGTGGAGGAAAAATGAGTGGCCCTACATAACAACACGTGAACAGCAAGTTGCATTAAGACTCTGTAGTATTCTTGAGGTAAAGTGATAGAGAAACAAACTGCCATTCGTTATGTTGAATCCCTAAATGCCTGCAAAATACAATTCTTTAAAGATTTATTTTTTATTGGAAAGTCAGATTTACAGAGAGAAGAAAGCTCTTTCAAGTGGCTGTAATGGCCAGAGCTGAGCTGATCCGAAGTCAGAAGCCAAGAGTTTCTTCTGAGTCTCCCAAGCTGGTGCAGGGTCCCAAGGCTTGGACCATCCTCTGCTGCTTTTCCAAGCCACAAGCAGGGAGTTGGATAGAAAGCAGACCAGCTGGGACACCAATCGGTGCCATATGGGATCTCAGCACATGAAAGGTGAGAACTTTAGCCACCAGACTCTCATGCTAGACCCCATTACACACATTTTAAACAAAAACATAGATCTGTGAGAGGGGCATCAGAGTGCTTGGGAATAATATCTGCCTGGGAGACAGCAGTAATAGTGCAAGGAATTCTTACCAATAGCCAAGATAGGGAGACAACTAGAAAGTTGGGGGAAAAACAGGAAAAGAAAATAAGGCATTCATCTAATGAAATGGGATACTATTCATCTAATGAAACTGAATCCACTTCCTAAAAAATGGATGGAACTGGAGGACCTGGGGTTAGATAAAGTTAGATACAGAAAGCCAAATACTACGTGTCAGGATATTAAGCCATTCACTGTACTGGAATTTTGCTTTTGTTCATATTTTCTCATTCGGTTATGTTTCTTTGAATTTATCTTTTAAAATATGAAGTCCTCCTTGTACATGATAGCATGCCCTTCTTTTCCCACATTATGATTGTCACAAATCCCATGTTGTGATATTAGTATCCATGTTTTTAATACTATATATGTATGCTTAGATAGTATATATCTACATGTGAAGTCAGTGTGGAAAAATGTTAAAATTGTTAAATCTTAGAAAGAAAAAAATTATATTTAAATAGTTTATTGTCCTCAAAATACTTATTTTCTTTTCCTTGTTCTGACAGTTTTTTTAAAAGATTGATTGATTTATTTATTTTAGAAAATCAGATATACAGAGAGGAGAGAGAGAAAGATAGTCCATCCTTCCATCCATTGATTCATTCCCAAGCGGCCACAACTGCTGGAGCTATGCCATTCTGAAGCCCAGAGCCAGGAGTTTCTTCCGGGTTTTCCGCATGGGTGTAGGGTCCCAAGGCTTTGGGCTGTCCTTGACTGCTATCCCAGGCCACATGCAGGGTGCTGGATGGGAAGTGGAGCAGCTAGGATTAGAACCAGCGCCCATATGGGATCCCGGTGTGTGCAAGGTGAAGACCTTAGTCACTAGGGTACCACTCTGGGCCCGTTCCAACATTTTCCTGCATTTCATACCCATACGATTTTATGGGTAACCATTTGGAAGACAGATACATTTGATTAAGCATCAGAAATTAGGAAAAGTTGCTTTCTGAACTACAACTAGATGGCAGAAAGAACATGATTCTGTTCATGAGAATTTTGTAAGCTGAAAATCACAATAAATCAGATAGAAAGCAAACCTCTACATCTTTTTTAGTTGAACTTTTGCCTCTCCCAAATGACTAACTTTCTTTCACAAAATTTAATTTTAGGGAGAGGAAGAAGGAGAGGGAAAGAAAGGGAGAGAGAGGGGAGACAGAGAGAAACACACAATACATTTTCCTCCGCTGGCTTATTCCATAAAAGGATGCTACGATCACGATTGGGCCAAGCCAAGACTTGCAGCTGGTACGTAAGTGCAGGTCTCCCACATGAGTGGGAGGAACTGAAACATCTGAAGCACAACCTGCTGCCTCCCAGAATGTTATTAGCCGGAAGTTGGAGTTAATAGCAGAGTTGGGACATAAATCCAGATATTCTAAATGTGGGCATTCCAAGTGGTGTCACCCTCTGGGGCAAATTAGCTTTCACACCTTTATCATTCTTAAACCTTTCCATTTCTTGCTATAATTCTTCATTGGTACATACCTTGATGTTTATCACTAGCTGTAGAAGAATGTACATTTTAATTTTTAAAAAAATGTTATGGTCATATCAACTCCTGGTCTTGTTTCTACTGTAACTACTAATCCTTGGTTTTTTTCTTATGCAGTTACATCTTGTTTAGCATTAACAGTCATAAATTGATAAAGTATTTTGGGGAGAAAATTAAGCCACAATTTAAACTTTGCAGTATATAGTGGTTAAGCATGGTTTTACAGAACTTTGCATTTTAACAATTAAAGAGTAGAAAAGTTTTAGGCAGGTGAGCAGGGAAATCTCGTTGCTTTTTAATTCCACATATCTTCAAAACAGTTGCTTGGGTTAAAAAAATAGTGAATCATTTACTACCCTTTTCATAATCTAAGTTATCTCTTAAATGATGTTTGAAGATTGCTGGTTGGCATATTCTAGGGACCTGGATAAAAAAATGAGATGGAAATGCCTTTTCTTTTTTTTTTTTTTTTTTTTTTTTTTAAAGATTTATTTTTATTATTTTTTCATTGGAAAGGCAGATATACAGAGAGGAGAGACAGAGAGGAAGATCTTCCGTCCGATGATTCACTCCCCAAGTGAGCGCAACGGGCCGATACTATGCCGATCCGAAGCCAGGAGCCTCTTCTGGGTCTCCCACGCAGGTGCAGGTTCCCAAAGCTTTGGGCCGTCCTCACTGCTTTCCCAGGCCACAGGCAGGGAGCTGGAAGGGAAGCGGGGCTGCCGGGATTAGAACCGGCGCCCATATGGGATCCCGGGCGTGCAAGGCGAGGACCTTTAACCACTTGCGCCACCGCGCCGGGCCCGGAAATGCCTTTTCAAGACTAGTTTTTTTTTCCCCCCCCAAGAAAGGTCTGAACAACCAGAGAGATGGACATTTAAGCATGGCATTTTTATGCACACAATAAAGTGTGTTATTTGTGGAAGCAGAGGACATATCCTCTGTTTCTAAGTCCTTTTAATTTCTATTGAGATTTTTATTCCAGATAGAAAAGATGAAGATTAACTCAGTTTCAAGATGATATGTCCCTTTTATATCAGACTGTGCATCTGAATAAAAATTAACTTTATGTAATCAAGTAGAAAATTATCATGTATGAGGTTTATAGAAATGGAAGCCCAAGCCATGTTGAGGAATTTGTTTATTTCTGTTTCAAGGATAATGGTTAGCCACACCATACCGGAAACTCAAAAGTTTTATAACTAGTGAAATATTTTAATTAACAATTGAATTATCATTTAGTCAGTATAAAAGATAGCCTGAAAGCTAATTTCACTTTGTATATACTATGCTGTTCAAGTAAACAAATGAGTATTAAACCAGAAAATTAAATAATGACATACCTGTAGCTGTTCTATGCTTTTACTTGATGTTGTTCCCTTGACACAAAATGATGGATAGCATCTGCTACGTTGTAATCCAGATTCCGTGCTTTGCTGATTGAGAGCGTAATAACTGTCATACAACTTCTTGGACACGTCCTGTGTTGGGTCTGTTTTCTTGTAACTATCTATAACAGCAAAAACACATTATTCGAAGCATATTTTGCATTTCTTTGGCAAGGGGAAACTCCAGATCCAAAAGGTTTTCTGGATCAGTGTATTGAGGCACATGTCCACTATCTAATCCAACTGGTTTTCTCTTGGCTTATCTTTTTTGTCATTTGCCTGGCAGGTCCATACACTTAACTGCACTACATAGTACCTCTAAATGAAACTACAGTTTTTATTAAGAAGGTAGAAATTACATTTTTATCTTTAGCAATTGAAAGTTTAACTTAAGCTTACTCTCTAACTGAATGTATACCTTAAAACACACTTAGGAATGCTCAAAATGTGAATAAAATATGTAGGGAGATACACATTACAGGCCCAAAGCTTATTCCACCATTTGCAGATTCTACCATTCAACATGAATACTAAAAATGTCAGAAGCAAAATTTAAATTCATAAGAGACACACATAAAGTCATACTGTGCACTACTTTCTACCTCATAGCAATACCTTTTCAATAACATGTAAACCAGATTGTTCATTGTTCATGTTCCACAATCATGCTTATTACACCTTTATCAGTGTATAAACTCCTTCTGTTTGAAGGATTTCCTCTATAGAAAATTTCCTTTTCTCTTTTAAGACCTAGTTCATGACAGGAAGTATTCCTTAATTATTGGTATTTTCCTTGAGAAAACATGTGTCTCTTTCCTAGGGCTACCTTAGAAAAATATTGATTTGGGGCCTGGTGCGGTGGCCTAGCAACTAAAGTCCTCAACATGAACACACCAGGATCCCATATGGGTGCCCAGTTCTAATCCCAGAGGCCCCGCCTTCCATGCAGCTTCCTGCTTGTGGTCTGGGAAAGCAGTCGAGGATGGCCCAAGGCCTTGGGACCCTGCACCCACTTGGGAGACCTGGAAGAGTTCCTGGTTCCTGGCTTCAGATTGGCACAGCTCTGGCCATTGTGGTCACTTGGGAGGTGAATCAGTGGATGGAAGATCTTCCTCTCTGTCTTTCCTCCTGTCTGTATATATCTGACTTCACAATAAAAATAAATAAATCTTTAAAAAAAGAAAGATATTGATTTGAATACCGAATCTTATCATGGAAACTATAAATTATTGTACTTCATGTCTACCCTACTTGATCCCAGACTATGTGAGGCAATCTTTTACATCAACATAGCATGATCAGTCTTCATTTTACTTAATAACTATTTATTGAGTTCCTCCTATGTATAGTGATTAGGAACTGAAGCATGTAAATAAATGTGACAATGATGAGATTTTCTAAACTTAACACCTAAGATAAGACTTAAAGGCTGACATTAGAAGCTAGAGAGGCAAAGAAGCAACAATTTGAGGATAGACTTTCCTATAAAACAGGGGTCAACATCAGGCAGTTCAATAATGCCAGGGTAAAGGGCAGACAGCAAAAGGCTAAAGACATGGAATTCAACAGAAGACAGATTTTGAAATCCTTATATGTAATTAAGTATGTTTGGTCATTAATGTTTTGAAGAGCTCAAGGTCATGTCATAGTTGCAGAGAGACCATTCTAGGTGCTGTAGGGAGGATGATATTATTTTGTCTTGTTACCTTATTTCATTTTCAGTGTACAGTGGGGTTTTTCAGAAAAATGACACATCACACCACCACGAGTTTTCATGGTTAATGGATTATGCTTCTAATGGCTATTGGAATACATGAATATGAATGCTTATACTTAAATTTTTTTAGTTCTAATTTGAATAGAATAAATATCAAAATATTTTTGCAATCTTCAGAAATGCTAATAGTATAAAATGACCCTAAGCTTAAATTATTTCAGAATCACACTTTTAAGATGTTGAGTCTACCAGAAATCACAGAAGAATGGAAGAATGATGAAGTATTTTTCTCCTTTTTATGTAATCAAATACACACACACACACACACACACACACACACACACACACACACACACACGAGTCTATCAGGCCATCAGATTAAGATCAGCATAATAAAGCCCTGAGTTGAAACAGTTATAGTTAAAAAAAAACAGACAAGTTAACAAATAATGCTTTAGGTAAAGATCAGAATTCCAGAGCATCTGAAAACATTAAAATTTTTTACTATTTTAACTAGTGACTGTGAATCCCTAATAAAGATAAGGATTCAAAATTTGGAACTTCAGAATATCAAACCATGAAAGTATTTAGAGATATCTGAGTTAACGCTTAAAATGTTTAGCATTCTTTCTGTTAGGCTGATAATTATATTTTCCAAAGATGAGTATGAAAAATCATGTCTACATTATTTATGTAGATGTCCATCAGACTTGAACAAAAAGCATTTTGCAATATGATGACTGGGGACACTTCAGATATTTTAGTGCATTTCTTTTCACAGTTAAACTTGTACTGCCAAATGTACCTTGTCTGGGTGTTTGTATGGCCTTTGCTGTTACAGATTGATCCTGAGCAGGATCTGCTGCATACTCTGACATGCGGAACTGTTTAGAGACAAGATGGTTAGTCATCTATTATTTCACATAACTTGCAATTCATAACTCAAGATAAAAGTATAAAAGCCATTACCTTTAAAAAGGAAAATTTGTCACGGTCTTCTACAAAGCAAAAAGGACATGTAATCAATTATACAAATTATGCCTGGAGCTGCAAAATATTAGTGCAGAGTGATTCTTACCAAGCTAAGAAATTATTATTTTAGGTATGGAGACTTGTGTATGCACGTTATGTTAGGACAGCAACATGACAGAAATATTTTAAAGAAAACATCCAAATCAGAATTAGAGCAAAACAGTTCTTGATGTTGGACAACACAGAATGACTATAGTTCACAATCTCCTTATATACATACTTAAGGACAAATAAAATAAATGATCATCAAGTTGCAATAATGGCAAAGATAGGGAAATGCTGAATATCCATATTTGATTAGCAAGCATTCTATACGTAGGCAAGGAGAGCCTTTCATCTGACAGTGGTCATTTCTATGTTTATATCATAATTTGTGAGCCATACAAATTTATCAGCTGAAAAAATGAGGCTGTTTTGAGTCTTGCCTGCAGATGCCTTGGCAGGGCCAGAACACGTGATTTTGTGGATCCCTGAGCCAGATATTCCCCGCCCCCTGAATTTGTACTGTGATATTCCACTAGATCTCACAAGTCTGCACAATTATGGTTAATATAGTTAAGGTTCACAAAAGAACTGAAAAATAGGCATGTGTTTAACAAAACATGCAGTTACATTTCAAAAGTATGCTGATGTTTTAGATGATTGTAAATAGAACAGTGCACATACACTGACATGGGCATGCTGAATACTGGGGAGAAAGTTGATCATTAATCAGAGGAAAAAATAATTGGCCCATGAGAAGACGTATGAAGGCTGATGGTAGAAGCAAGAACATACCTTTCCTGGAACACATGAGAATCATTCAGCCCAATACACTACTGCATTTTTCAACATTTCCTCTTATATAGGAAGTACATATTTAGCTGAGAAATTCTTACAAAATGACCAACTTGGACATATACTTGTAAAAGAATAGATATGAATAATAGTCATATCCATATCAGTTACTAGTGTGCTTATACTTCAAGTATCTCCCAGTTTAGCTGCCTTTTTACAATGACTTGTAGTATTTTGGAAATACAGAATGGCAGAAAGGGAAGGACAGAGGGACAGATAGATTCTCTGCATTGGTTCACTCCCCAAATACCCAAAATGCGCAGGTTTTTAGGTGAGGTTGAAGCCAGGAACCTGGCATTAAATCTAGATCTCGCCCATGAACTGCAGGATCCCAAGTACTTGGGCCATTGTCCACTTCCTTCAAGGCACATTAGCAAACGGTGGACCAGAGTGATGCAGGAATCCCAAGGCGTGGCTCAATCAACAACTCAGTAGCCACACTGCTAGTTTAAGGTAGCATAAATTTTTTTGATACCCTGATGCAAGAGAGTACATAAAAGCTATCTAACAAATGCTGTGTAATAAGATGACAATATTTAAGTTTCTACATTAAGAGGAAAAAAAATCAGACTGCCACAAATTATTGCCATCATGTCATGTTTCAACATTAGTGCAATATTTATTGAAAACTATATTGGCATGAAATATATGACCTCCAGTGTATGTTTTGTTCCCAAAAAATAATTTGAGAAGTCTTTAATTTTTATAAAACAGCTACCTTATAAAATTACCTATAGAAATAGAAGGCAATGCTTCAATTTTCAAATGAAGCTTATTTGAATCTCTAAGATCTATGTCCTGTCATTCCTGCTGGAGAGCTCTGGAGAGGACATGAGTGTCTATACTTGATCCTATTGCTAGCACACATCCTGGTCCAGTCATCTCTGGAGCGGCAATGACTTGATCTCAGTGGGAAGATGCTGAAGGCACTGGAAGTGAGTTGTCTGACGTTTCCTCACCTCTTTATTTTCTTCCAACTTCCTCATTCACAATTCCCACTTCCTTAGCATAATCTTTGAATCTGTGGTCTACATTCCTCCCCATCAACATTCCCTTTTATGGATTAGCCACACCTTTTCCTTCCTCTATGTTTAGCACTAGTATTTACATCTATAATTTCTGTCTCTTCTTCTCTTTGTGCCTTTCCCTCTGGCTAGAAACATGCTAAGAAATCAAAATCATGCTTTCCCTCCACTCTATAAATTCTTAAACGCTTGCAAAGGTTCTTCTTCAACATTTTCCTGAAGGGAAACCCATATCCTTGCTACTTGGAGTAGGCTCACTGTGCACATCACCCTAGAGCTTCACAGAAATGCAGAATCCCACGTCCAGGAAGGTAGAAAGTGCACATTGAACAGGGTCCCCTGTTCTTCCTAGTTTGAGCAGCTTTACTGAGTCAGCATCCCCATTCCTTTCCCCTATTGACCCTTTTCCCCATTGAACCCTAAGTTCAGCCCTCTTATTTCCCCAAGCCTTCTTATCCCCTGTAACTAATATCTAGTTTTTCCAGTTCAAGTTTGCCCTTCCTGATAGTATCCCATAAAGTAACAACATTTTATACAACGTTGGTTTATCTGCATAGGTGGCTGGCCATCTACAAATTATTTAACTTTTTACCCCCCACTACATAGATCTCCTTCATTTTCTTTTATTTGCTTTCTGTACTTACTACATTTTCCAATTCTCATTACTTCTTTTCCACTCTTGTCTTTACACTTATTTCCTGGCTGTATTCAGATAATAGTTTACACTAAATTGGAACTAATTATTCATCCCCCACAAGGATACTCACAATGTAATATATAACTAGGAAACAACTAGGAGAATATACAACTTATTATAATTTCATTTTTCCCCTTACTGTGAATTCAATTGGTGACTTTGTCTATAAGAATGTGTTTATGCTCATATTTTAATTATATTCTACCAAGTGACTCTTCACAAATATATAGTTCTTACCTCCTTCTTCTATTTTTATGCTGCCCTGTCTTTTATCTTCCATTTCAGATTTAGCATATTGCTGCAGAGGATATTGAAAATAGTTTGTTAAAAATCATTGTCAATAATGGATTGTCTAAAGGCTTCCCAATCATGTTTTAAGAGAATAGCAGAATTTATTTTTTTCTTAAAGATTTTATTTATTTTTTCATTGGAAATGCAGATGTGCAGAGAGAAGGAGAGAAAGAGAGAAAGATCTTCCATCTACTGGTTCACTCCTCAAGTGGCTGCAATGGACGTAGCAGAGGCAATCTGAAGCCAGAAGCCTCTTCTTGGTCTCCCACATGGAGGTAGGGTCCCAAGGCTTTGGCCTGTCCTCTACTACTTTCCCAAGCCACAAGCAGACAGCTGGAGGGGAAGTGGAACAGCTGGGATATGAACCGGCAAACCATATGGGATCCTTGGTATCAGGCCCAAATTTGTCATTTTTTAAAAATTATTAATTTTTATTTAACTTATTTGCAAGGCAGAGTGATGGGGGTGGGTGAGGTTGGTAAGAAGAAAAAGAGACAGAGCTCCTATCTGTTGATTCACTCCAGAAGGGCTGCAAAAGCCAGGTCTAGGCCAGGTGGAAACCAGGAACCAGGAACACTATCGTGGTCTCCCACATGAGTGACAAAAACACAGGCACTAGAGGCATCTTCCATCATCTTTCAGGAGCATTAACAAAAATCTGGATCAAAAAGAGAATGGCTGGGACTCAAATAAGCACTTGAGCAGTGGCCTGTGCTACTACACCATAACTGTTGATCTGAATTTCTCCATTTAATAAAGAATTTACACAAAATTGAGAGAAGCACACGTTGAGAATCAAATTATCCACTCCTGAGGTCAAACTTACCTTTAACATTTATTGACTCTGTAAACTGAGCATGGAGGGCCAGAAGAAACATTATCATGGATGAAAAACTAATGTGCATATTTTAATGAGGAAATTACTTCCCTACTCAATTCCACATTGCATTCCCCAAGAAACAAGAAAACATTATAAAAATATACTGCAATATACTTTATAGTAAGTGTACTTGTTATATGTAATGCAGAGTTAGCTATCTAAACATACTTCTAAAGATGATTTTTAGTGTTAAATACATATTTGGCATGAAAAGACATTGCAAGATTTGTCATATGGATATAAACACATCAATACAGAAGCTGTTCCATTTTATGGATACAGTGGCTTGGAAATACCCAAGTTTATTTTATTATTTGAGAGTCAAAGTTACAGAGAGAGAAAGATTGATTTAGAGACAGAGCTCATCCATTCATTAGTTCACTTTCCTAAAGCCCACAATGGGCTACCCTGAAGCTGGGAGCCACAATCCTGATCTCAGATGGACATAGCAGGAATGTAATACATTAGCTGTCACCTGTTGCCTAACAGGGTGCCTGTTAGCAGGAAACTGGAATTGAACAAGGAGCTGGGATGTGAACCAAAACTGTGATGTGTACTAGTGGCAACCAAGATCTTAAATGCTGGACCAGATGTTTGTCCTCTAAATATATTTCACATAACAGTTATTTAAAGCAAATGATCAACTGAAATGAGAAAATAGTAAGGAACTTTCTTCTTTATGCTATGCTTAAATCACAGTTTGCAAATGCTTGTATGAGATATTCTGTGCAATTCTTTGGCAACTAACAAATATTGTCAAGATGGTATCATAAACTTTAATAAGAGAAGAATATGTATTTAATAAGCTTATAACACACACCAGGCCCCCAGCTGCACATTTTACTTTCTACAGATGATATTTTTTTAAAAATATGCTGATGACGGTTTCTCCACAGCACCCCAGTGGGAGACCCAGAAAAGGCTCTTGGTTCCTGGCTTCGGATTGACTCAGTTCCAGTCACTGCGGCCACTTGGGGAGTGAACCAGCAGATGGAAGATCTCCCTCTCTGTCTCTCCTCTCTGCATATCTGACTGTCCAATAAAAATAAATCTTTTTGTTTTTTAAAAAAGACTATGTCCAATGTGTGAGTGCCTGTGTTTAATTCTAGTCTCCAGCTCTTGATTCCAGCTTCCTGCAAGCAGAGATACAGAGAAGTAGAATGTGGTGTCTTGTGTAGGTAGGACTTAGCCATCTACATGGGGGGAAATAGACTATGTTTCCATTCAAATTGATCTATTTTTCAATTTTGTATATCAATATTTCTTTCAAGATATAGAAAATATATAAAATATTGCTGTAGTACTAGAGAATAGTTACTTCTCGAGTATTGCAGTGATACTAGCTTTCCAATTTCCTGAATTATTTAATGTGACACCAACAATGCCAAGGAAAATAATTTGCAATATTTCCAATATTTGAAGAGAAATGCCTATGTGCTAACATATTTTAAAAACATAATCAAAAAGGTCTCATGTGTCACAGCAATATATTCCTATAGGAAACTTCCAATAACAGTATTCCACTTGCTTTCTTCAACTTCCACCATTCTTTCCTTGGCATTGTTGCCTCCCATCATCCTTCAGGTTTTTCAAGGTACCTTTAATTTGTAGACTGAATACCACTATTAACCCTTCGTCTTAAAGCATGTGTGTGTGTGTGTGTGTGTGTGTGTGTGTGCGTGTATACACAATAACTTATAGTTTATAATCTTTTTCACCCTTATAACTACATGTTAAATATTAGTACCATTAATATGAATGTGGCTATTGACAGTAAAGTAACATTTGGTGGGGAAGGTTATGAGACTGCTATGCAACTTTATTGGAATATCTGTTACATAAAAGTATGAATTGTCAAATTGCAAATTAAAAGACATGTATTAGTAATGTGTGTTTGGCACAGTGCTTTTTCCAAGACTTCATAGTAACTGACAGAACAGCATGCTATCTTGACTTCGATGAGACACCAGTACGTAGAGCCTATTTGAACCCAAGAGATCAGATTGTTTCTATGTCCTTCCCTGTTTTCACCACAGTAAAAACAAACAAAAACACTAACATAAGAGAACAAAAATTCATCTTTTTTCCAAAAATTGTTTCTATGCACTAAAACATCATGAAACCATATTCTTTCTTATACTCAAACATATTTAACAATCCCCAATGTTTATCCTTGTACTTAAATATTTCTTACAGATTTATAGCTGGCAATCAAAATACAGTCATAATATATTGCATTGCCAAGTATTATGTAAGTGGAGGAAAGAGTAGATTCTTTTGTTTTGTTTTGTTTTAATATATTTATTTATTTATTTTTCACATTTTATTATTATTGCTATCATTTTACGATACAGTTCCATATTCCCTTATCCCCTTGAGTAGATTCTGCAACAATTCTCTTAAAAGTTCATTAGATTGACAAGCATCTATAGATAACATAGAATCCTACATTTTGGCATTGGTTCAGCTGGAATAATTTTTTACATGTAATGTAAAGGCAAACTGATTCTTTGATTTGTATCTATGTCTTATTGCTTTTTTTTCCCTTATTTTTACACTGGGCTACATGAAATGAATCTTGAGTAGAACTGTACTGATATGGCAGGAGATTACTGATAGTATAATGCATTGTGATGAAATGTAAGGATTATTTCCTTATTTCCTATTACACAGATATAGTTCACACCCAGAGATGATTAAAAAAAAAAGTCAAAGCCTTCCTCATAGCTGTTTGCCCTAGCAGCTCACATGGCAGGTAGGACAACTGCATTCAACATCAGGATGTCTAGGATCCATTGCTGGACCTTGCCTCCTGGGAGGCAGCTAGTTGTGGCTCAAGTCCTTGCATTTATGCCACCACAAGGAGCCCTGGAATGATTCCCAAGCTCCTCTCTACTGACTTGACTTGGCCCTGCACCAATCATTGCAGGAATTTGGGGTGTTAACTGCTGTATGGAAACTCTGATTTCTGGTTCCTCAAATAATTGTTAAAAGGTGGAAAAAAAATGGCAAACACCACTTCTACATTTTATTACCCAACTCTTAGATTTACAAATCATAACCAGAGACAGTACCTCAGAAGTGTCTGCTGTTTCTACTCCCTCATCTTCTGATCCTAAGGTAGATAACATAATATACATGCAAAAAGTTACAGATTGACAAATCAGAACATTTATAACTGAAATCAATACATACAAAACCAGGACTATCTCCATTCACAAATATTTCAGTAAAATTTAAGCACAACAAGAAAGAACTTCACAGGTCTGAAGCAGTTTCAGGAAGAAGTTGTTCATATGCAAAAATACAGCAAAAGTAAAATACTGAAAAAGAAACATGTCAAATTCAGAGCTATACATTTCAGTTCAAAACATAGCATATAGAAATTTTGATAAATACCCACTTACCACTTACATCATCATCGAATTTATTAATAGGAGTTAGTTCATACATCAGAGGTGGATTTTCTGGAGCTCCTTCTATGATATGAATTTCACTGCTTTTACTTGCTGGGTCTAAAACATCTTCCTATAGGAAGAAAAAAAATAAATTGAGTTAACATATTCATTTCGGACCACTCAATCAGTGAGACATTATGTCTCCCATGCTCTAGGCATACCTGTTTAGAAGTTAAACATAAGGCACATTCTGCCCTATGTTCAGTTGTGGTAGAGATTTAGGAAAACAAGCAAGTACAAAACTATATAATTGATCATTTCAACCATTGAAGTCAGTAAGATAGTATGAGCAGCAATGAGAGAATTCACAATTCAATCTTGGAAGTTTAGGAAACTGCAAAGACAAGGCCACACTTTGGATGATCAAGTGCAAAAAAATGCAAAAAGAGCATTCTAGATAGAGCAACATGAACAAAAAGGATTCCAGATGGCAAATCAGGAGCTCCAAAGCCAGCAGAACAATGGAATACGTTTCTTGGGAATGACAGAGACATATATAAAAGCTTTAGTAAGGTAAGTTTTTCAACTCTTTTTCAATTAATGAATGCCTTCAACAAGGAGCAGAGACTAAATAACAACACACAAATAAGAATAGTTATTTAACTTCCAAAATGTGCCAGGCAGTCACTTTCTCATGATCTTTTCCACAAGTGAGAACATAAAAATGGCTATGATTATAGTTGCTCTATTTTGTAAATCCTGCTTATTCTCAAATGTTGAAAAATATAATGATGTTCAAGAGAGATGAGAGAATAAAGATGGCTTGAGTAGGCCCCATGCCTGCCTCCACCACAGAACAGAGTACGGACAACAAAGGGTTAAGCTATTGCTTGCAATGATGGCCTGCCACCTTGCTCTGCAGGTCTGAGGTCTGGCTGATCTGCTGAACCAAGTTCTTGCTAATGCATTTGGAAAGGCAGCAGATGGTAGCTGATGTATTTGAGGCCTTGCAAACCCATGTGGGAGAAGATGTAGTCCCTGGTGCCTGATTTTGACCTTCACCTAGCTATGACTGCTGTCACCATTCTGGAGTGACCCAGAGAACGCAAGTCAAAATTTAAGTTTTAAGTAATGTGTATATACAAAATCCAACTGATGAATTAGATAAAAGTATTAATCTACTTTCTTGGCATTTTAAAAGAAATGATAAATATTAGGCAAGCACTCCAAGTGACTGCTGTATAGAAATATCACAGCATTACACGTAGCAGCCAAAAGCTGGAAATAACCTTAATGCCCATGCTTGGCTGAAAAGAGAAACAGAATGTGGTAATTAAAATCTTATTAAAAATTTTTACTTTAGCAATTGAGGCATTCTCCTCCTAGAAGTTAGGAGGATTTACATACTTAATAGTATTCATGAGAATGCAGTAAATTTCATACCTAAAGTATTCTTAGTCTCCCACTAGTCCTTTCAATATGACAAATAGAAAGATGACTTACAGAACTTGGAATCAATAGTTCTTTCTTTAGCTGTTTGACACTGTGTGCTTGTTTTTCTATTGTAATTTTCAAAACATGGTTGGCAGCTTGGAGCCTGCAATGTATATTTTGAAATAATTATTCTCAAAGATCAATTTATAAGAACACATAATTTATGAAACACATGTAGAGGTATTATGTAAATTCCTTTAGCAGTTTTATTAATATAAGGAGAACAGATTTCATGTATTTCATAGATATAATTCTTTTTTAAGATTTATTTATTTTGTTTCTATTGCAAAGTCAGATATACAGAGAGGAGGAAAGACAGAAAGGAAGATCTTCCATCCTTAATTCACTCCCAAGCAGCTGCAACGGCCAGAGCTGCGCCAATCCAAAGCTGGGAGCATGGGGCCTTTTCTGGGTCTCCCACACAGGTGCAGGGTCCCAAGGCTTTGGGCCATCCTCTACTGCTTTTCCAGGCCACAAGCAGGGAGCTGGATGAGAAGTGAGGCCACTGGGACTAGAACTGGTGTCCATATGGGATCCTGGTGTGTTCAAGGCAAGGACTTTGCTGCTAGGCTACTGCGCCAGGCCCCATAGATATAATTCTAACTTGCCTCCTTCCTTCAATTACCCCTTCTTCTTTCCCTTTAATCTTTACAATAAATAATTTAAATTTGCTTCTGGATCACAGGCTCAACAAGTAGAGTAGTAAGTGATGTGGCAAAGGTATCGTGATTCTGCGTGCTCTGTGAATCACATGTAAAATTCAGGAATAACAGTCAAAAACTATGAGATTCAAAGTAGTTTAAAGTCAAAATTTTTCTCTTGGGTTTTACATAGATCAATTTATGATCATAATTGATACAATTTTCATAGTATTTAGTACTTGAGCTTTACAGAGAATGACGTTATTTGGCATTGTACTTGGAAATTTACCTTTGCAGACGTTCATCTAGTGTTTGAGAATTTTGTGCCACCACTTTTTTATGTCCAATTTGGTACTATAACAAAAGAAAAAAACCCACAATTACTAGCACATGGAACAAAAATGTCCATTACCTGGAAAACAGTGTTCATTTTATTGGGACATAACAACCCTGCTTCATTTGCATGTTGGCTGCGGTTATTTTTGTGCTGTGCCCACAGAGTTGTGGCAATAGACATTTGTGATCCACAATCTAAAATAATACTATCTGGCCCAGTAGAAAAAACTTCTAGGAACATAACACAAGATTAGACTTTTCAACTTTGTTTTATCAGATAAATATTCAAATGTGTAAAAACTACTCAAATGGGGAGAGGAAATGAAAATGGTGATTTTCAAATCCAGACATCACTACACCAACTGTAAATTTAAATATTCATATATATGGATGACCATGGTGATTCCAAGAATTATAAAAGCAAACATGCCAGAATGGCAGGACTGGGTTCCAGTCCCAGTATTACCATCTCTCCCGTCTTGAGCACATTAACTTCTATATGTGTCTTCATCTGTCAAATGATAGTATCTTCCTGATCGAAAGTTGGAAGGACTCAATAGAGAATGCAGAGGAATATATGACATGCATGTTCTATATTTTCTATTAGCACGACTGATTTCATGCTCAAATACAATTTGACAAGTGGCATAAAAGTGGAAGTGCCCTATACCCATGGGACTGAATCCTTGCTCATCCCATTGAGTGAAGCAGCAATGTCAGAGCCTGAGGCCCAGTATACTCTCAGAGTTTTTTTCAATTAATGCTTTATAGAATATTTTCTCTTTACTACTGTTCAATGGGTATAGATACACAATGTAATGCAAACAGCATTTCAACACTGAGAAGCAAGTACCTTCCATGACTATGAGATAGGCTATGGCCACTAAAATGAAAATACTAAACTTTATTACTCAGTCAGGTGTCTGTAAGCAATTCATTGCTGCCTCACTTTGGCAAGCATTCTGAAGGTTTAGTAAAGCTGCTGGGTTTGGTATAACGAGAAGGCTGTGGCTTTCAAATTGGGGCGTTTTAAAGTGATAAATTCCAGTTTGGGCTTCATCCAAAAGGAAAATAAACAGGTTTTTCTCATAGCAAATAAAGCCTGAGTAACTTCTGGAACAATTCCTCTCACCAAAACTAGGTGCTGGAAATTTTATATTTAACTGTTCAGAAAGAACTTTCCTTTAGAGATATTACAGGAGTAGTCTGTTAAAGAAGATGTCGATAGTGAGTTGTACAAGCATAACCCAGTTATGTTCAAAACAATCTGAATTTCTTATTTTGAAAGGATTTACACAAAAGTTAAGACAAGCATGGAATAAAAACAACAAAAATATTTCAAATAAAGCATTGTCTGTATTCTTGAGCTTAATTTTGCCATCTATCTTCATGTGATTATGATTATGTAAAGAACGTCAAACGCCAGAGAAAACAATATCATGGTGGAAAACCCAACATACATATTTTCACAGGGAAATAACTTCAATACTCAACTCCACAATGCATTTCTCAAAAAATTTCCCAAAAAATTTATGAAATTCCATTGTATCTCAATGAATTATTTTTAAAAACACAGAAAAGGACTAGATAATTTTCTTAACTCTCTATTTTAGCTCTAGAATACTATACATGATCTGAGTATTTGTATCCTGTGATGACTAATACTTAAAAGAAGAGAAAAAAGAAAATGTGCATTTTCTAGATGAATTTTTATTAGCTGAAAAATTTCACAATTTGGAAAAAATATAAAAAATCAATTAAATGCATATTTATTTTGTATCCATTTACAAAAGTGAAGATAGTAAGCAATATTCTGGAGCATTCCATTTAACCACATCCTTCCATTAAATCTGGCTTGCCTCATCATGGCAACAGTCACCACCAACCACCCTATTTAAAAGAAAATAAAGCTTTTCAACTTCTAGGAGGACTAATGCATAATTCTCAACTTCCCTAAGAACAAACATTGCTTCTGAGAAGAACATAGAAGAACATAGCTGTAAGAAAAAATGGCAGAATGAAAGACTTTTAAGAACTATTATAGATGAAATTACACTAAAATTAATTGTAATAAAAACAGAAATTTGTGTTTACTGAAATCCCTATCCTAAAACACTTGTATTACTTAATGAGATATGAAATTATTATTGATCTGTTCAAATTTCATACATACTTGGATCTCAGTTTCCTTTGATTTCTTTCTCATCTTCTGCATCTCATCATCTAACACATAGCAATAATTTGTTAAGTTCTCCAGAGAAGCATCGGATGCAAAAGGAATCTCTTCAGTCTCAGTCGCCTGGCTTTGAAGGTGACTCCCAAGCACCTGACCAGACACTGCTGTTACTAGTTCATAAATCACATGATGAAGCTGGGTTAATAAAACTTACTTCTAAGGCATAAACAAATGGTCACAGACTTGTGATGGCTTGACCTATGATGATGACATGCAAGAAGCAGAAGTTCTACATAAAATATACAATGGATTTTTATCATCTTATTGGTTGGCAATGTGCCATACAGTACTGTTGCATGCTGTTGGGCATAAGTAGCGAAACAACTGCAGTCAACCACACAATCACAAGAATAAATGACAAACTGTGCAGTGCTCTGTGTTGTTCAGATAAGATGCTGGGTAGACAGGCTATAGCATACACATTTTTTCTTAACAGCATTATCAACTTAACAATGGGTCTACCATGGTGTACTTCTGCAAAACGTAATGAAACCAATGTACTTTGAAATATGGCACATCATTCATTCATTTATTTCCTCATGCACACTAATTTTTTTTTGATTACTGAACTAAACATAGTTCAGTATTTTATTGCTGAATCGGCTTTATGCTGAATCAGATTTAGCTTAGAATCAATGTTTTTCCCTGATGAATCTGTGACATTGAATAAGACAGACTTCTTGGATGAGAACTTAGAAACACAGGCAACAGAACCAAAACCACATAAGTGGAATTTTGATCAAGCTAAGAAGTTTCTAGATAGCAATGATAACATAGAGCAATGAAGAGGCAAACAGAAGGATAGAAGAAAATACTTTCAAACAACACATCTGAAAATGACGAATAAGCTCAAGGAACTCAACAACAACATAACAAACAATCCAGTTAAAATATGGGCAAAGGATACAAATGGGCATTTCTTAAAGGATGGAATACAAACGGCCAACGGAAAAAAAAGCTCTGGATCACTAGCCATCAGAAAAACTTCAAATCAGAACCACTAGGAGTCATCAACTCACCTCGGTTAGAAAGGCTGCTCTCCAAGAATCAAAAAGTAACACATGCTGGTAAGGATGCATAGAAAACGGTAAACTTAAATTTTTACATACCTGTGGCTGGTAATTTTCACTGCTATCCAAATATTCTTGTTCTTCCTTAAATGCTGTTACAGTATCATAATGTGGTAAAGAACTGATGTGTTCTAATTCAGGTGTCATAGTTTGAACATCACCAGACAACAGATTCATGGCAAAGCCTTGTATTGATTTTATTTCCTCATAGCTGCCTGTAATAGCAGAAACATTGTGTCTCCTTATTTGAACCCCATATTTGAAGCACCAAATTTGAAGACATAAATTAGAAAGGTTTGTTTACCACAACAGAGAAGTCTAGGCCCAGCATCTAATGCAATCTGTGCTATTTTGACCCATTTTTTTTCCTATCATTTGCATTGAAAAATCTAGTCGCGAGAAAGGTTTGCATTTTTAGTCATATATACTATGTAACACAGTCAAAAGAAAGTTTTATAAACATACAAATAAAATTTCTTTTATCAAGTAAAAGTTTAACTTAAGCTTGATAGCTAAATATTTACTTCTTTCAAATACACTTCCAATTGTTCAAAATGGGAACCAACTACTTAGGGAGACAGTCTGTGTCAGCAAGTTCATCATGTTTAGACAAACATTCTGTCAAATTACCTTGTAAAGAATGCCATTCTTACCTTCTGCTTCCTTCATAACATTCACTGTTTCATATGCATCCATGGACTCATCAACATTTTCCTTTAGAGATATTACAGGAGTAGTCTGTTATAGAAGATGTCGATAGTGAGTTGTACAAGCATAACCCAGTTATGTTCAAAACAATCTGAATTTCTTATTTTGAAAGGATTTACACAAAAGTTAAGACAAGCATGGAATAAAAACAACAAAAATATTTCAAATAAAGCATTGTCTGTATTCTTGAGCTTAATTTTGCCATCTATCTTCATGTGATTATGATTATGTAAAGAACGTCGAACGCCAGAGAAAACAATATCATGGTGGAAAACCCAACATACATATTTTCACAGGGAAATAACTTCAATACTCAACTCCACAATGCATTTCTCAAGATGAAAGATCATCACAATACAGAATTAAGTGTTAAAATGCATTCTAGATATGAATTATTTTCAAGTCAAATTTTTAACATACTAGAAAACTATTTTGATATAAACAGAATAGCTCAGAAGCTATAACTACCTAAATGTTCTTGATGCTTTTAATCAATCTAAAGTAGACAAATAGCATACACACACACACACACACACACACACACACACAGATTTAGGACCTTTGTGATACTACTCACCCTATCCTCCATTAGGCCCACATTCTTTTATATTTATTTGTCTTATTTGAGAGAGATGAGAGAGAGAAAGGGAGAGACAGAGTGAGTCAATTCACAGGATCACTCTCCAAATCCCACAGTGCACAAGAAAGGGTTATACAAAAGCTGGGAGCCAGCAACTCAGCTTGAGCTCTAACATAGGGGTAGGGACACAAGAGCCATCACTTGTTACTTAATTTCACTTGTTTCCCAACAAAATGTTGAGGATATCAGGAAATTGGAATGGTAGGAGAAGTAGGGACATTTTGGCTGTCAGCAATCCAAATGAAGTCTTACATACTAGGCAAAATGTTTGTCCTCTAAATAATATTTAGTAAGATGCTTAATCACAGGGACAATAGTTGAACGAAATGGCAAGATAATAAGGAAGACTTTCCTTTACATAACACTTGAGTAATAGTAAACAAATACTTGTTTTAGATACTGTATGCCACTCCACTACAAATAATATTATCAAAATGGTACAGCAAAATTTTATTTAAAACATAGATGAATAAGAATATTTCTTGATGAAGCTTATGCACTGAACACTCATTTGTACATTTTCAACATATGATAATATAAAATACATTGATGAGGCTGGTTATCCCACTATATGCGTTGTGGTCATTCTCTGTATTTAAAGGCAATGATAAACATAAATCCGAATTGCTATGTTTCAGACTGTCAGTCCGCAATCCACAATCGTACTTGTTCTGTGTAACTGGAATAACAACTGATGCTGAGCTCTGGGACTAGGGCTGTTGCTTCTAGAAGTCCAAGAGACATCAGTGCTCCCACAAGTGGCCTGGGGAAGGGCCGATCTACATTCCTTTGCTTCAGGCTAGTACATGCTGTTTTACAAATTCCAGAACAATTTGAAATCACCATACTAAAAAATGAGTAAAATACTCTGTGAAGTGAGTGGTTCTTTGTTTGCCCCTAATGGACCTGAGTAAAACCACACTTTTTATTTTGCAGCTCTGGACCTATGATTATTCTCTACATCTCATGGGTATCTCTGATCACCAACACATAGGGGAAGACTGCATTCCAGAAAGCCAGGCAAGAACATGGCAGTACACAATCCCCAGCATAGCCTGTAACAACCTGTGGGATGTAAGTTACCCTCCAGTCACTGCAGCTCTGGGTCTGGGACAGTTGAAGCTACAATCCAGAGTCACCTGACCATTACATGGGGCTTGGGGATGTCCCCAAGCTGCATTTTCCTGTTTTAGAACTATGTCTCTCAGGGTACAATCCCCAGAACACACTGTGAATTGTGAGGGTTGGGTAAGGTCTGCAGCCTGCAGTTCCAGGACTGTGACACTTGGCTCTAAATGGCACAAGAACATCTACACTTTAACTGTGGGACAGAGTAAGGCTCTATCTGCATTCTACCAATGCAGACCCCCTTTCCTGCCAGTGCACAAACCCCAGCATTAAACCTGTCCCAGGGCCCACAGTGGTGGCTCAGTGGCTAAATGCTTGCTTTGCATGTGTCAGGATCCTAAATGGCCTCAATTTGTGTCCAGCTGCTCCATTTCCCATTGAGCTATCTGCTTGTGGTCTAGGAAAGCAGCAGAGGATGGCCAAAACCTTTGGGACCCTGCACCATGTGGGAAATCCAGAAGAAGCCCCTGACTTCTGACTTCAGATTGACTCATTTCTGACCGTTGCGGCCACTTGGGGAGTGAACCAATGGACGTGAGATCTTTCGTCTCTCCTTCTCTCTGTAACTCTGCCTCTTCAATAAAAATAAATAAATCATTCTACAAAAACAAAACAAAATCCCACTCCTAATGGCCACAAGAAAAATCAAATGTTAGGACTAATAGAAGAGGAATAAAAATAACCAATGAAGTGAAATATCTCTACAATGGAAAGTGTAAAACTGTTGAAAAAAATCACTAGGAATTCAAAAAATGCTTATGGACTAGAAGAATTGATTTAGTTAAAATGCCAATGTTACAGCAATCTATAGATTTGATGCAGTTTCTATTAAAACATCAATGATATTCTTTCCAGGGCTAGGGGAAAAAATCCTAAAATTTATATGAAATCACAGAAGACTCAAAATAGCCTAAACACTCACAAGCAAAACAAAACTAAACAAAATTTTAAAAAACAAAACACAATTCTAAAAAGATGTGGGGGCAACACATTATCTGATTTCAGAGAACTGTAATAATGAAAATGTTACTGGTATGAAAATTGACAAACAAATTAATGTAACAGAATATAAAAGCTAGAAACTAAGGCACTTACTACCAACATATTTTTCATAAAAGTGTCCAGAATATATATTGAAAATAAATTGTGTTAACAAAACTGGATGTATGTATGTATACAATTCAGTTGAGTGTTTACCTTTCACCACATATTAAAATCAACTCCAGATAGATCAAAAATCTAAATTTAAGACCTGAGACTATAGAATTGCTGCAAGATATGGGGGAAACACTTTGAGACATTGATGTAAGTGATGACTTTTTGGATAAGACCCTGAAAGCAAGTGAACAACAGCAAAACTAGACAACTAGGATTAAATCAATTCAGAAGTTTCTGCACAGCAAAGGAAACCTAAGTGATGAGACATCCAAATGGATATGACAAAATATTTGCAAGCTATTCATCTGACAAAGGATGAATACTCAAAATATTTCAGCAAATGAGAAAACTCAGTAGCAGGAAGTCAACCAATCCAATTTAAAATTGGCCAAAGGAATCAAGTAGATATTTCCTAAAAGAAGAAATACACACAGTTAACAAATACATGAAGTAATGCTCATTATCACTAGCCTTCAGAAATATGCTTATCAAAACCACAATGAGATACCATCTCATCCCTGTCACAATGACTATGGTCAAAAAGACAGCAACAGATGTTGATGAGGATGTAAAGAGGGGAGCTCTTATACGGGGATGCATTAGTGTAGCCACTGTGGAAAAACAGTATGGAGATCTCATCAAATACTAGACAGTCACCTGCATATTCCCAGCACCAGGCAAATACCCAAAATAAATGAATTAATTTTAGCAAAGAGCTAACTGTTCCACTGTGTTTATAACAGCACTGCTCACATTATGAACTCCAAAATATGGAACCAACCAAAGTGTCCATCATTAGATGTATGCAGATATATTAATGTCACACAATGGCATATTATTCAGCTTTGCAAAAAGTAAATTCTATCAACTGCAACAAAATTGATGGAATTGGAGGACATAAAAAAGAAAAGACAATACCTCATAATTCAAAGTCGTTTCTATGTTTTCTTCTTCTATAATATCTGCAAAATACAGACACAGATCTGCTAATGAGAACAATCATTACTATGAGTGGTAATTAGACCTACATACATATCTGAAAGTTTATTCACGAATAGTTCACCTAATAAAAGTAATAGCAAGAAAGAATTTCAGAGGTTTGAAGCAGTTTCAGGAGGAAGATGGTGGTGATATTGAATTAGAATGGCAGAATGAAATACCAAAAAGAAGCATCAATCATATTTGTATCTTCACATTTTATTTCATACAAAAGCATTTAAACATATAAATTTTGATCCATATATACTCACCAAATTTGTCTCCTTGTTGGAATTCTTGGATATAGGTTACTTCATCATACCCTTGTGGCATAGAAGCATCAATGTCACCGGCCATACCGGCTAAGGAGTATCTCTAGGGAAAGAAAAAAATACAGCTTCAGTAAATACATTCATTCAGTTGCTCCCCAATTCACTCACTTACTCCTTAATTCACTCACTTACTCATTTATAGTGTCAATAAAGTCAAAATTACCATTTTAGGGAAAGACAATAATCTCTACAGGAGGCAGATTTTATACTATATTCAAGTCAGGGTAGACATATAGTATCTAAAATTAAACTCAGGATAAAAAAGTAGCTTCTTAACAGAGCATTTTTACCTTGGAAGAAAAATGTATGTCTTCCATATCATCACCAACAGTTCTGTTGCAAATCCTTCAGAGCAAAAATATGTAAAAATAAAATTAGTGAAGTATTTCCATTAAAAGCTGGGGAAAGTCAGCTAGCCATAGAGTAAATTGATTTGAAAATGATGAGCATTTCTTTTTGCTTTAGAAAAGTTTTATATTTCCAACCCTTTCATTTTAATGAGATAATTAAAGTAATTCAATCTATAATAAAGTGTGAATTCCAATGGCTTGGCAGAATCTGAGAATTTTGGACTTCAAACATGTCTACCATGAAGGTTCATTTGAAAAATATAGTGGCTGGCATGCATTTTGTTACCTGAATATAACAAACCTGGTAACCTATAGTAAGGTGAAGGATACAGTGATCTCTCTCCCATTGCCTCTCTTTGGTTTATAGACTAAGCTTTGTGATGTAATAATGATAGTCTTGACCACTTGGTTTAGAAATCACTTATTCAGGAGCTTCGTTGCTTCCTACTACCTTAAAACAATACAAAGAATCCTTGAAACATCCAAAATATTTGAGAGCTAAAAATATAGAAGCCTAAGGACAAATGTATAGGTTGTTACTGAAATATTTTTTCTCAGCCAGATTAGAATATTGAATGTTATAAAATTAATATTAAGCCTTTCCTTATTTAGGTACACTTAAACTAGTAGGGCATTGCAAATCTTCTAACATTGAGATCCTCAAAGAGAGACACTAGTGGAATAGCAAGAGTCATGGTACTTGTACCTCTATTTACATTGGGATCATCTAAATATCTTGCTCTTATGCTAACCTATCATTCCCCATCCCCTCATAGCTCTTCTATAGGACACAGTGACTCCATTACAATATGGATATCAGTTTGAATATCAACAAAAAGAATTTATATTTGTGGCTTGCTTCTGAAACATCTTATATTTTGGTTAATGGGTTAATGTAAATGGCCAGTAGATTAAGGGAGGAGACAATTCAATGAATGTCTCCAAGATGTGCGAATAGTGGGATTTTGGTCAGGGTGGGCATGAGAAGGTCAACCAGACAAATGCAAAACAAAGAAAAGAACACAGTGAAGAGAAATCTGATGAAATGGAAGAAAATACTGGCAAGTTATTTAGCTGGCAAACGACTAATATCCAGAATGTGTCAGTACCCCAAAACTCAACAACAGTGGCTGGTATTGTGATGCAAGATGATGGGACACTGCCTGCAGCACCCATTATCCCCTGTGAACACTAGTTTGAGTCTAGGGGACTCCACTTCCATCCAGCTTCCTGCTTATATGCCTGGTTTGGGAGAGGGCAGCAGAAGAAGTGTGCTCGCATGGAAGACACAGAGGATCCCCAAATTCAGCTTGGACCACTGCAGCCATTTCTGTCATTTAGCAGGGTGGGCCAGTGGATGAAAGGTAGCTCACATACCCTCTCTGTCTCTCTTTAGCTTTCCATTTCAAATAAAACAAAATAAATCTTGGTAGAGGTGGGATTCAGTAAAAGTAATAAAATATATAGTTAATAAATTGGCAAAGGGCTCAAATAGTTCAGAAAAGAAATACAAATGGCCAACAAACATGAAAAAGCACTCAGTATCAGTAGCCATCAGGGAAATACAAATCAAAACTTGAGTGAAATAACGCCTCTTCCCTATCACAGTGGCTACTGTAGGAAAGACAGAAAGTAGTAAGTGCTGTTGAGGATGCACAGAAAGGGGAACTCTCACAGACTCTTGGTGTGAAGGTAATTAGTGCAGCCACTGTGGAAAATGGCATGGAGATGTCTTTTAAATCTGAAAATAGAACAAAAAATCCCTCTACAGAATATGTCTCCAACAGATATGACATCATTGGACCAAAGAAATACTGGCTCCACCAGGATTATTATAGCACTGCTCACATTAGCCAAGGTGCAGAACCTACTAAGGTCCTTACTATCAGAAGAAGGGATAAAGAAAATGTGATATGCATGAACAAAGGAGTAATATTCACCCCTTAAGAAGAATGGAAGCCTGTAATTTGCACAAAAATTTGCAACTGGAGGATTTCACCTTAAGTAAAACAAATCAGTGACAAAAGGACAAATACTGCATGTGTTCCCTCTTACGTGGGAACTTAAGAAAAGAAGCCCAATCTGAAAACAGAAAGTTGATTGAGGCCGAGAGAGGTAGGCAGGCTAGAGTTCGGATTAAATAAAACAGGAGACTATGGTTTTAATTAATAAATTGTGACAAATGTGTGGCATTAACAAAACAGAAATGTAAAAATATATATATATAAATGAATAAACTGTGGTATTCAGATCTCCCTTCTGAAACTCTTACTTCTTTTGTATCCCAGTGTTGTTTCACTTCTAACCTGACCTTCCCTCATGATTTCCATTCTCATCTTCTTCCATTGGGTTCAACATCTAATTCCTTTCTATCCTGTTTCATGGGGAACATACATATCCATGGCCTCTTAGTATTTAAAATATTCACCTATAAGATGGTAATGTAGGAAAAAAAAGTACTGAACTCATAGTCTATGAATTTCATTCAACTGTCCTATCTGCCATTGATTATATCTAGACATTACTTCAATACATTTGATTCTCAGGTGCTCCATCTGAGCAGCCGTTGCTAAGGTTATTAAATACAGGCTGAAATAACAAAGGACATTTTTATCTTTTCCTAAGATTCCTTAAAGTCCTGTTGTTCTGCATGGTTTTGATTCTGTGAAATAAATGAGGAATAGGTGAGCAGGGGAAATGGAAAAAATAGAAGAAAACAAACAGCAAGAAAGGCAGAAAAGAAGATATAGAAGTTAAGATTACATAAATACCAGGGAAGAAGAAAAAGAACTCTTAGCAAAACAAAACAAAAACACAAGTTGGAATGAAGGCAGGGGACCAGCTGGTAGGGAAAACCACAAGGCAAAGTCTATAAGGAGACACTCCAATTGGAAAAAATCCTCTGAACAGATGCCAGACACAATTAACATGACATAGTCTATTGCAGATATTCTTCCCTTGTGGTAAATTTTAGAACTTGCCTAATCTCTTTATGTCTTTCTAACCATCTAGGATCCTGTGCCCACGGCTAATTGAGATCTGCCATAAAATCTGTGATGGTGGCACCAAGACATTGGTTACCTCTGTGATTGTTGAGTATATAAGAACAAATTCTAGGACTAACAAGGCTTCTAAGGAACACTTCAAAGCAGTCTTATCATATAACTAAATTGAACTTTCTGATTTATCTGAATTAGATCAATATATTGATCCCAGTGTTGCAGAAGTCTCTACTAATACATGCTAGGAGTGAAACAATCAATTTGGAAACAAGTCAGGCTGTTGGTCAAATCATAAGTCAGCTACTTGTAAGTTACAAGATAACAAGCCAGTTAGCCTCTTTGAATCACTATTGCTTAAGCAGTGAGTGGTAGACTGCATTAACCCATACCTTGGAAAGCTATTTTAATGACTACAAAAAAATAGCAAAAGTACATAATACCTGTGTAGCTCTGAGTGGAATGCTCAACAACTCTTTCATTTTATATGTACTGCGTTAGTTAACATGTACTTTTCAAAATCTATAACATCCTACCTGCTCACATCATCTTTTGAACACTCTTCCCCTATAAGAAAAGTAAAGTGCATTTTAAAGTAACAATAGCATAATGCTCCAAATTAAAATCATAATACACTGATATTTTTGTTTCAAAGATACATATGGGGTGGCAGGTGGTGGGTATAGCAGTTAACCTCTCTCTTTGAATGCCACAATCTAAGAGTGCCTTGGTTTGAATCCTACTTCGCTTCTAAGCCCAGCTCTCTGCTAATATAGATCCAGACAGTGGTGGGTAATGGCTCAAATATTTGGATTCCTTCTACTGATGTGAGAATGTGAGTCAACGGAGTTATAGGCTTCTTGCTTTGATCTGGTCCAATGCTAGCTGTTACACGCATGTGGGGAGTCAACTGAGAAGCTAAGAGTCAAGGGTAACATTAAGAAGCCAAGAGAGACACATATGGCCATTCAGGGTACCCAAGTTTGCTTCCCAACTCTGTCTCCTGACTCTAGATCCCTACCCATGCCAGTGTGATGGCTCAAGGAATCAGCTTAATCCTGAATATGTGCAAGATGTAGTTTGAATTCTTGATTCCTAGCTTTTATATCCATCCAATCCTGGTGAAGACTGGTGTTTGTACGATAAACTGGTAGACAAGAGTTCTTTTTGTCTCTTTCTGTCTTATTCTTTCAAATTATATATAATATAATATATATATATATCTTTCTTTAAATCATTGCCTAATTTAAACAACACCTTACAAAGAAGACAATGGGCCATAATTAAATACATTATTTTCCCTCAAACAATAGTGTTTCAGATTGCAAACTTACTATCACAAACTTCTCAAATAACTCTCAAATCTATAATATTGACAAAAATATACATGGAATCTAATGACTGATTTAATCTTGAAAGCCACTTGGTAGTCAAATCTTTCTTACACTTACTGTTTTATCTGTGATGGAAACACCAGTTACAACTTACTATCAGAAGTCTTACCTAGAAGTTTTTTTGGAAGCAATTTTTCTTTAATTTTTTCCATATAATCCAAAATCATCATTCGATTCTTCCTATGTGTGATAAAGGGATAAGTAAAATTATCACTTGACTATTAGTTTAAAATAACCAAACTTATTAAATTATTAGAGTATTTCAAGTAATATCTGAACTGGTATTAAGTGCAGAGATGTGGTATAGTGAGTAGAGCCACCATCTGCTATGCTGGCATCCCTCATGGGCACTGGTTAGAGACCTGGTTGCTTCTCTTCTGGTTCAGCTCCTTCTTAATGGCCTGGGAAAGCAGTGAACAATAACCCAAATGCTTGGGCCTTTGTGCCCACAGAGGAAACTCAAAATAAGTTCTTGGCTTTGGCCTCGTGGTTGTAATCATCTGGAGTAGTGAACCAGCAGACAGAAGGTAGGTCTCTCTCTCTCTCTCTCTCTCTCTCTTTCTCTCTCTCTCTCTCTCTCTCTCTCTCTCTCTCTCTCTCTCTCTGTGTAACTCTTTCAAATCAATAAATACTTTTTACAAGAAGAACTGGTATTCAAACTTCAGTGATCCTCATATGCCTCAGTATAAGAGCTTTACAAACCTTTCTTAAGCTTGCAACTACAAAAATGTATTCAAGAATTCAGCTTAGTGTATCCTAATAAATTAACCAGAGTTAGTAAGACACAATGAAACTGTCTTGAACTCAGAATTATTTTCTGCAATAATCATTTCTTCTTGTGCCTGTCATTTAGATTCAAACTTTCTTTTTTTAATAAAGATTTTCTTACCTTTTTCATGAAGCTGTTACGAAGATTTAGTGAGGTAATATAAAAGAAACATACCTCACCAAATAATTAAAAAATACTTGCTTGTTCTCCAATTTTATCACTGAAATAATTATAGAATTCTAAATTAAAGCTGGTGTTTTCTCCCCCCTTTGGTAATTAGAGTCAAATGTTGCAGCTTTCAGAAGAAAATATTCCCTGTTTCTAATTCTGACTACTAATTTTTTATGTAGTTTGCAATTCTGAGTATCTCAGGTACTTTACAACTTGTTACTAATCGTATTTACAAATACATCATCTCCCTATATAACATAATTGACTCCTATAATGACACAGTCATTCACACTAGGGGCAGAAAGCTAAGAGGTGTCAGAAATTGACATAGACTACCTCCACTCCTTTTAACTACTGAAACTGAACCAGTTGCTCTTGTCATTGACATATTCAGATTCTGACTTGGAACATCAAACCCGACTTTAATACATGGATACTGACAAGTTATGAATGAGGATAGTGCGCGTAAGCCAAAATAACTTATTTTATGATACTCAATTTATCTATGTTTACTTGTTTTGAAAGACAGTGTTTTTGAGATAGAGGGAGTGAGAGATAGAAAGACCTTTCACGCAGTGGCTCACTCACCAAATGGCTGCAATAGCCAGGGCTGGACCAGGCTGAAGCCATGAGCCAGAAACTTCATTTAGGACTCCCATGTGCATGGCAGGGGCCCAAGCCCTTGAGCCATCTTTTACTGATTTTCCAGAATCATTAGAAGGGAACTAGAATAGAACTGGAGCAGACAGGACACCAACCGGGGATCATATGGGATGTCAGTGTCACAACCAGAAGCTTAACTCACTGCACCAATATGCCAACCCCCAAAACAACCTACTTTAGACTTAAAAAATACTAAAGGTCTTTATTATGAAACGGAATTTAAAACTATGAGGAACATCTCAGGTAATTTGAAGTATTGATAATTTGGAAGGTTTTCATTATAACACAAAACAGTTAACCAGAGGGGCCAACACAAGTAGATGTCAACTCTGAGTTGACATAACCCAAGAAAATACACACATAGGAATGAAAGGGGCTTTAGGTTTACATATTTGGAAGTAAAGAAGTAACACTGATCTTTTCCTACAACCTTATCTGAACCTTTCTAACAGAATGGAATGATTCTAATTTTATTTGCTAGCAGAGAAGTCAACTAAAAGCCTCCAGAACAACTCATCACAAAAATTTAGGCTAAGACATGAACTTCACATAAAGTGTTCTGGGAAGAGTTGGTTTTCTCAGTATATATATATATCTAAATCTAGGAAGCCAAGATGCTTAGCAGGGTGCTTTGCTAAATATGTATGTATTTGAAAGTCAAAAAATAAATGTTGAGCCCATTGTGGTAGCCTAGCAGCTGAAATTCTCACCTTGAACACACCATGGTCCCATATGGGTCCCAGTTCTAATCCCAGCAACCCCAGTCCCATCCAGCTACCTGCCTGTGGTCTGAGAAAGCTGTCAAGGACCAGCCCAAATCTTTGGGACCCTGCACCCGCATGGGAGACCCAAAAGAGGCTCTGGGCTCCTGGCTTTGGGCTGGCTCAGCTCCTGCCATTGAGGTCACTTGGGGGATGAATCATTGGATGAAAGATCTTCCTCTTTCTCTCCTCCTTTCTGCATAACTAACTTTCCAATAAAAATAAAATGAAAAATGTCTTAACATTGGTGTTTAGGTTTGGATCATCATGAAGACTGGCGAATATGCATCAATAAGAGAATTCTAATAGCAAAGTTCAAGAATTGCTAGCGGTAGAGGTGGTTTCAATGGCAAAACTGAAGCAACAGAAAGAAAAACAAAATTATTAGACTATTCACCCCATTGATAAGTGAGATGAGATTCCTTTTGTTAGATGCACACACCCGTTACATTCTTGGAAAATTGAAGGAGAATTTAGAAGATTGCTCCTAGGGCAAAGTACAAAATCTGCTAAAATTGGATAAGTCAATTTCTATCAAACCAATGATAAAAATCAAAGAGCAGAGAGCAATGGAACACCAAGCACAAGGTTGCTCTTGGAATGGTGTGCGCAAGGTTGGGACCCCTGAGGATAAAATGTTCAAGCAATATGGTGATATTCACTGATGCTTATCACTAATCAGCACTTCTGCTTGGCTTCTGAGCAGTGTATCATACAGACTCATAAAAATTCTGAAATCTATACCTCACCTAAAACAGGCAACTGTCTTGATTATTTTCAACCTCAACTTAATGTTGGCTAGCATTTGAGTATAAATACTTACGTATTTATCTTAAGTCGAGCATACTTTTCTGCTGTAAATCCATACTTATCTTTACAAAATACATCAACTCCTTTTTGAAGAAGAGTGGCAAGGATAGTAGGTGATCTGTATTGTGCTGCAAACATGAGCGTTGTCCTAAAAGAACAGAGATAACTTCGCTGTCAATAAATGCTCACAAAGTCACTTTGCCCTGTGATCTCATTCCTGACTATGAACAACTGAGCATTTAAGTGCACAGACATGAGCATGTTGGGAGCTCAAGTGCACCTCCACAAGTGATCTCTAGGACTAATGGGACCAAAGTGAAGCCTCTTGTCCAAATGAGGTATTCCACAGAAGTTCTACTTAAAGCCCTCTAGTGGGCAACAACTGCTGAGTTCATTTATGTAAATTAGGCAGAGATATGAATGAAGAATTCACCATTTTTCCAGGTAAAACCTTTCATAGTATAATGGTATTAACAGTCATCATAGTTTCAGTTAACAATACTGATAAACATGTGCCAGGGGTCATATTAAATTTTATAGACATATAAAAACTACACATATACATATTTTTCTTAAAAAATATTTTTATTCTTATTAGAAAAGCAGATTTAGAGAGAGATGGAGAGATGGAGACAAAGATCCTTCATTCATTGGCTCACTCCCCAAGTGGCCACAATGGCCAGAGATGAGCCAATCTGAAGACAGGAGCCAGGAGCTTCCTCCAGGTCTCCCATATGGGTGCAGGGTCCCAAGGCTTTAGGCCATTATCTACTGCTTTCCTAGATCACAAGCAGGGAGCTGGAATGGAAGTAGAGCAGCTAGGACAAGAACCAGCACTCACATGGGATACCAGGATATGCAAAGCCAGAATTTAGTTACTAGGCTGTCATGACAGACCCAAACTACACATATAATCTTACATATTACATATAGTCTTACATATTGGGAATAGTTAAAATTCCCATGTTGCCATATCTAACAAGTGAGACTTCTGGAAATTAAACTCAGTTTTGTCTATCTCTTCTTTTTAACACCCAATACTTACATTCACCAAAAGAAAAGGTGATCTAAGTAAGGCTATCTTTGTTGCCTGTGCCCACCCTGGTTTTGATTCCCAGATCTAGCTTCAGACTCCAGCCTCTTACTATTGCAAACCCTGTAGGGCAATAGTGATGGATGAAGTAACTGGATTCCTGCAACCCACATGGGAGACTATTTCTGTCCTTAACTAAGTTTCAAGCTGGCCAAGCATGGGCAGTTGCAGGTGTTTGGGCAGGGAAACTGTGAATGGCAACATTATCAGTTCTTTCTCTTTCTATCTCTCTCATGCAACCATCTCCCTCATTCTCTTTGCCTAATCTTTTTAAAATACAAATCTTAAAAAAAAATTACAAATATCAGAATATAGTTAAAAGAAAAAAACTGGTGCCCGGCGGCGTGGCTTGGCGGCTGAGGTCTTCACCTTGAACGCGCTGGGATCCCATGTGGGCACTGGTTCTAACCCCGGCAGCTCCACTTCCCATCCAGCTCCCTGCTTGTGGTCTGGGAAAGCAGTTAAGGACGGCCCAAATCCTTGGGACCCTGCACCCACGTGGGAGACCCGGAGGAAGCTCATGGATCCTGGCTTCGGATCGGCATAGCATCAACCGTCCTGCTCACTTGGGGAGTGAATCATCAGACGGAGGATCTTCCTCTCTGTCTCTCCTCCTCTCTGTATATCTGATTTCCAATAAATAAAAAAAAAAAAGAAAGAAAAAGAAAAAAACTGGTAACACCATGCAATCTAGTAATAGCAATTTATAGTCACTTAGAAATACCCTAACGTGAAAATTCTTCCAATAAAGTAACTTAAAAGAAAAAATATCCAAAGGAAAAAAAATTGATTTACAACTCCTATTTATGTTTAACATCGTGTTTTCAAAAGAAAGGTATATAAGAAAAACTGTTAAAAAGCTACAAAAGTGTTAAGAAACTCAATTCTGAGCCTTAAACTAGAAGTTAAAGTATATGCTTTATTTTAAAAATAAATTTGAAATGAATCCCTATTAGCTAACAGATATGGAACCAAAACAGATTACAAGTAAAAGCCATCCATCACTATTATAAACAACTATGACTACCATTATCTGTCATTCTTTGTGTTGCCCAGTCTGAATAATTTCCTTTCTAAATAACAGATAATTTGTGCTACTATTTTTCATTATATCTCAAGAAACTATGTTAAATTTATTGATGTTAATTTAATATTCTCGATTTGAATGACTTATGAATAGAACATCAGTAAGGTTAAAAAGAAAGAAAAGCTGAATCATACCTATTCATATTATCAACAGCATGAACGTTTGCTTTATTCATTATAAGAAATTCTATCATTTTTTCTCTCTGCTCATGCATTGCAACTAAAAGTGGTGTGTAGCCATCCTGTAAAACAATTTGTAATTCACATTACATATTTCTCAACTGCACTGAAAGTATTTCAAGGGACCCCAAGCCCTTAGACATGAGGAGTATAGACTCTTCTTGTTCCCCCTTGTGTTTCATGTGTGCTGTACCTGCCTTGTGAAACTTCCCTCTCCATGACCTTATCACGCCAACCCAGACATTTCCATAGCCCACTTCAAACATTTACCATTCACTTCTGTCACAGCATTCATTCACCATGTTGGTACAATTATTTCATTTCCCCTTCAAAATCAAGAACCTCTTGAGAGCAAAGGTTATCTCTTCCGTGTCTATAATCGTCCCAAACTCTAATACATAGCAATATAGGCTTTAAGTGTCTTTATTTATCTCATAACCTAAAATATCATCTGTAGAGCAATTGCTTCTCAATATATACTCCCAAGAATATTGCATTGATTATGTCTTGTGTCCTAATAGAAAGATTCCATGATGTTCTATGTATTATGCTGAGGCCAGGGGCAAACTAAAGGGCACGTGTGTGTTGTATAAAAAGGGATAGCCCCTGCACAGCACAACTCAAGGGATCCCTGATTGCACTAAGACAACGCTACAATTCAGATTTCTGCCTAAGCCTCCCCATGCATACAACTTACTGAGGCAAACTACTCACATTTCCATTTTCACATTAGTTGAGGATATGTTTCCCAAATGGCATGTATATTCCTCAATTGTTTTAGTGACATCTAATTTTCCTTAAAAATCAGGCCCAAGTTGTAATAAAAGGGACTCATAATGTACAATATATAATTTTGCAACACTATAATATTTCATTTATATTTAAATCTTCCAGATTATTAATCAAATGGATATTTGGTTCCTGGGTTTGGGTCAGATTTCACTACTACATGATTTCCCAGCTATATTCTTCCCAACATGATGGTTTTCAGTTTTAAATCTCCCATGTTGATTGTATCATGACTCCACAAACTGAAAAGACACACTGAGATAATCTGTCATAGAGCCTCAAACACAAAAAAGGGTCACAGTTTTCTAATTTCTAATCCTGAACCCCCTGCTTGGGGTAAACATTTGTTGACCTACTAACCTGAGTGATAACAGAAATAACCTCTTCTAAGGCTATCCATAAGCAAATTTCAGCCGCAGGGAATGGTCAGTGTTTGGTAGATAAAGGGTATTTTCAAAAAGCCGGGAGTTATTATCAGCATTATCCCTCACACCTTCCCAACTAAAGAGGAAGTAAAAGAAGGATGGAAGTTCAACAGCATTGCAAAGGGATGAATCAAATAGCATCTATCAACTCCTACTCTTCTAAATATCTATTACGTTTTGGAGATCTGACAATTTATACATTATGCTTAGTAATTTGATGGTTCTTAGCCAGGAGTTTATCTGCATTGTGAAGAAATATTTTAAATATTATACCAGAATAGAATACCTGTTGAAGCCCTGGCTGTCCAGCTCCAATCTAGTTGCCTGCCAATACAACGGAGAAAAGAGTGGCAGTAGTCTAAATAGTTAAGCTGCTGTTACCCGGGATTTCAAATGGGAAATCCCAATGGAGTCCCAGGGTCCTGGCATCAGCCTGAACCAGGCCACTGAACTTGGCCACCCTAGCCATTTGAAAAATAAACAAGCAGGGAGAAGGTATCTCTTACCCCACTCATTGCACCCTCCCTCCCTCTCCATTATCATGACTATCAGTATATATATATTTTTTATAAATGTTACTGAGAGAGTCTAGATGTGTATATACAGTTGTTAAATATTTTCAAACCATTGTGATGAACAATTGAGCTAAGAACTAGTGTAGTAGGCTGACTCTTATCTATATGATTAGTTTGAGTCATCATTTGGGAATTTGATCACAGACAGGAAAGAGACAGACACACTTGCTGAACATTTTAATTTCCCTGGGTAGGAGTACATGAAGGACCAGTCAATTTAAAGTCCAACCTGATTTTATTAATAAGATCCTTTCCCATTTTGCCATAAGGCAATCTAGGCTTGAAAGGTGAGTTAACACTCTTCTCTCAGCAGTTGTTTGTAACAGAATAGAATAATATGTCAGCTGTCTATTTGTTCTCTCATTTGACACTTGACTGCCACCTATTCACTTCCAATCTAGTTTCTGGAGTCCTCCTAAAAATAGACTTAAGGGCCCAGCATGGTAGCCTAGCAGTTGAAGCCCTTACCTTGCAAGTGTTGGGATCCCATATGGGCGCCAGTTCATGTCCCGGCAGCCCCATTTCCCATCCCTCTCCTTGCTTGTGATCTGGGAAAGCAATAGAGGATGTCCCAAAGCCTTGAGATCCTGCACCAACGTGGAAAACCTGGAGGAGGCTCCTGGCTTCAGATTGGTTCAGTTCTGGCCATTGTGGTCATTTGGGGAGTGAATCAGTGGATGGAAGATCTCTCTTTGTCTCTCCTCCTCTCTGTATATCTGACTTTCCAATAAAAATAAATTTTTTTAAAGGACTTAAAATGTGCAACTTACTCTTATTTTCAAAACAAACAAAATTAATAATGATCACACTCCACATAGAGGACCACTTTGTCTACACATTTAAGTTTAGAAATACTATATTGTTAGTATTTTTCCCTCAAGTGCCTAACTTTCAAATTGCTGACTTCTGTCTCTATTGCCCTTTCCAAGTTTCCCTCTTAAGTCTTGCCACAAAGATTTACATAGGAAATCAACAACAGCAAGCTTCCTACTTACTGCATCACACCTTGTGTTTAAACTAAAGCCATCTCTAAGACAAAAATTTATGTTCTTGTGTTGTGTTACCCTAGCTAGAAAAAATTGAAGAAAAAATAGTTCTACCTTCAATAAATTTAGTATTTTCCTGAATATTACTTTTGTAAGAATATCAATATTTAAAATGGTATCTGGACAATTTGAAAATGTTCATGCAAGAAATGCTTCAACTTATGAATATGTAAAACTGACTCTAAGTACTATAATATTAAGACACGTGCATTTCAAGTTGTTTAAAAAGAGTTGAATTTGTACCTTATTTTTTGCTTCGATATCTGCACCGTATTTAAGCAGTTGTTTCGCCATGTCTAAATTCTCACTGTATGCAGCATAGTGGAGAGCAGTGTTAGCTCCATCATCCATATGGTTTGGGTCAGCTCCATGCATCAATAAGATGGAGCCACACTCCACTTCATGGCACTGTGTGGCCTGTCCAAAAGACATCAATAAACAGACTACAAGTTCGGCACTATAAACTAAATTCTTCCTATGCTAGAATGATTGGCTACTATATACCTTTATCAGCGGTGTTGCATTTCTTTTATCCGTGGGATCAATTGTACAATTTCTCTCTATTAGCAGATTCACCACTTGAGGATGGCCGCTCGCACAGGCCAAATGCAAAGGAGTCCTGTGAAGGTGAAAAGCTTTTGAGAAAATTATAATGCATGGTACAAAATAGGGAATTCTTCAAGTCATTGTACGCTATATATAAAATTGCATCCCATGACCCTGCCTTCAAAAGAAATGAAAACTTCTCTTCTGAAGAAAGCACAGTATTTATGAGCTCTTAATGTCACTAATGAAAAAGAAACCTGCGTAAAGAGAAAGCATGGGCCTAACCTTCAGCAGAGCTAGACTGTTTGCTACATGAAATTGCCACTTACTAGCTACCAGCCTTTTCCTGCCTCAGGGTCCTGATCTATAGGAAAAGAGTAGTTACCCCACACTCTGATTCCTGGATGAAACTCCACGCAAGGCATTCTAAAGACTTATAATGGTTAGTTTAGATATACTCAGTATTAATAGCGATACTTTTAAAAGATAACCATTTTAAGTGACTAAAATAATACAAATATCCCGATTTTGGAGGTTTGTTGGAGGGATTAGAGATAACCCAGTACTTCACTGACACAGAGATGAAGATGCACATTTTTTCTTATTTTCACATGTCTGCCATGAGCCTGCTGCTTGTTTTCATTTATGATCATCCCCACTATGACTGGCAGCATTTGAAACATTGGTCCATCGGTATATAAAATACTGGTACATCACACCATCCATGATGCCTTACATTAAATGCAATATAGTTTATCAAACAGGTCTATGGCCAATCTAACCATATGGCTGACATTTAATTAGGTATTAGTTCCCAAACGTCTGTGAGGAAAGAGAACTGGGATACCAAAAATATAAATATTTGATATTTCATCTTATCGGATGAATGAAAATCAGGTCCTCCCGATGGTTACTATTAGCATTTAAAAGTTACATGTTTGTAAACAAACAAATAAAAAAGTCTGCTAGATGTTATCTTTTACAATTTCTGAACTCTGCAAATCTATTTATTTGCAAAGAAGAGGGAAAACCTTCCATTGAAATTGAGTCCTAATTTGATTTGAAATCTCTTAACTTGCTCAGTTTGCGTAGCTAGACAAAGTTTTGAAGGCTACAACAGTCCTAAAACATAAAACATATGGTATGTCAGAAATAGATGAATTAGAAAAAAATAAATAAGTACACTTGGGGATTTAAAAAATGTTAAGAAAACAATAGTTATACCATAGCAATAATAGTTGCTATTTTTATTTTGAGAAAGACACAACTAAAGTAAAATGCTGAATTTATCATTGTTGGAATATATGTAGCAAGTCTATATATACTAAAACACATTTACAGGACCAAATTTATGGTCCTACAAACACAAAGTTTCCTTTTCTTTGCAAAAGGCTAACTATTGACAGAAGACACCATCACCCCCACATACCCACAATACAAAATGAGAATATACTGTAATCTGTGCAAGATTCATATTTCTGTTCTCTCCAAAAATTGTCTCATGAACAACTTTCCTTACAGTTTATATATGTTCATGGTAGAAATCAGAAAAAGAAAAATCTCACATCAGATTTGACTACCTGGAAGTAATACATCTGAGCACATTTTGTACATTTTATTGGCTAACACAAGGCCATATTATCTGGATATGTATCATCCAATATCATCCAGGTTTTTGTCCTCACTTGATATACTCAAGTCAAGCCCACCTTCAATGATCACGTACCAACATATGAATGTACTGTCATTTATATAATCCATTATATGGGTTCTTCTTAATATGTTACTACTTTAGTGACAGAAACAAACTGTGTGTCTATTTGCTAAAGATATATTAGTTTAACAAAACTGAAGGATGAAGGGCATATACACATTGAAAATAAGTTGACACCACATTGCCTATTTGAAACTTCACAAGCAATTTAAGCTTTCAACAGCAGTGCATATAGCACAGCTCTTCACCTTACCAACTGTTTCTAGGCAGTAGTATTTAGTTCTAAAGTCCTTCTCACACCACAGACACCACATGTTGTTTTCTATGCTCACAGATTACTTGTAGATCTGCAAACATGCACTTTTTGAATTTCAAGTTAAAAAGGATTTTTTCTTATTCTTTTCAAAAAAATTTCTTTAAGACAAAGACACAGCTTCTGAGAAATACAGTCTCAGATGTTTTGCATTTAAATGTCTCTTTTTTTTTCCTGATATACAGGAACTTTTTTTTTTTTTTTGCTAAATCTCCCTTGCAAATATTTTTCTTGTAGTATTGTTCTTAGTAATGTCTTTATCAACATGAAAATGTATTGATAAATATTGGCTTTTAAGGTATTGCTTTTTCTTTTAAGATTTTTTTTTTTTTTTTTTTTGGAAAGTCAGATATACAGAGAGGAGGAGAGATAGAAAGATCTCCATCTGTTGACTCACTCCCCAAGCAACCAAAATGGCTGGAGCTGAGCTAAGCCAAAGCCAGGAGCCCCGAGCTTCTTCCAGGTTTCCCACGCGGATGAAGGGTCCCAAGGCTTTGGGGCCATCCTCCACTGCTTTCCCAGGCCACAAGCAGAGAGCTGGATGGGAAGTGAGGCCTCTGGCATTAGAAGTGGTATCCATATGGGATACTGGCGTGTGCAAGGCAAGGACTTTAGCCGCTAGGCTACCGTGCCAGGCCTGGTATTGGCTTTTTCTTATGATAGTTTTCTCATTTTATACACTAGAATTTTTTACATTTTATTCCACCAAGAACTTAGTTTTACCTAGAAATCTTAACTTGTTTTCAACAGTAAGAGTCACTTCATTTACAGTTCATTTGTTTCCAATATAAAAAGTAGTCAATCTCAAGAGGTAGATTCTTTCAAATATGCATTTTGGTGCTTCTGGATGTCATGTTGCGTTACATTCACTTATTTGTCAGCAAATTAATTTCTGGAAAGTAACAACATGTTTCCATAGCTAGAAAGGCACATTTTGTTCATTATGTCACAAGCTAGTGTCACCACAACAGCGAGTGTCAGGCTGCATGCACAGCTCCATTTTAAAACCTTGATTTCTTCAGCTATTGTCAGGCTGGTAATATACACCTAGAGCTCACATGTTGGGGAAAACCAGTCTTCCTAGTGGAAACCACAGAGCCATCTTCCCACTTAAAAGTTGGCTTTTCAACATCCCTCAGCACAGAATTATGTGTGCACTGATAGAACCAACGGCTCCCGGGCTTTCCACAAGCAACGTTAGTCCAGAAAGCAGCATCATTTTGAATCTGGCCGTGCCAATTCTATGAAGACTGAATTTTGTGAGCTAAATTACTGCAAACGCTCAACCCAATGCTAAACGGAACCAGAGGCAGCTCAACACGTGCGGACTGAACCGCTGTGGTGATTGGATTCTGTTCACTCAGCGCAAGGCCAGCACGACCCTCTGTAAGGGGAATCAGGCGCAGCTTAGCCTCCGGCTGCAGATGTGCTTTGGCAGCTGGGCGGCGGGGCGCAAGCCGGGGCCGGGTGGCGGGCAGCCCGCGGGCCACCTCGGGGCAGGGACTGCCCAGCAGCTGAGCGCGGTGCCCACCGGGCCCAGCCGCCCCGCGCGCCCTCGCCGCCGGCTCCGGCTGCCTACTACCTGTTCATCTTGTCTCGGGAGTCTACGGTGACTTTCCCCAGGAAGAACAGCTGCTGCATTTTGACCACATCGCCAGAACAGGCCACTCTGTGAATCCTGCGGAGATCCTTCTCTCGGATGTGGTATCCGAACCGGGACTGAAGCCCTAAACTATCTTCACACGCCACCGAGGCTCCCAAGAGCCACTTGCGCTTTATACCAGTCAGGGTAAAAATCCTCTTCATGATGGAGGCTACCGACGGCTATTCGCCGCTTGGTGCGCCCGGTGTCACCGGCACCAAGCAAGCGGCGACGGCGCAGCACCGAGGCTGCCCGCATTTTACCTCACCGTGCCGGCTGCCCGGCAACGCCGGACTCCACAGCGCAGCCGGGCGCGGCGGGACTGCGCACGCGCACCGAGGCCGCGGCCGGCCAGGCAGCGTCAAGGCGGGACCCGAGCGCCCCACGTCGAGGTTGACTGCTTGGAGGATCTTACCTGTGGGAAGCCAGTCCTTGCCCTCAACTGGGGCTGGCTGTCGTAAGTGTGACACTTCAACATTCTGACCACTCTGAAAATAGCCCTTCTCTCTCACGTCCCGCAGGGTGGCAATGGCCATAGAGATAGATCAAACCACAAAAAGTTGTTGTGATTTCAAGATCGTAGCTGTTTGTGTCATCACATGCAAACTTAGGAGCAGAAATTAGGGCATACATTCTAGAATAAAAATAATTTCCACGTGACTTGCTTGCCCTCACATTTATTCTATCAGTTTCAGTAGCTCACTTTCCCCATTGTACAAGACAGGGAATAATCATCCACATAGGAAGGCACTTTGAGGTTTTGGTACACTTCAAATGTAAACGGTATGAACTGCAACACTGGTAATTTTACTAACAAATACAAGCAGCAAAATTCTGAGGTATAATATCAAGGCAAAAAGTATGAGAGCAAACAGAACAATTTCCAATCATCCTTAGCATGCTCACATCCCAGAGTCATTAATTTTTCTCTAAGTATGCTACTTGGGGAGCTGGTGTCCTCTGTCAGAGTTCTGTTTGGGGGTGTACTGCTGTGTACTTCGGGGCCAGCTCTTTGATCAGATTCACGTAGTCAGTTTTCTCTGCGCAGGCTCTACATTCTTCCCCCCAGTTGTGTAGGATCCGTTTCAGCTCTGCCACTCGCATCTTCCACAGGTCAGCCGATGCCAAGTCCAGCTTCTTTTCTAAATGGCAAAAAAGGGAAGAGGGCAATTGAAAAAATAAGGTCACAAAATCCCATGAAACACCTGGAGAAGCTTGTGAGTATTGCTTGTCTCAACCATGACCTATGATCCAAAGTGGGAAACAGTTTCAATTTCCACAGAAACTAAGATATACCTAAAGAAGATATACCTAAAGAAGTAGTCTATGATCGCTCCTTTTCTGCAGGTTTCGTATTCACAAACTCAACCAACTACAGGTAAAAAACGTTCAGGTAAAAACATTGTCCCATGGGCTGGCATGATGGCTCAACTGGCTAATCCTCCTCCTGCAAGTACTGGTATCTCATATGGGCACAGGTTCATTTCCCAGCCGCTCCACTTCCCATCTGGTTTCCTGCTTATGGCCTGAGAAGGTAGTGAAAGATGACCCAAATCCTTGGGAACCTGTAACTAATTGGGACATCTGGAGGAGGTTCCTGGCTTCAAATTGGCCCAATTCTGACTATTGTGGCCATTTGGAGAGTGAACTAGGGATGGAATATCTTTCCCTCTGCATCTCCTTCTCTCTGTAGCTCTATCTGGCCAATAAAAATACATAAATCTTTAAAAAAAATTGCCCAGTCCTCAGTGTGTATAGACTTTGTTCTCATTATTCCTTAAACAGTACAGTATGATAGTTACTTAAATAGCATTTATGCTGTATTGGGTTTTATAAGTCATCTAGAGATGATTTAAAGTATATGCAAGGATGTGTCTGGGTTAAATACAGATATGACCCATTTTACACAAGGGATTTCAGCATCTACAGGTTTTAATAGCCTGGAACCAATCCCCTGTAGGTTATCAAAAGACAACTACACAAAGCTATTGGGTTAATTTTGGTTCTATCCAACTTTCTCTCCAAGGAATTCTATTTGCTTTAGAATGACAGCCTCCATCTGTCTGGCACGGTAGCCTAGAGGTTAAAGCCCTCGCCTTGCATGTGCCGGGATCCCATACGGGCTCCAGTTCATGTCCTTGTTGCTCCACTTCTCATCCAGCTTCCTGCTTGTGAGTAGGGAAAACAGTTGAGGATGGCCCAAAGTCTTGGGACCGTGTACCTGTGTGAGTGACCAAGAAGAAGCTCCTGGCTCTGGATCAGTTCTGGTCATTGTGGCCACTTGGGGAGTGAACCAGCAGAAGGAATCTCTATCTCTCCTTTTATCTGTAATTAGGACTTACCAATAAAAATAAAAGATAAAAAGAATGAGCGCCTCCATAGCTCTGCACAGTGCACTACCACCACTCCAAGGGCCACAAACATTCTTTTTTTTTTAAGATTTATTTATTTATTTTTTTATTGGAAAGACGGATATACAGAGAGGAGAGACAGAGAGGAAGATCTTCTGTCCGATGATTCACTCCCCAAGTGAGCGCAACGGCCAATGCTATGCCGATCCGAAGCCAGGAGCCTCTTCTGGGTCTCCCACGCGGGTGCAGCCCCGCCCGCATAGAACCGGCGCCCATGTGGGATCCCGGGCGTGCAAGGCGAGGACCTTAACCACTTGCGCCACGGCGCCGGGCCCGCAAACATTCTTAAAGCAACTAGCACCACATCCTAATTGCTACCCTGAAGTAAGAGAGCAATCTATCAAATGCTGTAGCTTTGGGATGGCCATGGTTGTAGTCAACTAAAAGCCATAGATTATAATTAACCAGCAAGTTACAGCTCATTTTTGCCCAAAGGACTGTGTTCAGTACGACTGATGAGCAAACACCTTACAGAACACATTAGGTTTTCAATAAACATATAAAGATATCTAAACATGTGAATAAAATTAGGCACCTTCCCAATGATCCCTAATTATGTTAGTCCTCTATTTAAGCTCACCTGCTATTACTATAAGATGTCCTGCTCTTGCTATTACTATGAAATCATCCCAGTCCTCCTCTGATGCTAATGCTTTGGTGCCAGCCATCCTAGCTTTCCATTTGTCCCAATAATACTTGTCACCAACAATTATTTTTTTGCAAGATTATAATTTCCCGGGCCCGGCGCGGTGGCGCAAGTGGTTAAGGTCCTCGCCTTGCACGCCCGGGATCCCATCTGGGCGCCGGTTCTATGCCCGCAGCCCCACTTCCCATCCAGCTCCCTGCCTGTGGCCCAGGAAAGCAGTCGAGGACGGCCTAAAGCTTTGGGACCCTGCACCCGTGTGGGAGACCCGGAAGAGGCTCCTGGCTTCGGATCGGCATAGCATTGGCCGTTGCGCTCACTTGGGGAGTGAGTCATCGGACGGAAGATCTTCCTCTCTGTCTCTCCTCTCTGTATATCTGCCTTTCCAATAAAAAATAATAAAAATAAATCTTTTTTAAAAAAGATTATAATTTCCCTATTTCCTGAATATCTGAATAAAAAAGACTTGGATTGACAAGTCAGAAAAGAAAAACGATGAGGAGCTCTATGATATATGTATGATTATAATTTCTCTATCAGAAAGGGGTCATCTACCTCTTTCAATGGGAAGTCTTTGTCCTTCCCCCACTGCCAGTGTGAGTTAACACCATTGGTATTTATGCATCCATGAATGGCAGCCTAAGACTTTTCCAGCTTGTCATCTCTTTTTCAATCTGTTCTTTTCCCTCCTATATAACACAACACAACATGTGAAAATATTTAAAGCCTAACACTGGTCAAATGATTCCCAGTGTGTTCAAATTTTAAAATTGAATTTTAAGGTTTTTATTGGGAGGGTCAGCTGTGTCCTGTGTTCCAGAGGATGCTTAAATTATTATAGGTATCTCCGGCATTTTAAAGAACAAACAAACACAGTCTTTCATATTAAAAAGTAAACCGGGCCAACACATGAGGGTATAGCAAAATAATCCTCTGCCTGTGGCACAGGAATCCTATATGGATGTAGGTTTGAGTCCTGAATGCTCCACTTCCAACCTGGTTCCTTTCCAACCTGGTTCCTTGCTTATGGCCTGGGAAGGCAACAGAGATGGCCCAAGTGCTTGGGTCCCTGCATCTACGTGGGAGACATCATGCTCCTAGCTTTGGATTGGCTCAACTTCGTGCTATTGCAGCCTTTTGGGGAGTGAACCAGCAGATGAAAGGGGTGTGTGTGTGTGTGTGTGTGTGTGTGTGTCCCCTCAGTAACTCTCTCTTTCAAATAAAAATAAATAAATCTTTTTTAAAAAAAAAAAATCTAAATGGCATCTTCCTTACTGCAAATGAACTCTTGCTGCACACTTAATCTTGTTAATTTCATGACTGACTTGATAAAAATAGGAACTTTTATAGCCTAAATTATGAATTTCTGATACCTGTAAAGGCCCCTGTAGGATCTCATATTTCTTACCAAAATAACCTGCAAAAAAAGAAGTTAGAACAACTTATCTACTCAAATTAAATAGTTGAATTTTTAAAGAGAATTTGGTAGCTGTCGTTTGTCCATTTTAAGAAAGAAAAAAATTTCTGTGGCATCCTAAAATTACAAAAAAAAAAAGTCAACACAGAAGTTAAAATTGGTTCCTGGTTCCCCAGAGCCTTCTCATGGTCAGTATGGCCAAAACCTCCATTTCTTCTCAATAAAAGCCAATTCATTTTTCCATTATTGAAGTGCACTGGAAGACCCTTCTTGTGCAGGAATAATTAGGCAAAATAAATTTGTTGAATCAAAGCAGCAGCAAGCACATGCTAGTCCCTTTTGCAAATATTGTTTATGAGAATTTAATAATCTCTGCCTCTACTTCATTGCTTTGAAGCCAATGAAAAAGGATGCTTGCCCGTAATAGCTACCCTGGAACGTAGGGCCTTCCTTGGAAAATTGAGAGTCTCTGGCATCTCCTAACATTAAAGCTATTTAAAGCCAGGTATGAAGCTTTGTAGTCTATAGTAGTAGTTTGCAGAGGCATACTACTACAGCTGTGCAGACTAAAATAACTCAGAATTGGATGCTAGCTACTTGGAGATTTTATAATACTAAATTGGGTGTGTAACACAAAACAAGAATGCAAGTAAAAAAAATGAGTTTCTACTGGAGGAATTTCAGGTGTTTGGATAGGCAATGGGAGGAGTCTCTCGGTCTTTTTTTTTTTTTTTTTTTAACTGGAAAGTCAGATTTACAGAGAAAGATCTTCCATCAGTTGGTTTACTCTTCAAGTAGCTGCAATGGCAGGAGCTGAGCTAAGCTGATCCAAAGCCAAGAGCAAGGGGCTTCTTCCAGGTCTCCCATGTGGGTATAGGGTCCCAAGGTGTTGGGCCATCCTCTACTGCTTTCCCAGGCCATAAGCAGGGTGCTGGAAAGGAAATGGAGCTACCAGGATACAAGCCTGTGCCCATATGGGATCCCAGAGCATGCAGGGTGAGGAGTTTAACCTTGTTCTTTATCAACCAATATATCCCAATGACTGGCCCAGTTATAAATCCTCAGTAGAAGAGTAGATAAATGTATGTGAAATTTATAAGGCCAAGGATAATGTTTTAAATAGAACATTTCCTTCCTTTCCATTTATTTAAGGCATCCCTTGATAAGTTATTTCATCAGGCAAACCTTGATTTGACATTAATAACCTATTTTCTGTCATTTAAAATTTACAGTATAGAGGTACCCGTGAAGAAGGATAAAATAACATTTACAAAGACATAGTTCTACTCCCACTGGTAAATATGAGGACCAGGGCTGTGGTGGGCCAAGCTAGACAAAGCAGCAGCACCTGTCAACATGTATGTGGGCTGGGTCTGGGAGTGGGTCAGGCTGAGCCAAGCAGCAACACACCTGGGGTGTGCATGAAAGCTGGATGATACGCCAGATGAGATGCAGGCTAGGCTGGGCTAGGCCACAGCAGAGCCTGGCACTTACAAAAACTGGGTCTGGAGGTGGGCCTGCTAGGGTAACTGAGGGGTCACCTAGACTAGGCTGCAGTACTGGCTGGTATGCATGAGGATTAGGTCTGCGGTAGGCTAGTTGAATTGGGCCCCAGCACCTTTAAATTCATGTGAGATATGAGGCTAGGGCAGAACTGACCAGGCTACTGCAGATGACAGACCATACCTGACCCTGCACTAGCTGGTGCATAAAAGTCTGAGGTCACTCCAGGTGAGGTTTCCTGGGGGCCTCCGCAGCTAGTCTGTTGGACTCAGATCCAAGCCACAGGGAAAATTAGAGGATGTGTGATCCCACCTTAGAATACATGTATCAGGACTGGGCTTCCTCAGTTGCTGATGCCTATCTAGTGGACAGCATGCCCAGATGCACACAAGGGACATGACCATGACAGCCAGCTCATTTAGGTCAGAGAGGGCTGTCAACTACCTTGTCAGAGGATGGAAAGCAGAACAGGTTGGACAATTCTGACCAAGCTTTGCAGCATGTATTTGGGTCAGTGCATGCAGAATAGTGGACTTTGTCAAACAACAGGCCTTAGAAAGGTTTTCTCAACCTAGGAGCAACAAAGCCAACAGCTTCCCAGAATTATCAAAGCCACTCAAATAACACCGTTGGGAACGCTCTTCTCTACATCTGGGTCTCTAAGGCATCTCAAATGACCATCCATCCCTCTATCCCCAGATGCTGATGTAGTATAACAGCAAAGAACGACCCCCTCTCTTGCAAAAACAAAACAAACAAACCGAAACATTTGTCTCACCCACTTTCTTCCATACCTGACCCCTCCCACCCTCTCAACTATGTAAACAACACATTACAAAGAATTAGGAAAAAAACCCAAAACAACGTCAAAGTTCTTGAATCATCTTTGCATAGCTGTAACTTCCATTTTAACATGTTACTAAAGCCAGATTGCTATAAGCGTTGTGAAAGGTTAAGTAACTGTTTTTTTTTTTTAAATTAATTTGTTTTCTTTGACAGACACAGCTGACATTGCCTCAGTAGACTAGGAGCTCTTAGTTGGCTGTCTCGGTAGGTAGTTTGGGTCGGTAGTTTGGCCATGTCCCTTGTGTGCATCATAGCTGGTATTATTTATTTCTCTTCCCTCTGTGAAGCTCAGAGGATGCCGGGTTCATCCATCAGCCCAAGACAGCACAGCCCTATGTTTCCTGGTCTGGTGACATGCCAATCATCCTGGGGAGAACAGGTGGGCTTTCTAGTACCGTATTTCAGCTCACAGATCTGGCTGTCCATCTTCTTGAGCTTCTCACAGATCTTCACTGCAGGCATGTGCACACTCATTGGGCGGATGACTTCACCAAGGATCTTTGTGGCAGCATCTTTTGTGGCTCCTAGATAATAGCACTGAGGGAAAACCAGCAGACTCGTTACCGACAACACATAGAAATACTGTATTAAGACGGGATGGAGCAATTAGTCTAGTCTTCATGATGTGGCTATTAAATTTGAAACCCTGCTGACTAAGACAGCAGACAACAAACGACTTCCTTCTTGTGACCATTCTAATTAAAAGTGCCCTATATTTCACATGATGTTAAAAGACGATTGAGAAAAGGTAACACTTCTTGTTTTCTCTATGCAGGTGTTGTTCTTGGTGCTTTAAAGGCAGTAACTTATTTCATTCTCACAAAAATCCTGTGAAGTACGTACTATTATTATCCCCATTTAAGATCAAGCCAACTCAATGAAGGTCAGCCAGCAAGAAAAGAGGGAATTATAAAATCATTGTCCTATTTCCAGTATGTGATAGTCACACTGCCTCTTAAGTCACCTAATTTAATAATTTTACATTAAATAATATAAAACTTAATGGTACAAATAAATGTCATGAATTTCATAATATATCAGAGATGAGACATCAGCATTGCAAATTTAGCTGATGAATTTAATGTGAATATCTTAATCTAAAAAGAATTGGCCTGAAAAATGTCTTTTGTTAAGTAAAACAGTATGTAGAAACAAGCATATGCGTATACTCAGGAAACATAATACAAATGCTGTAACAAGGAAACAAATACTTCATTAGATTTATATAAATAAGAGTATAAAATGCCTTGATAAATTTGACTATCTTAGTAAGAAGTTCAAACATCTACTAAGATAATCTTCATTAGGAATTTCCTTTTATAATTTAAGAAAAGATAAAACTGATTGGCTTTAATTTAAGCAAAAATCTAAATGAGGGGTCCACATTATAGCAATACCAACATTCCATAAAGGCACTGGTTCAATCCCAGGTACTCTACTTAGGATCCAGCTCCATACCCAAGTACTTGGGTCCCTGTATCCATGTGGGAGACCTGGATGAAGCACCTTACTACTGGTTTTGGCTTGCCCCAGCTCCTGGGCATTGTGAACATTTGGGGAATGATCAGTGGATGGAAGATTTTTTTTCTCTCTCCTTTCCTTTTTCCTCCCCTCTCTTTGACTCTGCCTTCCACAATAAAGATTAAACTGGATAGACGCTGAATGAAAATACATAGGGCTACATTTTACTGGAAGATAGATTTTCTGTTTGCTTTCTGTAGTGAACATGCTTGAGGTGGTATGTAAATAGAAGGCTATTAAGTTTAATATGAGAAATGAAGCTATTACCAATTTTTAGACATATAGGAAAAATGAAAAGTAAAAATCCACCATACCAGGCGGTTTTCTTTTCCTTTAGCATCCATGCAAAAGCTGATCAATTCTTTTTCTATGATATCCAGCGAAAAGTGAACTCCTCTGGTTATCAGAGAGTTGTAGAATCGATTCAAGAATTCCTTGCATACTAGAATGAACAAAGAAACATGTCTTTATAGATAACTGAATCATAATCACATACATGACCTACTTTCCAAATAAAGTAGTTATAATTCAAAGCATGTGGAAATGGACTCAAATTCCACTTAAGAATGATTTCAGGGCCAGGTGTAATGGCTTAATTGGCTAATCTTCCCCCTGCAAGCACCAGATCTCACGTGGGACTGGTTTGTGCCCTGGACACTCACTTCTGATCTAGCTCCCTGCTTGTGGTCTGGGAAAGTAGAAGAGAATGGCCCAAACTTTTGGGGGCCTAAACTTTTGGGACCCTGCACCCACATGGAAGACCTGGAAGAAGCCCCTGCCTCTTGGTTTTAGATCGGCTCAGGTCTAGCCACTGTGGCCATTTGGGAAATGAACCAGCAGATGGAAGATCTTTTTCTTTGTCTCTCCTTCTCTCTATAAATCTGTCTTTCCAATAAAAACAATTTTTTTAAAAAACAAAGAATAATTTCAGACTTGTTGCTGCTGGTTTAGTACTGGGCTTAAATGCAGGGAAAAGCTAATATGAGTGTAACTAATCCATTTTGGAATGAAACTCCAACCAAAATGAGAACTTTTCCATTAAAACTGGCTCAGCATAAAAAAAAAGCTTTCTACAGAATTTGATTTTGACACAGCTTTGTTTGAAGCACAGCCAGTAAGTACACTGAATGAGCCCCCTTGGTGGCCAACACAAGTCTTTGTTTCTTGATCATGAGTCTAAGGTGAAGCCCCAATTTGAACAACTACATTTATTTTTTAAAAAAATTTATTTATTTTTATTGCAAAGTTAGATATACAAAGAGGAGAGACAGAGAGATTCCGCTGATTCACTCCCCAAGTGAGGGCAATGGCTGGTGCTGTGCTGATCTGAAGCCAGGAGCCTCCTCCAAGTCTCCCACGCGGGTGCAGGGTCCCAAGGCTTTGGGCCGTCCTCGACTGCTTTCCCAGGCCACAAGCAGGGAGCTGGATGGGAAGTGGAATTGCCGGAATTAGAACTGGTGCCCATATGGGATCCTGGCACATTCAAGGCAAGGACTTTAGCCACTAGGCCACTGTGCTAGGCCCTGAACAACTATATTAAATCCAACGTCCACAGTCAGCAAATGAGATGGAGCTCATAACAAGCCCAGCCACTGATAAGCACCATAGTTAATATTCATCAGGTGCCTCTCCTAAGCATCTTATGTATTTTAACTCATTCAAATCTCACAGAAAAACCACCAGAGACATCTTTTCTATTTTCATCTTTGCAGATACAGTAGGTGAGATTGGATGTGAGGTCACCTGCCTAGCCCAGTCAGTAGTGTAAAGGGCATCAAACCCCTGGTGGCCTACATGCCCACATGATTCTCCATCAGATAATTCTGCCATGGAAGGAGGCTACTTTTCCAAACAACAAGCAAGCTTCAAAGGAAGCCAAGCCAAGCCAAGCCAAGCCAAGAAAAAAATAGCTCTAAATATAGAAGAAAATTCTGGAGAAATGCAGCAAGCCTTTTATTCTCTCTGTTCCTCCTTTTGATGCCTTCCACTTCCTAAAACTAGGAAGGAGCTCTGTCCCTTGTACCCCAAGGCCAACTGTCTTTACCTGTCGGATAAAGTCCGGATCAATCAATTATTCTGACATGCAAAGTAGATATCTGAAGTAGTTTAAACTGTGCTCCTTTGATTAAAAGTCATTTATCTACTTAAACATTTATTGAGCATTCTGTCAAGCACAGAGAGCTAATACAGAATGAACTTGTGGAAGAAAGACATGGAATTCAGAAAAGAGGATCTGATTGTAGGAAGGAATGCTGAGAAAAGAAAATAGCAAATATGAGAAAATCCAAATAAACATAAACAAATAATAGCTAAAATTAAAGGGAAATAAACATATGGTAGCTAAAGTTAAAGGGAAAAGTTAATAGAAGGTTTAGGAGATAAAGGTGGAAAAAAAATCCCTGGAAAGTAGAGGAAAAGAGCAAAATAGAAAGTGGTTATTAAAATTCAGGAAGTTAAAATATAAGCAATGTAAGTTCCAAAGAGATATATTAAGAAAGAAGTTATCTAAAATAGCAAGACCAGAAATTGTCCCATCACAGGAGGATATGAGTATCTGATAGACCAAATAAGCAAGGACTTGAATACACTATAATTTTTTAAAGAATTCAATTCAATTCTCTTTCTCACTAGGTCTTCTAACAACTTCTACAATCAAGAGTTCTGGCAAAAAGCAAACACAAAATCACCATTCCTCAATGGATTTGAATGAAAAACGGAAATTAATCATATACAAATTCAAGAGAAGATACCAGAAAACACCCAAACTGTGTCTAAAAGGACACATGAATTTATGCTGGCTGCATTAAGCCACTGTCTTCTTAACCAAATCAAACTTGAGATTATTTTTAATCTATCATTGAACCAGCTGAGTCTGTGGATTGGTGTATTTTATCAGACTGGGCAGATCCTTAGCTAGTATCTATTCAAACATGGCTTCTGCACTATTTTTGTTTTTCTCTTTTTATTTCAATTGACCTATGTTGGATTATCTCACTCTATTCTTCAAGTCTGTACACTCTCTTCTCCACATTTTATTTGCTCTGTCCTGCATTACATATTACTCTTCTACCTTCTAGTTCTTTGATATTCAGATTGTGGTTCTTAAACCAGCAGCACTTGCATTACCTGGCCCAAGAGACATTTTTTAAAAAATTTTCTTATTTCCAGCAGAAATAGAAAAATCCAAGCTAGTCTCTTGTGTATGCAAACATGCTAAGCATATTGTAGATGGCTGATAATTCCAGTATCTAAAGTCTGCGTGTTTCTATATGTTGTCGTTTCTCTGGGTTCTTGCTCATGGTGCCTGGTTTCTTTCCATTCTGGTTTATTTTGTATCATGTGATGCTCAAAGTTCTTGAAACTCATTTGTGATCATCTGAAACCTAAAATGAAGGCATCTCATTTTCAGAAAGGATTTGCTTTTGGTATTCATCAGTGACTAGGAACGGCTAACCAGAGTCAATTATTAACTAAATCCACAGCTTTATTTGTTTTATACTCAATATGGATTTTGGTTGCAAATCCATGTGAGAGACATTTCATAATTATGATCCCTGATTTTTTCCTGCCCTGATCAGAATGAAGGCAAGTTTCAATAAAGTTCTTGATGGATATAAATGGGTTTATTGCTTCTTCAAACTTGCTCTAAGGAGATTCTAAAATAGAGAAGAATGTTCTAGTAGACAATGCTCCTCCTGTTGTCATGTAAAGCTAATCCTACATTCGATCTTTCTTCTTCACACCAACAGTTACCTTTACACTAGCAAATTCCTCAAGGGAAAATGACTTAGAGTCAGTTTCCCTATCAGGATTGTGGCATTTCTTTTCACTTTCTTCTAGTGAAACCTTTCATCATGTCAATTCATGTTTTAATGAATTTTTTTTTTCTGTATTTTCTTCTGCATTTATAGTACTTATTGCCCAGAGGAATGGAGTAACGTGACTCATCAAATTCCTAAAACCAGGTAGAGTGAAGGTCAGACACATTTCTTCATGCGCTCCTAAAACTTAGACCACAATCTTCTGCTTTTTCCAGAGCATTAACAGGGAGTCAGATTGAAAATGGAGCAGCTGGGATCAAATGAGTGTTCCAACGTGATGCTGATGTTGTAGGCAGCAGCTTAACATGCAGTACCACGAAGCTACCAGGCCACAGGAAGATAGAATGGAAAGGTGCATGCTTTTGGCACAAAGATATTTGAAAAATCATGCACACCTTTCTCATAATATGCAGGTTCCATAAACTGTTCAAGTATCCTCATATAAAATACCTAAGAGAGGATCACTTGGTTGTTAAGGCTGGAACTCTAGAAAGGAAGCAGGCTGAATATAAAGGTTTGGTATTTACTAGGCTGTAAGTAGATGGATTTTAATTACACATAAGAGTATGTAGATGGAGGACAGAGAAGGGCAGGGGGCAGACCCTGGAAAAGGCTAATACTTAAGGCATGGCCAGAGGATTTTACATGTATATTTATACACACACAAAAATTATATGTAACATTGTATAGTTTATATTTCTCTTATGTATTTATATTTATACGTTTATATATGCATTTTATATATATGAATATACTTTGTACAAATTGCTCAGGGATGATAAGCAAAGAGGCCGGGAGGAAAGTAGTATTATGGTCACCAATGGAAGAAAGCTTCTGAAAGGAAAGGAGTCAGTTGTGTCACATGCCACCGAAAAACTCATTCCTTGGCCTTTCAGAATGAAAACAACCTCATTATAAATTGCCTTAAAAAAAAAAGACAGCAAAAAGAGGGGTTTCCGGCATGTATTTATTGTGAAAATAACATTATACAACTATAGTCATTCATGTTGTAGTTTTCTGCTGATGAAAAATACTGTCATAAGTAAAAGTATACATAAAAATAAGAGGGTCATACATGGCCACATAATACAGTCCTTGTAAAGAGATGAGAAAATAGTTATAAGCTTTATATTACGTTACACAAGGCTTACAACCTTAAATATTCATGGGTTCTAAGCAAGAAAAAAGAGAAAGAAAAGCAAATGAATCCAGGGGGAAAAAAATCTGGAGACCAGAGGTGACATCAGGGCTTATGACTACCAGTATAACCTTACTTTAGAGTTCATTTTTGGTTACAGGTAACAGACGCCCTTTCTAAAACAGGCAGACATACATGGCTCTATGGGCCAGTCTTGCTAAGTTTTCCGGTTTTCAAGAAAAGCTACAAATGTAATTTTTTTAAACATGAAATATTTCAAGTTTACTAATAGCTGATTACATTTTTTCTGAAGTACTTTGTCTATTTAACAAAATACATCTGTAAGACCAAGGTCACTCATGCACCATTTTTACCTCTGTTGTAAATTCCTATGATACAGCATTTCATTCTTATACATTGAGAAGGAACTGAGTAATGAAAAGGCTTGCAAGCAGTAACAGAGGCTGTCCTAGAATCTAGTTCTTCCTGTTCCAAATTATTTCCTTCCTCTGTGATTACACAGCCTCTTTACTCACCAAAGGAAATATATACACAGGTTAGTCTGACATATACATAATCAGGACATGCTGTAATAAATTTAGGAAAGATACTGTAAGCGTCACACTTAATTAGTCCACATTTATTGTAGCTCCTGAAATGCTTTAAGTAGAAGTTTCAGAAAATAAATTACTGACAGCCTGTCTATCCCTTAACAAATGCTGCCTTAAATGTAAAGGACACAATTCTGTCTTTGAACAAAATTGTAAGTTAGTAGTGAAACAAGTATCTTTAAATCAAGGCTAAAAAACAACACCATGAACAGATTCAATTTCAGGAGAAGTTTCTTGTGGAGATCACAGGAAAACCTGACCCAAGTGTTGGCTCCTTGACGCAGAAGCTAAGATGCCAGTTGGGATGGAAGACAAGTCACAGACAAATTTACCTGCTAGCTTTGTTCCTGCCATAGTGCCCCATGGGAGGCACTGAGGTAGTCCATGCCAGCCATGGGAGACCAGCTTTGAGTTCCAGGTTCCTGATCCAGTCACCACTTTCCATTGCAGGCATTTGGAGGAGCCCGCAGATGTGAGACACAAACACATAAACAGACAGAAGATCTGGGCTGCAACTATCAAGGTTTGATCACCTCACACTCAATCCTTCCACATAATTTCTAAGTCCACAATTCCGTTATTGCGCATAGATTGTCCAGTTCAGGGTGTACATACTTAAACAAATTATTTCAATGCAACAATGGTGATGGTAGCCCAAGAGGAAGATGCTAAGAGAGCTAGTTACCTTTTTTGCTCTCCTTAACAGAGTTGCAAGAACCAGGCACAGTGGCCAGAGCCAGTGGGCTTGATGGGACTTAGACCATTGTGACCACAAGTCCGGAGCAGAGCCCCTGTGAACTGAAAGAAATCAATTTTTAACTCCTCTGGGAAGGAATTCCCTTTGAAAGTCACTTTAATCTGCACAGCCCTAGTAATAAAAGTTAGCTATTTTCATTTATTTGAAAGGCAGAACCAGAGTCACGTTGACAGAATCCATCTACTGGATCATTCCACAAATGCCTTGAACTGCCAGGACTGGGAGCCAGGAATTCAGTCCTCCTCTCCCCCATGACAGTGACCTAACAGTAACAGAACCATCACCTGCTGCCTCCCAGGGTGTGCACTGGCAGGTGGCTGCAATCAGAAGTATAGCAGTGACTTAAACCCAGCCATTCCTGTATCAACTCCTATAAGTGATATGGCAGTCCCAAGCAGTGGTTTACCCACTGAGCCAAGTGCCCACTGAAACTCAGGTCGTGCTTTTTGCGAGGGAGGCACAAAATACACTTAATTTGTCTTCGGTACGAGGAGGGCAAGCCTACCTATCTATTTGGCTTCAGGGTCACAGGAATCTAGCAGTGTTTGTACAAAATGTAACCCTAATCCAACCGCAACCGCTTTTATTGCAGTAATTTAATATTCACAGCAAAACCAGGACGTGGCCTCCAAGTGTCACGAGACCCGTTTCGAGCTTTCGCTTGCGTAAAGGTGATCTAGAATTAGGGACAGGGCCTGCGTTTCCTAGGTGAAATGACATTTATGGCCGGTAACAGGGAGAAGCCAAAGCCAAAACAGCCGCGGCGCGGCGCGGCGCGGTGCGGTGCGGTGCCGGGCGCCATGCTAGCAGGTCACACGCCGCTCACCTTCACAGTCGGCTCCCGGCCGGCCCCCGGCTTCCTGGCCCCAGGCCAGCCCCGTGTTCGAGACCCAGAGCCCGGCGCACAAGGCCAGGACGGCACCGAGGCTCGCGCACCACATGCTGAGCCAGCACTTGCCATGCACTACCGAACCCGCACACGAAGTAAAGCGGCCACAGGCGAGGGCCGAGCCGGCAGTCGGAGGAACCCGCGCCGAGTCGCAGCAACAAATGACGTAACACAAACTGGAGTTTCAATTGGCTCTCAACAAAGCGTGCCGGGAACGGGGCGGGACGAAGGAACCTGTGCCTGGGACCTCCGCAGCTGGCGCATGCGCCGTGTCGTTCCAGGCCGAGAGCGGACAGCTACACTAAGGCCATTCGCCTGCTGCTGCTGAGGAAAGACTGGATTGGTGGCGGGAAGGAGGCCGCGGCGAACTAGACGCAGTGGGCGGGCGGGAACGTGAAGTCTCCGCGGTGCCTGATGGGGCAGTTGGGTGGCTGGTAGCGGCCGAGGGGCGCCTTGTACTTGCCGTCCCTCTCCTGGATGCCTCATGGCGGCCATCGGAGTTCACCTGGGCTGTACGTCAGCCTGTGTGGCGGTCTATAAGGTGAGGGACTCGGGGCTCTGGGCTACGGGAGTCGTGCTGGTCTCGGGTTCTCTGGGTTGCGGGGTCACCTACAGGTATGGGTTAACGGTGGCATGTTGCCGACCTACGGTTGTGGTGTGGATTGGTCAGGCTGGCAGACTTTGGGAGGTGAAGGGCCACTCGAGCCGGACAGACCTCGTCTCTCGCCGCTTCTGTGCAGAGCAGACTCGTGATGATGCCTGGCACGTGGAGTTCGGAAGGAAATCGGGGTGGCGGGACGCTGGGAGGTTCCCCCGGATTCAGGGTCCCAGGGATGCCCGGAGGTGTCTCGGTGACGTCACAGCCTCAGGATTCCCGGGGGTGGACATCCCTGTGTGGCGTGAGAGCATCAGGACGCGCTGAGCTACACCGGAAGGTCTGGGGCCACGAGGGGTGGGGTGGACGCGATCTGAAACTGGAGCTGCAAGCGTGCCTTCCTGGGAAGCGAGTGGATCGTCCCGAGCGCTGCAGAGTCCTTTCTGGAAGGGAGAACTGGCCAGGGAGTAGTAGCCTTCCTCTCCTCAGTGGCAGATGGACGGAACAGCAGTAAAGCACACCCAATTAGGTGTCAAGTAATTGGTAAGGACAGACTCCCTGGAACTGGAAGGGCTTCAATTGTAGGAAAGAGCCCGTGTGGTTTGGGGTGTTGGTGGGGAAAGAGAATCCTAAAAAGTATAATCACACTTGCTATCGCGTGAGGAAGAATGGTTGTGTTTATCTAGTTGATGACCATGCCTTGACAGACCAAAAACCTGACAGGGTTAAAGTCTGGGAAGTGAAATCTGCTACTAGTTTCAGGTGTTGATGTAGCCGTTGTTTCCGTGTAGATGGCAAAATAACACTGATCCACATTCGTCTGAATGTGTCTGAGGAAAGTGTATTTCAGGAGAATTCCTGTCCTGTGTTTTTTCTAGGATGGCCGGGCCGACGTGGTTGCGAATGATGCAGGTGACAGAGTTACCCCAGCTGTAGTTGCTTATTCAGACAATGAAGAGGTACTGTTGCCCTCATTTTTCTACTTGGAGGGAAAAAAAAAACTCTTTAAACTGCATGCCTTGTAATATATTGCTCTTTTTCAGGTTGTTGGACTGGCAGCCAAACAAAATAGAATAAGAAATATTTCAAATACTGTAATAAAAGTGAAGCAGCTCCTTGGCAGAAGGTATGGAATAAAATGGTTTCTTGAAATCTGGTAATACAAATGTATTGACAATCGCTTCTTGGCCTTTTGGCTAAGATCAAGTGTAGTACAAATGTATTGACAAATTCTGGCATAACATGAAATGGAAGCACCAGTGCTACGGTTTGTTTTTCATTGTTTTTTAATAACTGAGTTATTTTGGGAGAGTAGATTTCTTTCCTTTCCTTTGTTTTTGAATATGGGTGTTGGAGCTTCTCTGAAATGTATTCACTCTGATGTGTGTTTCTTACTGAAAGGTCTGTTAGCATTGATGAATGCCAGCGTGCATTCAGTTTTGATCATTTGTATTATCCAGAGCTAGTAATCTGGATTTTCCATAATTTTATAAATGTAGCAATTTGAAGACTTCTTGGCAGGGTGATTGAATTTTTCAAAATCTGTCATACTTGGTCATAATTTATGTCCATGATTCTTCTTCAGGGCCTTTTGTGACACTTCTGGGAACCACCTTTTCCAGCTGGTTTACAAATTTAATCATTAGAGAAAAATCTTAATTCATGTCTTTATAAGAATCAGGTTAATTAGCTGCTGTAATTTTAATTAGAAGAGTAGAGAAGCTTGCTTCCTCAGACTTCTGTCTCCTCAAATTATAGATTACTATACTAATTAAAGTTTTTGTTAGCACAGTAATACTTGGTGGAATGTTTTTAATCATCTCAACATCCATGTAACATTGGTAGGGCAGATACTGCCTCTAGTTATAGATGAGAAAATCAAGGCATAAAGAAGTTGTGGCATTTCTAACATAGTTAATAAACTAGACAAGACAGTTCAGGTCTCCTAACACCTAGGTCTGGATTCTTTCCTTTCTGCTTTATTTATTGAGAACTTAAATAGAAATTTCCTTGTGTTGATTTTAGGATCTTGAGATTATAGATTAAAATTTTCTTTTAATGTATGGAAATTTTTAGTTGTCTCTAACCTGTGTATAGTTAAATCAAACGATCGCAATTTTTCTTCCTTAGGATATCTATGTATTAAACCAAAGCCTGTAGTATGGTGAGAATTCAGATTTTTGTGATGCTGAATGTATTCTCATATCCTTTTACTTGACATAACTGGTCCTGAGTACATTAAAGTGAAGATAGTTGGTTTCAAATATTTTCAATTCATAAGCTGTGGGTTGGGTGTGGAGCACATAAATTTGTGAATCTTGGAGCCAGAATCAGGAGTAACCAACAGTATTTGTTAAGAAAACTTTAGTTTGAGATCATTGTAGCTTCACATGCTGTAATGAATAGTACAGAGACAACTGGTGTATTGCTGGACTTGGCGCTTTCCTCAAATGGTGACATTTACAAAACTATAGTACAGTATCACAGCCAGGAAACTGGCTGCAGGCAAGGGAGCAGACAAGTCGGTAGACCTATCATTGCAGTAGCCAGCGATGCGTTTTTGTTTTATGTTGTTTGGGGACAGATGGTTAAGTTATGGTGTGTAACTTTTGCTGTATTATGCAAAACGCTTTGTATTAGCAGAACTACTTAAGCTCACTTTTCGGCCCTTAAAGTTTCTGTTTAGCAGAGTTACTTTCGAGGTGCTAACATGCAGCCACAGCAAGTCCTTCAGCAAAGATTCCTGCAGGCTGAACACCTTCCATGCATTCTGTGATCCCATTGTCCTGCCAGTACCTCTACAGAAATAGCTGCCTTGTGGCCTGATGTGTTTTCCTCCTTGATCCAGCTACTCATCAGTGCTGATGTTTACAGTCGCATTTGGCCATTTGTGGAAGAACTAGTCCTTTTGTAATGCATCCATTATACCTTTTGTCCAGAACCCACCCTGAGTGAACTTTCCACGTAGGGCTTTCTTTGTCTTGGCCTGACACCTATTTATGATCTTACATGCACAGATGATCCCCCTCCCTCAACCCCTCAGCTTGACACCAGCATTATCCTTGCAAACCCTCCCTGTAACTCTCATTCCCTTGTGGCTTTCTAGCTAGAAATGCGGTCCTCGGACCTGGCTTCTCTGCAATTAATAGCCGTAAGAGGGAAGAATTAGTTGGCTGCTGGAAATATACTGAGAGCACACAGAGTGTACCCATACCTTCAGATTTGCACCTTGCTGCCTCAGTAACCGTCCTTCGCAACTCACTATGGCCAGTGCCAGTAGCAGTGCTGGCATCCGATGGTCCAGACAGGAGACACGAACTCTTTTGTCCATACTTGGGGAGGCAGAGTATATCCAGCGCCTCCAGACTGTGCATCACAATGCAGATGTCTATCAGGCTGTGTCTAAACGAATGCAACAGGAAGGCTTCCGCCGCACAGAACGTCAGTGCCGCTCCAAGTTTAAAGTGCTGAAGGCATTATACTTAAAGGCCTATGTTGCTCATGCCACCAGTGTGGGTGATCCACCTCACTGTCCATTTTATGATACATTGGATCAGCTTCTCCGTAATCGGATAGTGACTGATCCTGACAACTTAATGGAGGCTCCTGCTTGGGCCAAGCACTGTGATCAGAACATAATGGCCTCTGACAAGCCAGGGGAAGAGGGAACCAGCGTTCTGAAGGTAAAAGAAACTCGGGCAGCTGATCGCCAATCTGCCTTGAAAACAGTGCAGAAATCAGATGAGGATTGTCAGCTGAGAATGAGTGGCCGGATGCAAGAAACCAGTGACCTTGAGGAATCCTGGGATGAATCCTCGGGCACAGGTAACTTCAAGCATGTGAAGGATTGGGGTCCTGGAGTCACTTGGTTTTAAACAATAAAAGTATATTTGGGTGCTCCCTGTTTTTGTCCCCCTTTCTTTTTAAAGACCTAATAGTAACATTAGAAGGGCTTGAGTTTTTTTTTAAAACTATGTATGTAAGGTATTAGAGCTCTTTAAGCCCAAACTAAGAAATGCTGTTTGCAACAAAACTAGTTTTGGCATTACCTATAATGGGTACTTAGAAACTGGTGGGTGTGGAGTGGGCTGGATAGTTATATAGATAGGGATTCATGGAGGCAAGGGGGACATGGCAAGGGATTACAAGAGGTGCAGATATTTAAAGAACACCTATCCAGCAACTTTCAGTTTGTGATTGTTTCCCAACTCTGGCTGGCTCAAACATTCCCTAGCAGGAATGTCCTCTTTGCAACATTGTTGCTTTGTTTTTCAGGGTGCTCTCAAGGGACCCCCACCTACAGCACTTCCCACAAACTTTTCCGAGGTGCAGTTGCTCCTTGTGAGAGCAGCCCCGTGACCAGACTGGGTGTGTTCAACGAGCCCAGTCCCTGCACTAGCTCCAGCCGGAACTCCCCCTGTGTAGCCTCCACCCCGCGGCCTCCAGTCTCCTCCTCCAGAGTTGGTTTTGTTTCTAGAGGGCATAGGCCTTTGACCAGTGAACCCCCTCCAAGGTGGGCAAGGCGAAGAAGGCGGTCAGTGGCCAGGACAATTGCAGCTGAGTTGGCAGAAAACAGGAGGCTGGCACGAGAACTTTCAAAGCATGAGGAAGAAAAACTGGACAGGCTCATTGCTATTGGTGAGGAAGCCAGTGCTCAGCAAGACGCTGCCAATGAGCTTCGCAGAGATGCTGTCATCGCAGTCCGCCGTCTGGCCACAGCCGTGGAAGAGGCCACTGGCGCTTTTCAGCTAGGGCTCGAAAAATTGTTTCAAAGGTTGATTTCAGATACCAAAAGCTAGCGACCGTTGTCATCTGACACTCTGGTTCCTTTTTCATCTCCGCAGGAAAAAAAGCTGCATGGAGGGTGGGGAGAAGACAAGCCATTAATATACAGAATAGTAGGAATATACCTACCTTTGCTGAGGCTCTCCACTAATTGAGAGGTCTGTCAGAAATAGGAGGAGTGGTCTAAGAGAAAACCCTGGGGCCAAGTCCGAGAGAGCTAGTGTGTCATGGCTTTGTCACTGACGTGAGAAAATTTCACTTTCCCCTGTCAACAACAGTTTCCCCATTTGTAAAGCAGGCCTTGCTCACAGGGCTGTTGTGAGGATCACATGGCTCACAGATGTGAAAAGGTTTGAAAGCAATATACACATGTAACCAACTGATGCACATGACCTTGTCTGAGGCAAAGCTGGGGTGAGCACATCAGTTTACAAGATAGAGACGTATGGTTGTATCGTGACCTCATTGCTCGAATCTTTACTAGTTTATCCTGTTTCGTGGAGTTTTGACAGCTTTTTTTTTTTTTAAGTCCCTCTGTGGCTCCTTAGACACTAGGCACAACAAATATTCACAGCTATCTATTCTGTTTTAACTGCTGTGTCTGAATAGCACTGAATAGGCTTCTGTTTTAGCTTTGGTAACACTAGAGGGCAGTGTGGACAAAGACTCCCCAATCAATAACTCCCATTTAAGTGGAGACCCTCACTAGTAACTGCTTTCTCGCCACTTCCACCTCATTACACTGACACAAGAAGAGATGATGATGATAAGCTGTACTTTCAGTTTGGAAAAAAAAAAAAGCCATTACTGAGCACCATTAAACTCACTTCAAGCTTTTTATGGGTTACTTAGTACTTACAGAAAATACAAATAGGAGTTCTTGAGATTTAGAAAGCTTTCCTGTGACTTAGAAGCTGAGAGAAAAAAAAAAAGAATGATTGAATAGGGAAAGGATTTTTCAAGCTTGGGGTGCTGGACATGCAAATAGGTGGGAAAAACAAACAGTGGGAGTGTGCCTGGAACCACGAATAGAAGGCAGGCCACAAAGCAAACTCTTCTGCTGGTTGAGGGAGGGATATGTGAAGCAGCTGGTGTGGTGGAATACACTTGAATCTAGTTAGAACTCCTGGATTATGACCCTCAGAGTTTACTTTATTTGGCAAATCATGTGCCCTTTAAAAGCCTCAGTTTTTCTTTTGTTTGAGGGACTTCTCCTAGATGCTGTTTTTCTAGTAACTGTCAGTTTCAAAAAAGTTTCAAAAACTATCATAAATGAGACAAAATGAGTGTGTTCGTGTGACTGGTAACAAGTATATTTTAAGGAAGCATTCTGTGGTATTGGTGTGAGTATTCTAAAAAACTTGGGACCACAACAAATGTGCATACTCCTTGCTTTAAAGGAACTTATATTAAGCATTGGAATTGATACAGATTTTATACATTGTCTGTATTGTTCTGGGGCAATCATGGAAGGATAGGTGTCAGATGGAACTAGATTACACTAATGTAAATAGGTAGATTTTTTCCTGGAAAAATAGGAAAGTTACTTGAAAACTTAGACCTGTACTATGTATAGCTATTAATGGTAGCAAAGTATATAGGCAAGAATTTATTTGACAGAAATGCTAAAGCATACAAGTGGAGTTAAAGTTTATAGTTGGATTATGAAATTCTAATGGATGAAGTAACTTGACAAAAACTTGAGAGAATGACCTTGAAGAAATAAACAGAAACTAGTGTCAAATAGAGAAGCTATAAACCTGTAGACCAAGAAAGAATGCCCTAAGAATCCTACCTACAGTATGGACCCATTGGTTTCTGTCTACACGTCCTTAAACTAACAAGTCCTTTACCATTCTGTTACTCAGGTTATTCTTGTATAAAGTGGGAAACTACTAACAATTGTCTTACCTACCTCACAGGGGTGTTGTGAGGATGAATGTAAATGCTGTTAAATATGTAAGGCACTACAGTGAAACGTGCAGGGGAGGAACACACTATAGCAATGAGTGCTGGTGTGTGCCAGGTGCATAGGCCTGCTAAGAAATCATCTAGAAGGAAGAGACAGTGCGTTACTGGTAACAGCTGTAAATCATGGTAGGACTAACTCTGCCTCTTAAAACCACAGTGTGAATAAGGTGCTGTGTATACCAACCTCCTACCACCCTTATCTTTCTGTTAAGTAATTTAATTCTGGTATGAATAAATAAAGTTTTACTTGTCTGTAGTTGTGGGTCAGTCCGCTACTTCCTGATGACATCTATAATCCTTTTTTCTACTCCCATTCTCTGCTTTCTACTTCTATTCTTACCAATCTACTGTGTGTGGCCTGTTTTATAAACGTCTTCAGAGTTCCATGTACTTTCCTCAGTCAAGAGAGGCTATTTAAACAATTGGGAAATAATTTTAATTTGCGATAGTCCTCTATAAATTCCATGAAGTATCCATGTAATACATATAAAATATTCTTTCTGGAACATTATTTTGTAGTAATCTTAGATTATCTAGGCTTACGAGGATAAGCTATCCCGGATGACTTGAATTCCATTCTAAAGAAAAGAACTTTCAATGGCAAGCTCAAATGATAATATTGGTACAAAACCCAGTATGGGCACACTTCACCCTTTTCCCCCTAGTCTTAAAGGACTTGTTTGGGAGGTAATCTGTTGAGTTTAGAACAGGAGCACAGAGTTTATTAGAAGTGATACTAAATTTTGTAGTGGAGAACTGAATACCAGCCAATGGTGGCCTTCATTAGCTGTGTGACTACTGAGCAAGCTAGTTTCCTCTATTAATTGACTTTAGGTGACAGAGGGAAGAGGAACCAGTAAATATTGCAGAAATCTAGGCAAATTATTTTAACCACTTCTCTGCCTCTTAAATAGTTAAGGTCCTCAAATGTTGTGTAGTCCTTCTACAGGTAGTCACTATTTTTAGCTCTTCATGAATACAGAAGTTTCGCCTCTGGACTAGACACTGTTCCACCCTAGGAGGGGTACTAGTCTATGTCATCCTACTTCATAGGTGAAATTGAGCCAAGGATCAGGACAGAAGTATAACGATCATTTGCAACAATAGTGAGGTAGTCTGCTAAAGTTATCAATAAGGGCCTAATGGATAGATGAGATCGAATATTGGTCCCTGGCCCTTAATTAGGTTATGTCGTTGCTTCTCTGAACCTATTTTTCTCTGAAATAAAACCAACTGTTTTTTAGATGTTCTGAAGTTCAAGTGAGGTGATATGTGTGAAAACATTCTATGGTCTGCATAATTGGTATTTTGAACAACATGAAACCCATTGCTTTCACATTGCTGTGGTGCACATTTATCTTGCACTGATTTCTTGTGGGGCATTACTATAGAACTGTCTATACTGTGTATGCATACCTAGACTACCTTTCAGTAAGTAATAGTCTTGATTTTGCTCAATCTTTTGGTTTTGGGGGTTGAATTATATTCAGAAGCCTACAAAGAAGAAGTTGCATACACTGGTTTGCCCTTAGTTTACAATCTTATCTCCATTTGCCCTTTTCATCTCAGTGGTTGAGTTTTCAGGATAATGGATGTGCAAATGGGTGATATAAAATTATTGACACTATGAAAAGTCATCCCCAAATATATAGCATCTGTTAATAGCAAGTACAAAACGGTTTACACTCAAATGCAAAGATTAATACTTTAGTAAAATTATTTTAACCATTGTAAATATTCTGTTTAATTCTCATTTCTGTAAAATTTGGTGATTTTTTTAAATAATAGTAAACTTGGTAACTTTGTGTTTTGATATTTGTTCAGTGATGTTGAAAAATACAGTGTTCTTTCAGCTTTATCTGCAATACAATTTTAATACTTTGCTGTCTGTCTTTTTTATGGACAGCTCTGATGATCCACAAGCTCAGAAATACATCACAGAAAGTAAATGCTTAGTGAGTATGGTTCTCTTGTTTTTTACCTATTGTGCAAAGTAGTTGCCAAGATTATGCATATTATGTTTATTTGAAACTTTACATTTCAGTTAAAATTATTTACTATTTTATACCATTATAATATCTTTTCTAGGTCACTGAAAAAAATGGGAAGTTACGGTATGAAATAGATACTGGAGAAGAAACAAAATTTGTTAACCCAGAAGATGTTGCCAGACTGATATTTAGTAAAATGAAAGGTATTGATTGAGCAAAGAGAGAAGAGTTAACTTTAAATGATCTTTTAAAAGCTAACCTTAAAATGATAACGGGGTATTTTGGAATCTTTGGAGATGTAGATTGATTAACTACATTAGCACTAAGGCAGAACTGCGCTGTAGACTTGGTGTGGCCACTTGGTGTAGCTGTGTGTGACCAAGGTTAAATGAATAATCTTCCTGAACTTTGATTTCCCTTACAGTCAGCTCTCCATGTCCATAGGTTCCTCATTTTTTTTAAAATTATTTTTTAGATTTGTTTGCTTATTTAAAAGGATTTACTCCTCATATGGCTGCAATAGCCGCGAAGCTAGGAGTTTGGGGCTTTATTCAGATCTTCCATGTGTAGGCGGGGCCCAAGCACTTCAGCTGTCTGCTGTTGCTTTCCTAGGCACATTAGGAGGGAGCTAGATTAGAAGCGAAGCAGCTGGGACTTGAACATGTGGCACCCATATGGGATGCTGTTGCCAGAGTTACAGGCATCTTGGCTCCTACATGCTCCCGATCTGCAGGTTCGCTAACTGGATGGGAAATACCACTTTCTCCACCCCCCAAAAAATGTGCTTTACATACACACCTTTTTCTCCTCATCATTATTCCTTAAGCAGTATCTCAACCACTTTTATAGAATTATTTTGGGTATTATAAGTAATCTAGAAGTGATTTCTAAAGTATAGGGAAGAATTATGTAGGTTAAATGCAACTAATGATGTCATTTTATATAAGGAACTTGAGCAGGGTATCTGTGAAGTCCTGGAACCAATCTCTCTTCAGCATTGACATATGCTCTGAACAGTAATTCAGGCAGATTAAGTAGACCTATCACCATTCAGACAAATGCTTTAAGTGATATTCTGTGGGACAATTGGGAAATTCTATAGTAGATTATTTATAAGGCTCCCTTCAGCTCTGGAATTATGTTACAAACCTGTTGGCAGGAAAGTGGTCCTTGAATGAACTGATCTAGCATTCTAATGGAGTGTCTTCACACTGAGGCATTAGAAGCCCATTCTCTGTGCAAGCAGTCTAATACGGAAAGTGGTTAAAGCTTGGAAGTTTAAGAGCCATGCTCCTTAGAAAGTACCTAGTTAGTTCATTGTCCACACCACATGCTATCACCATAAAGTGTGTTTTAAAAGCACAGGAGAAGAAAAATGACAGAATGGGCACTCACATGGAGTGGAAAGCTTTTTAGGCAGAAGATGGTTGGCGTAAATTAGACCTGAAAATGTGCCACTTGATATATTTTTCCAGTATCAATTGATTTTATTTTATTTTTTAATATATAGAAACAGCACATTCTGTCTTGGGCTCAGATGCAAATGATGTTGTTGTTACTGTTCCATTTGATTTTGGAGAAAAACAAAAAAAGGCCCTTGGGTAAGTGTTATGGAGCTTTTGTTATTTGCTTAGTTAGGAAAAACACAAAAACCACATCACAGTATAGTAAAAGCTAAAAATGCACTTGAGAATATCTTAGACAGTAAAGTTGTGTTTATAAATAGTTCAGTATGATAATGAGCATTAACATTGCTTTTGTTAAATGTCAAGAGAGCATAAAATTAGCAGTCTTGATTGGAAACATTAATTACCAGGTAAAGTTGATACTTATGAATTACCTTGTTTTACTTTCCTGTAATTAAGGTTTGTATGAGAATTATACAAGAAAATGCTATTTTACAAAATATTTGTGATTGTTTATCTTACAGCTCAACATCTAAACAAAAAAGTTCCATTTAGTTTTTACAGGTCATTCTGTAAATGTAATTGGTAAGCCTGTGTGCCTTTGCTTTACTGAATGAAGTTCCAGCAAGCACTGGTGTTGCTTCTGAAGCAGAAAATTACTGTATTTACTTTTAAAAACTGTAACTAAGGAATTTGGAAACTTCAAAAGTGTTTCTGCAAAATCTCCTGAAATTTGTAAGGATTTTTAGAGAGTTGTTTTTTGGTTTTGTTTTGTTTTTGTTTTTGTTTTTTTTTGCCCCAACATATGTTTGTTGGTTATCTTTACTGTTTAAGCCACACTATATATACAGGTGGAATGTATAAAAGTAAGACAAAGGTTTTTACCTCACAACTACCAGGGCAGTTAGGATAGAATGTGTAAATATTTTGAGTAGGGAAGTTCTACAGAGCTTTAAGGCAGCGCCTCTGCTATGATGTGAGAGGCCAAAAAGACTTCCTGGAAAAAAAGGAACATTTTTGTTTGTACCTATTTTTTTTTTAAGTTTTTATTTCTTTGAAAGGCAGAGAAACTGAGAGAAACAGACTATCAGAGATCTTGTTTACTCCCCAAATGCCTGCAACATATGGGGTTGGGCTGGGCTGAAGTCAGGATCCCAAAATTCCATCTAGGTCTCCTTATGGGTAGCAGAGCCCCAGGTACTTGAGCCCAAGCACCTGTAGCCTTCTAGGATGCCTGGCAGTTGTCCCCAGCCCTCCTCAAGGGGGCTGGCATTGTGGCCCTATGGATTGATCAGCCATATGCTATGCCAGCATTCCATACTGTAGTGCAAGAGTACCCATTCCAGGCCTGGTCTTCCGCTTCCCAGCCCCCTTCCTGCTAATGTGTCTGGGAAGGCAGTAGAAGATGGCCCGTGGATCTGAACTCCTGCTGCTCCTCTGGAGACTTTGATGGATTTCCTGGCTCCTGGATTTAGTCTGGCCCAGCCATGATTATTGCAGACATTTGGATAGTGAATTAGTATTCTTTGACCCTACTTTTCAAATAAATTAAATCAACTTTCAAAAAATGACTTTTTAAAAGCATCTTAACTCATTAATTAATTAGGCATAGTAAAACATGAATGATAGCCAATAATAAAATAATAGAATTATGGCAATATACTTTTGTAAAAGTTATGTTACTGTCCTGTACAGTTACTGTACCTTGACCATAGAGAGCAAAAGTTCAGCTGAGATGGGACTACTGTCATGTGAAGTCCTAATTCCTATTGAAAAACACTTTAGCACAATATTTCTAAGAATTTAGAGTGGAACATGTTGTGATACGAAATTCATTGAAGACACATTGTTCACAGAGAAGCAGCTGGAGCTGCTGGATTTAACGTTTTGCGATTAATACATGAACCTTCTGCAGCCCTTCTTGCTTATGGAATTGGCCAGGACTGCCCTACTGGAAAAAGGTAAAAACTATTTATGGTTTTGGCAGATTTCTATTTCTTTTAATTGCATAAAGCATGTTAGATTATAGTGATTATATCAGTAGGGCTTATTATACAGTGCATGGTTTCCAACCTTTATGGATGAAAGGATACTGAACTCCCTAGAGTTTTTCAGATAGTTGGGGTAAGTGCAATGGAGAACAGAGGAAGAACTTAAAATCTGGAGGGATGATTGAACTGTTTTTGCTTCTGTCGTTCTCATTTGTCCCTTTATTGGATACAAATTGGGAATTTATGGAACTGACCACATCCTAGCACAAAGAAGAGCACAGTTGATGTTACTACCAAGTACAACTACTAGACATATTTAAAGACAATGAATATTTTGTATACACAAGACATTTGACGTAACAGAAATAGGTGAAATGCAGAATGAGGATATCAGGCCGATTTTGATAGTGAAACAATAACATATATTTTCCTGATTTAGCTGTCAATGTTGCTTTAGTAGACCTGATGGTCATGCAACTTTATAGAAATTGATTTAGATATTATTTTAACTTTCTGTTATTGTTTTCACCTTCATATCCTACAGTTGAACTAATGTATGTATACATTACCAGGAAATTATTTTGAAATAAACTATGTAAGTGTGGAAATATAAGAAATTATGAATTTTGATACACAGGAGATAGAAATTTAGCTTCTAGTTTTGTATACATTTTATATCTACAGAACCTGTTTTGCTGTATTCATTGTATTACATTACCTCAGGAATTTCTTTTTCTTGAATTTCTCTATAGTCACAAATCTTTTTTTTTTTTTTTGCTTGTTTGTTTGCTGTTTGGTTTCTGTTGTTGCTGTTGTTATTATTTAAATTTATTGATTTTATTAGTCCATGCTACAGTTCTATAGGTACAAATCCCTTCTTGATTTACTCTTCAAAATGTTTTGAACTCATGATTTGGAAGAATAGTTTTTCCAGCAAAACTAAGTGGAAAAAGGACTTATACTTGAGTAGAGAAGTGATTACATTGCCCATAGTCATTTGGTAATAAATACAGGCTCTAGGCTGATTTAAGTCACAGTAACTATAGACACTCACTCATTTGATATTTCCAATTTCCTCATTTGTAATAAAAAAATTAAATTCTAATGTTCAACCTAGCTTTAGAATGTTATGATTCCATGACAACACATTTATGTTATCTTTCTTTTGAAGCAATATTTTGGTGTTTAAGCTTGGAGGAACATCCTTATCTCTCAGTATTATGGAAGTTAACAGTGGAATGTATCGAGTTCTTTCGACAAATACTGATGATAACATTGGTGGTGCACATTTCACAGAAACCTTAGCACAATATCTAGCTTCTGAGTTCCAGAGGTGAGTATTAATGGCCTGGATACACATTGTGGTTAAGGTTTCTTTTCAAATTTGTTCCTAATTTATTTCATATTAACCTACTACAAAGGAAGATGTAGTCTTTCTGTTGCTTAGGGACTAGCATTTTCATCTCTGGAGTTACAGTATCCTCAAGCAGTAGCTTAGATTTTTCTAGTTAGTGTTAAGGGACCACCAAATGCTGAACTGCTTAAACTTGGGTCTCAAGTTTGTTTTCTTAATTCATTCCGTGCTACTCTGTTATCTTAATAAAGGATGTTATAGACACAGATGCCTCCCTGCTTTCTAAACAGTTTTTAAAACTTTAGATTATACTATATTAAATTCCAGTGAGTTCTTGTCTTACATCTAATTAGAAGTTTACCATAAGGAATATTTTAATATTATTATATATAATTACTATACTTATAATTCTGTTTGCACATTATCAATAATCAATTGTACAAGGCTTGTATTTTATTCTAAAAAAATCTTATTAAAATAGTATTTTCACCATTGGTTTAGAAAAGTAGTGCTTTCCCACTTATATAATAAAGACGTATAGTGCTATTTTTATAGAGGTATGGTTTAAACAAAGTCATTGATCACTAGTTTGCAGCCAGTTTTAAAAATGAACGGATTGGAGATAGAGGAACTGTAATTTTGCTTATTTTGTATGTGTGAAGTTTCTTAGAAGAAGCTTTTTATAATTTTTTTTAATGTTTAAAGATGAATCTTTTAACATCATAAAGAGAAATAGGAGATTTTTGCTCACTTTTATAAATCTTCTTCCTCTGTCTCAGTTGATAAAAATATGGTTATCTATTTTACTTAAGCTATCACCTATGAATATGGCTCCCTCATACAATTCTGATTGTTAAATAATAAATTAGTATTATTATGTTAAAGATTTATTTATTTTTACTGGAAAGGCAGATATACAGGGAGAAGGATATACAGAGAATGATCTTTCATCTGCTGATTCACTCCTTTAGTGGCCACAACTGCTAAAGCTGAGCTGAACTGATCTGAAGCCAGGAGCTTCTTCCAGGTCTCCCATTTGGGTGCAGGGTCCCAAGGCTTTGGGTCATCCTCCATTGCTTTCCCTGGCCACAAGCAGGGAGCTGGATGGGAAGTGGAGCATTTGGGATACAAACTAGTGCCCATATGGGATCCCAGCATATGCAAGAGGAAGATAGCCACTATGCCATCGTGCCAAGCCCTGTTCATTTATTTGTTTTTGAGATCTTTCTATTAATTGCAGAATATGTTATTAGGATAATTTGAAGAAATTGGAAACTGGTTACTAAAATTTGTATATAGTGTTGATTCATGTATCTGTTATTGTTCTAATGGGAATTGTCTAGATTTTAATTACAACAAGGTCTAAATGACCTAGTAATTTTACATTTAAAATGTTATATTTTTAATTTAGATCCTTCAAACATGATGTGAGAAGAAATGCCCGTGCCATGATGAAATTGATGAACAGTGCTGAAATTGCAAAACATTCTTTGTCAACCTTGGGAAGTGCTAATTGTTTCCTCGACTCCTTATATGAAGGTCAAGATTTTGATTGCAATGTGTCCAGGTAAAACTGAAGGCTTTAAAAGGCTTAAACAATTCTAAGAGCATTGTTATTCAGGCACCATTTTTCTCATCTTAAGCCTGTTTTTTGTTTTTGTTTTTTCACTTGATTGAGATTTCTTAGCCATCTGTCTATAAATGGGAACTTTACTGTCTTAATTTTGAGGTCCTCGTTTTATCAGACTAAACAGCTATTCCCCTTATTTTTACAATAGTTTTCTTAAGATAATATCGCCATTATCACAAAAATTTCAAGTGTGAAAGCTGTTTTGATATTTGTGGATAACACAGATAAGTTTTAAAATCACTTATCTACATTTAAGACCTTCAGAACCAAATTAAGGAATGCATTTTTCATGAACATAAATCTTTCTTAAAATGGTATTATATGCCTGCATTTAAGCTTCACAAACAGTGTGAAAGATATAAACTTATATGGAACACATTCTTAGACCAGAGGAAAATAGTAAGACATAATTTTTAAAGCTTTTAATATAGTAAAAAATTTCAAATGAGATTTTTAGGGTCAGTAGGTTTCCTTTGAGAATGTCATACATTAGATACGTTTTCTTAAATGTGTTTGAAAGCTTATAAAAACACTGTGGACAAGGAAGACTTCTATCTGAATTTGACCTTAAATGTCTTTATGTACACTCAGAGATCAATAACATGGACTTCTTTCTCTGCAAGATGTTTTACTGCTGTTAGTTAATGCCTTGTTCTTATCAATTTATCATTCAAAAGATTATCATTAAACTTTGGCATTACTATTCGCAAAAAAAAATAAGTTTTTTGAAATTAAACCTTTTCTCTCTCTTCTGTGTGTGTGTTTGTGTGTATATGTAGAGCAAGGTTTGAACTTCTTTGTTCTCCACTTTTTAATAAATGTATAGAAGCCATCAGAGAACTCTTAGATCGAAGTGGATTTACAGCAGATGATATCAACAAGGTAACACTTTAATAGTTTTCATCATTTTAGCAATTGTTTCAGATTTCAAATTTAGGAAATAGCTCTAGGTATTGAAAGACTATTTTACACATTTAAGTGTCTTCTGAATTTGTGTTAGTAAAGAAAATTGTTTCAGTGAATCTGGGATGCACACACAGCATTTGCTCCCATTGGGAGTGAATCAGCAGTTAGGGTTTTCCTGTTAGTGTGTGCCCTCCTCCTCTCTCTGTGCTTCTCAAATAGATTAGTAAGTCAATAAATAAATAAATCAGGAAAGAGAGGAAAAAGTAAGAAAGAAAACAGTCTTTTTCATTGATTACTAGGGTTTTTTTATTTTTAAATGTTTACTGTATGTGCATATTCATTTTCCTTGCCTATGAATCATTTATTTCTTAATATTTTTAAACATGTGCAAAGTGAATGTAGTGAGAATATTAATGTGATGTTTCAAAATATTTAAATAGGGGGAGAACCTTTAACGTGCAGCAGGTTGGAGTGAGCATCCTCCATGTTCCTCAGTGTAGAGAGGACTTAGATTACACATTGATCTTTATTTAAACAGTCATTCTAGGCACTGTGAGATGCTATGGAGCAGGAAGCTTCTTGCCCTCTAAAAACTATCCCAATTCTGCCAAAGGAGAGGAGCTCAGTGCTGGCCCTGGTCTACTCCTGGGAGGTGACAACATTGTTTTTGTCTAAATTATGTAATGCAAATATTTAAAATATTTTTCCTAATACTTTTTGAAATTTTCTCTATTCTGAATGGTCAAGTATTGTGGGTCCCCATTTTTTTTTTTCTGTCATCCAACTTAAGCTGTTTAAAGGCTTTTGGTCTCACTGGGAGTCAGTTGAAGTATAGAGGCATCCATGGCTTACCAGTATACTGACCTGAGACTAGTTCAATAAAAGTACACAGCTTAAAACAAGAAAGAAAGAAAGTAAACACGTGTCAGTAATGCAAGAGCACTGTCTTATGATGCTGGTGACCCTGTGGGGTGAGGCGTGGAAAAGCTTCTAAGTGGAAATGATTTTCTTCTAATATTTTTTTCTCATTTCTGTTTTGTACTTGATTGTTATGATCAGAACCAAAATATCTTGCTGATATGGGCCTTCCTTTGCTCTTTTTATTAAGGAAACATATTAGGCTTTTGCCAACAACCGTGATTACTGATAATTGATTTAAAATGTGGTGTTTATATTATATTATATTGAGACAACAGTTCCTGTTTTTTAAGGGCATTTTAAATGATATAAGTGTTGGGTTTTTACAAATGTAATTTTGGATACCAGTGAAATGTGCTTATGGTTTTCTTATTCTTATGGTTTTCTTATTCTTATGGTTTTCTTTACATTTTCTTTAAAATCATATAAGAAATCAGTATTAATTTCTTAATAGGGAATTTTCATTTTCCTAGGGTAGACCTTACTTGATTTTACCTATGAATTATTTTATTATTCAAATTTCTGTGATTTATGCTAGTTTTGCTCATTTCAGGCTTTTCTACATTACCTGTATTGTCTACATTGAAAGAACTCTGTTGATACTTATTACTTAGAAGGGAATTTTGTATTGATCTGAAAAAAGCACATAACTTGCTTGCTTCTGGCCATTCACACATCCCTGGGAGAATGAGCTGTCAGTGGCTTCTCATTGGACCAGGGCTTTGTACCAGGTGTGCATGTGATTGAGTCATGTGAACAAAGGCGTTTGTTGTAAGTGGAGAGCAGCAGTCCTGTCCCCTAACCCGGGCTCAGTTTCTTCTAATGTCTCCTCTCTCACCCCTACTCTTCCTCTCCCACATGGAAAAACTCATGAGATCACACGAAAATGGGATTTAATCCATTTGATTCAAGTGCTTAAACTTAACTAGAGTGCTAAAGTATTGCAATGCATCTGATTCAGTTCTTTAAAACAATACCTTCTGAACTAAAACATCTAGTATTTCTTGATCTGTTTTCAAAGTACCAAAATCATGCATGCTATCTTCAGGAAATAGACTGGTGCTAACTTCCTTTTCTTTTTAGCTGGGGGCAGGGTCAGGAAGAGGTCCCACATGCTGTGATCATAGGACATGAAAGTGACTAAAATTGTTGAGTGCAAGAAAAAACTGCCAGAAAATATCAAGGTGAACTGGATGTAAATGTGTAGAAGTATAGATAATGCTGGAGACTTTAAGGTCTATTTTAAATTCCAAGTTTAAAAATACAAATTGGAGCAACTGCCACATGCAATGCCCGTATTCCATATCAGGGTGCCATTTATTCCCCTGGCTGCTCCATTTCCAATCCAGTTTCCTCTGGAAATACAGTGGAAGATGGCCCAAGTGCTTGGGTCCCTACCTGCCAGTATAGGAGACCTAAATGGAGTTTTTAACTCCTGGCTTTAGCCTGCCCAGCCCTGATTGTAGCAGATATTTGGAGAGTGAAGTAGTAGGTGGAAAATGTTTCTGTCTCTCCCTCTTTATCTCTCTGCCTTTCAAATACACAAATGAACATATTTTTTAAAACGCAAATTGACATATAAATACTTAATTATTAATGCTTTCACAACGAATTTCTCCTTCAAATTTGGAACCTGAAACACCTTTCTTCTGCTCCATAATGTCAGTGTCCGGTCTGAGGGTTTGAGTTGTTCAATCCAAAATCCAGCCTTAAATCCTTTTACTAGAAATAGTGTTTCAGAGTAAGTTCTTTTAGATGAGAGTAGAACCTTTGCACAGAGGGTTTTTTAAGCATTTGTTTATATAATTGCTTCAAAGATATACATATCATTCTGAAATAAATATTCTCCATAATTATGGAAATGTAAGTTTTCACTTGAAGGACTATAAATTGAGTACAGAATAGGAAAGTGTGCCAAATCTCTTGCCAAAAAATTAATTTCTCCAGGAATAAGCAGATCAAATTTACTGTGTGTGTGACTATGAGAATACTTCTGTGGAGACGGAGCAATCCTCATTTTGATGGAGTTCCCATAGACTATAAAAATATCAGGAAAACAGCACTTGATCCTGTCTTGCCTGAGCTATGCATGATAGGAAAGAGTCAGTTTCTTTCTATACTTAAAAAATACACTGGCATATACAGCTCAATTTCTACTCCCGAATTAAGCTGCCTAGAAGTCGTGCAGTGCTATGGATTTCCCCATACCATGAGGTGAAGTATTGTATGGACTGCTGTGCAAACCACTGCTGATAAATTAAACCAGTGCTGGTAACTTAATTATGTTTATTCAATATGTATACACCTTTTTCTTTACATATTGATAGGAATGTTCACTACTATTTATTTTTTCCTGAGACTTATTATCACCTTTATTATTATTTTATCATTCTACTTAATTGAGAAGTGAGTTTCAGAGTTTAAATAGTTTCACACTCAGATTTCCTGTAAGACAAGCAAGATTACCAAAGTGATTGGAAATGGTGAGTGACCACTACTAGGCAGTGTGAGTGCCTGGGGGGTAGTTCTGGGCCCACCTTGACAGACAGGAGCCATGCTCGTCCAAAAGGAGCAGCTACTGTCCATCTGCCAAATGCTGTCGTTGAGGGAGGCAGGCCAGTGCTGGGGAGTCTTTTACCTTCTAAGAGACTCTCAAAATGTGAATTTTATAGTAAAAATAAGTTAGCTTTAAGATGATAGTAACTAAAACACTATTAGAGAGAAAACATATCATTCCTGATATAATTTACAAATTACTACTTTGTGTTGTGTGAACCATAAGGTTTTGTTAGTATTTGTATTTTTCTTTGTTGTTCCCTGTATTGTCAAATGCTTATGGAATTAATTTTATAAATATATGTTTATTTCAGACTTTGCCCAGGGCCTGCCTACTTTTAAAGAATCCTTCCATTTATATTCTTCATGCCTTCACCTGTAGATTAATGCGGTGTTCCTGTTTCACAAAGAATGTTAAAGTGGTCTCATTTTTCATCAGCTTCTCCCCGACAAGAAAGCTTATGAAGCGATTAGTTGATTCAGTATTTTTTTTTGTAAATTCAATATTCTGTATACTTGTTGAGTCATATGCACGGAGTGAATGAATCAATGAGGAACTTAGGGGGATGTTGTAGGACTGATTTCATATGGAATTCTTTAGAGAGCAGAGGAGCCAGTTGGATAATAAAACAGTCTTTGCTCAAAAAACCCAATATTCTTCCATAACAAGGGCAAAAAAATAATGTGGTATTATTTTCACATAGAGAAATTCACAAAATGCCCTAATATTTACTTAAACATTACTTGCAGAAAAATGTTAACAGTGTACTAATGTATTTCCTATTCAAATGAATAGCTTGTTGTAACTGCATATGTATAGTATTAATCATGAACCATTATTTAGAGAACATATCTTCCAGTATGTGGTAAAATTTCTTCATTTTAAATTTTGTTGTGAGTAAAGATTATGTTAAATATGGTATAATATATATGTTAAATATCTGTGTTCTTATATTGCTGTGTTAAATGTAATAATATATTTTACTATTACACATAATAAAGGTGATCCAGCTTATTGCATTTAATTTTTAGAAATAACCATTCTAAACAGAAAAACTGAAGCTTATTTTTATTTTCTAGGTTGTCCTTTGTGGAGGGTCCTCTCGAATCCCAAAACTACAGCAACTGATTAAAGATGTTTTCCCAGCCGTTGAGCTTCTGAATGCCATTCCTCCTGATGAGGTCATCCCTATTGGTGCAGCTATAGAAGCAGGAATCCTTATTGGGAAAGAAAACGTATCAGTGGAAGACTCTCTAATGATAGAGTGTTCAGCAAAAAATATTTTAGTTAAGGTATGTTTCACTTTACTTGCACATAAAAATAAAACAAATTAGTCACCGTACATAGCAAGACTTTACAATGAAATTTTACTGGCAAAGAGTTATAATTTTAATAAAATTAGATCATATTTAGCTAACAAGTAACTTTCTTAGGAAAATGACATTTGATGAAATAAAAACTACTTTAAAAGCTTCCAATAGAGGGAACATGCATTCAATATATTTTTAAGTGAAGAGATAAGATTATGTGACATTATGTTTTCTCCTCTGCCTAGATTCCAGATTATCATCAAGAAATAATATTTCATTTATAATAACAGTGATAGGATTTTATAGTAGGAGCTTTTAAATTGTAATGGCAAATATTCAAGCATATGCATCTTTTTTTCCTTCTTCCTAGGGAGTGGATGAATCGGGAGCCAACAGGTTCACAGTACTGTTTCCATCAGGGACCCCTTTACCAGCCAGAAGGCAACACACATTACAAGCCCCAGGAAGCATATCTTCAGTGTGCCTTGAACTCTATGAGTCTGAGGGGATGAACTCTGCAAAAGAGGAAACCAAATTTGCACAGGTGAATATATACATTGTGAAACTGCTTAGCTTTTCTTTCTGGATTTGGTTCAGTTTAATTTCTCAATATATGAGTATACCTAACATTTTTATGAATAAATTGCTTCTATTTTGTTTGAAAGTCGGAAGAAATAAACAAGTTTAATTTGAAAGAGTGGTGGGAATATAAAAATGAAATATAGTTTGTATTTTTGTGAAGATTTATTTGTTTATTAGTTTACTTGTAAGGTAGAATAAGAGAGAGAAAATTGCTGTGGAGAGAGAGAGAGAGAATCTTCCAACTGCTGATTCAGTCTCCAAGTGGTCACAACAGCAAGGGCTGGGCCACACAGCAGCTTGAGCCTAGTCTCCAGGTTGGTGGCAGGGGCCCAAGTAAGCATTGGATCATCATCTGTCCTCCCAGTGCAATAGCAGAACACTAGGTAAGAAGTAGAAGAGCTAGGACTCAGACTCGCACTCAGATATATGATGCTGGCAGTCATAAGTGGCAGTTTAACCCCCCAAGACACAAAGTCAGGCCCTGTATTTGGTTTTCATCTTTATTATTTCCAACTGCTTGAAAGAGTAGCTGAGAAAGAACACTCTCCCATCTACTTGTTCACCAAATGGCCACAACAGCCATGGGTGGATCAGGCAGAAGCCAAGAGCCTAGAACTCCATCCTGGTCCTCCAGATGGATGCAAGGGCCCATATACTTGAGTATTATCTATTGCTTTCCAGGATGCATTAGCAAGGAGCTGTATCTGTAATGCAGTAGCCAGGATTCAAATAGCATTGCAATATGGAATGCTGGGTCTGAAGCAGTGGCTTAATACTATGCCACAAGACTAGCCCACAATTTGTATTTTACACTTGTCTGCTATGCTCTTGTCCTACCTTGGTAATTGGAAGGGGAACAGGAAAGTAGCATTGTTCTCATTTGCTGAACACCAGGTGATGTACATGACAGTTTATAAACATTATCTCAGAATACTGTGAAGGAGGATTTTATGTGCATTAGATGATTAAGAAACTAGCTTGTTGTAAATAGCCTGTTCTTTTCCTTGCCAAGCTAAGATTTCTCCTTAGTTTGCTGTGTCTGTGTTTTCCATTCTGCCATGTTACTCCTGATAAGATTTTACTTTTTCAGAATACTACATGCATATTTCTGTACCATCTCGTGTATTCTTTACAAAGAGAAAGTAGATAAGGCTATCTGATTTACTTAGAAAAATATTGAAAAACCCCAGCTACAGTAGAGTGCACATACATAGGTTAAACTGCCATCAAAATGCTGGTTGTAGTACCTCATCCACCTCCCAGCTGATATATCTGGGTGGCAGCAGACAGGTGATGGCCATGTACTTGGGCTCCTACATGTAGAGTCCATTGTGGAGCTTCTTATTCCTAGGGCCTGACCGACCCTTAGCTGTTGCAGGAATTTGGTGAGTGAATCCGTGGATGGAAGGATTCTCACCTCTATGTATCTCCTGCCTCTCTCTCTTCCTCCAGTTACTTTGCCTTCCATTTAAACACTTTAAAGATGCATATAGACACTAGAACTACAGAATACTTCCCTCTGCTGGTTTGTTCCTCAAATGGCCACAGTGACTGAAACTGGGCCTGGCTGAAGCCAGAACCTATGAACTCCATCCAGTCTTTCATGTGGGTGCAGGGACCCAAGTGCTTTGGCCATTCTCTGCTGCCTTTCCAGGTTTATTAGAGAGATGGATCAGAAGAGCAGCAGCTAGAACTCACATAGGATGAGCCAGTGCCTACATAGGATGCTGATATTGCAGGCAGTGGCTTAACCCTCTGCCACAATGCTAGCCCTTATATTGAACGTTTTATACAATGTAAGAACTGAATGTGAATTCACTTTTATTGTAAAATAAAACAGATGTAGATAACAAAAGAGACTGTATAATATGATTGGTTGTGACATTGTGAGACTTCCCATCCAGCCCCCTGCTTGTGACTTGGAAAAACAGTCGAGGACGGCCCAAAGCCTGTGGGAGGCCCAAAGCCTGTGGGCGGCCCAAAGCCTGAACCTGTGGGAGACCTGGAGGAGGCTCCAGGTTCCTGGCTTCAGATTGGTTCAGCTCAGGCCGTTGCAGCCACTTGGGGAGTGAACCATCACACAGAAGATCTTCCTCTCTCTCTCTTCTCTCTGTATATCTGACTTTGCAATGATAATAAAATAAATTAAAAAAAAATTTTTTTTAACTCACCTTAAAAAAAATGTAGGAGAAATGAAACCTGCCCTCCGTAAGTTTTGTTTCAGGATAAATAGGATCTGGGGGTTTTTTGTGTGTGTGATAATCATGCTCATGAATTAATATGGCAAAGCACTGAATCATCTTATTATTTCTGTATCAACAGGTTGTACTCCAGGATTTAGATAAAAAAGAGAATGGATTACGTGATATATTAGCTGTTCTTACTATGAAAAGGTACAGAATTATCTTATTTCTAATGCAAATTAAATATACTTTGAGACATGACTTTTTTGATTACTGATAATTTACTTAAATTTACTTAATTTACTTTTTTGATTACTGATAATTTACTTAAAACTTAGGATTTTATTGATTTACATTTTTTTTCCTGAAATATATAACACTTTACAAAGGAAGGGATATTCTAATGCTTTGCACTTTGAATGTTTTATGAATTCTTTGTTTTTATTGTGGCCAACTTAAATTACCCATACTCATTTAAGATGTAATTTTTGTCAGTTTTTAGTAACTTTAATTAATTTACATAATTAAAGCTATTTGCTCTATGAAAAGGTAAGTTTGTTATATAATAATTCTAGAAAAATCTTGTTTTAAATAACTTGGCAATGAAATCCAGCTATTACCATTTTCCCAACCATAAGCCTTCCATACAACTGTGTGTTGCAGTAAATTCTTTCCAGATTAACACTAGGGATAACGTGTTCCATAAATTACACTTACCAAGAGAATTGAATGCATCAGGTTGGATTTGCCTTGATCTGGGCTGGAACCCAACATGATGAGGTTGAATGAAGTTCTAAGATGGTTATCATGGTATTTCATAGACTACACACTGCTCTTGCAGTGGTCTAGGATGTTTCTAACAAGTTAGCTAAACATAGCCAAGACAATAAATTTTAAGGCACTTAGATTGTGTTTATTCTTTATCTTAATATTCGTCTTTTAAAAGTTAAAATTAGTTATGTTTACTCAAAGTCCCCTAAGTAATTTCTCAAGGATTTTCTGTTTTTATAAACTAAATTTTGAAATGCTCTTAATCTTGTTTGTTTAGGGATGGATCTTTACATATTACTTGCACAGATCAAGAGACTGGAAAATGTGAAGCAATCACCATTGAGGTGGCATCTTAATGAGACCAAGACTTTTTTAGAACTAGGATATCAGCATACCCTGATTTTGTGTATAAGTGGTGTTTGTATTAAAATATTTTTTTCAATGAATTATCTAACTTGTTTCTATTAAACTACAATATATTGATAAGCATAGTAACCTTGTTTTGTTTTCATTAGATGAAACACTACTAATGGGAAATATAAAGCCTTTTTCAGTCATAAGTTGCTTAGAATTAAATTGAGCTTATTGAAGGAAATTTTGCATGACATTTTCAAAAATTATTTGCTAATTGCCAATAAAAATATTTGATAGGTTCTTGTTATATAATTAAAACCTTGACATTAATTGAAAAAATGCAGAAACATAAGTAATGTACCTTTTTTTTTTTTAAGATTTATTTATTCATTGGAAAGTCAGATATACAGAGAGGAGGAGAGACAGAGAGGAAGATCTTCCATCCAGTGATTCACTCCCCAAGTGAGCGCAATAGCCGGTGCTATGCCGATCTGAAGCCAGGATCCAGGAACTTCTTCTGGGTCTCCCACACGGGTGCAGGGTCCCAAAGCTTTGGGCTGTCCTCAACTGCTTTCCCAGGCCACAATCAGGGAGCTGGATGGGAAGTGGAGCTGCTGGGATTAGAACCGGCGCCCACATGGGATCCTGGTGCATTCAAGGCGAGGACTTTAGCCGCTAGGCCACACTGCCAGGCCCTGTACCTTATTTTTTAAAAAAACTAAAAGGGAACTGGTAAGTTCTCAGTGTGTGTGTGTGTATACACTTAGAAGTCTCTAGAAGGCTGAAGGTCAGACGCTTAAACTGGCTTCTTTTATGGAGGGAAGTACAGGAATGGATTTTTACCTTTTTTATTTTCAGTTTAGTTGGTTTTTTCTTCCTTCTATGAGTGTTTTCATTTTGAAGCTTTTTCCATTTTAAGACAAGCATGACCACATTGTATTCATTAGGGAACATTTGCTACCACTGAGACACCTGGTCTCCCGGAAGGAGCTTCCATTCACTTGAAGAGGAAATGTTTACTTGGCAGATAAAAAAAACAGTGTAATTTTTAAAAAATCTGCTGAAAACTTATGGATTTTGTTTTGAAAACTTATTAAATTTGATTTTCATGGATATAGGTCATAGTTCTCTTCTAATGCTTTCTTTTTTTTAAGATTTATTTATTTTTATTGGAAAGGTGGATATACAGAGAGGAGGAGGAGAGACAGAGAGGAAGATCTTCCGTCCGATGATTCATTCCCCAAGCGGCTGCAACAGCTGGAGCTGAGCCAGTCCAAAGCCAGGAGCCAGGAGCTCTTCCGGGTCTCCCACGCAGGTGCAGGGTCCCAAGGCTTTGGGCCGTCCTTGACTGCTTTCCCAGGCCACAAGCAGGGAGCTGGATGGGAACCAGGGATGCCAGGATTGGAACCGGCACCCATATGGGATCCCGGCGTGTTCAGGGCAAGGACTTTAAGCATTATGCTATTGCGCTGGGCCCTCTAATGCTCTCTAAAAATACAGAACCCAATCTGAAAAGTTTTGCTTGGTTATTTGGCATTAAATCATTGACAGAGCCACAAAGTCAAGCAAGTCTGTAAGTACAGAAGCCGCCCACTGAGGTATACTCTTGGAACTGACTGCTTCTTATGATCTTTTCTAAAGTCATATTAAAATTAAAAGTAAAATATGTACAAAAATTTCTAAGTCTTTTCAATAATACTTTGGAAAACTGCATGAAGATTCTATTTTGTGGATATTATTTTCTTTTAAAAATAGATCATGAGTTGGCAAACTATCCCATAACTATTTCTATAAATAAAGTTTTACTAAAACATGGCCATATTCAGTTGTTACATATATTATTTATAGCTCTTTTACATTATACAGGCAGAGGTGAGTAGCTGCAGTAGATACTACATGGCCCACTTAAAGGAAAACGATGGGGAATGGGCTTTGTGGCATAGCTGTGATGATTCCCACATAGAATGCTTTTGTGCCATATGGGAGTGCCTGGGTTCCAGTACCTGCTTTGCTTCCCATCAGCTTCTTGCTTATTCACACTTATACACACCTTGGGAGTCAGAAGGTGATGGTTCAAGAACCTGGGTCACTTCAACCACCCTGAGTGCCTGTCTGGCCTCCTAACTTCCGAGTTGTTGTGGGCATTTTGGGTGTGGACCAGGGGATAGGAGCCTCTCTTTTCATTGTTGCTCTCTGGTAAATAAATAAAATTTCTCAACTTTGAAGTAGATTATTCAAATTTATAAATCAAAGGACCTAATTTAAAAGCCTACTTTTCCATATTCATGTGATAACATACTTATTTGCTTATTTTCTCTACTAGATTAAGTATTCACAGAGCAGTTAGTCTTCATTATCATTTGTCTCAGCCCCGGAACAGTACCTGAGCATATTCAGTGCTTCATAAATGTCCGTCAAATAAATGACTTACATGGAAAAGAAGTCATATTAATACCTAGTAGTACAATGGCCAGTAACTACATTTTTGGCATATTTTGTAGTTTGCTTAGAAATACAACAAAGAAAAAAAGGCTATCACTAATTGTGACTGTATTAGTCAGCCTTACATATTTTTTTCCTGTAGATCTAATGAAATTTAAGACTGTCATTAAATACTATGTTGCTTCATGAAATACTTCAAAATTTTCTTTCTAAATTATTTTGGTTTTTGTTTTTGTTTTAAAAGTTAAATTACATTAACTTTTCCTATTTATAAAAATTATACATGTTCATTTTGAGGTTAAAAAAATTTTAATATCAAAAAATCCTTGGGGCCAGCATCATGACATAGAAGATTAAACTGCCACCTGTGACACCAACCAGCATCCCATGGGTGCCAGTTTGCTGGCTACTGCACTTCCTATCCAACTTCCTACTGATAAACCTGGAAGAGCATTAGGAGACAGTCTGAATTCTTGGGCCCCTGAACCCAAATTGGAGACCTCGATAAAGCTTTGTCCTGTTGTAGCCATGTGGAGAGTGAACCAGAAGATGGAAGGTCTCTCTGTAACTCTGCTTCTCAAATATGTAAATAAATCTTAAAAAAAAAAAGCTATATTCTACTACTCAGAGTAGTAACTGTTTAAACTTGAACACTTGATAATTTTTATACATTTTTAGGTTGAAAATTTTAAGTTTTTGCATGTAGACATTTACATACTGCATTTATATTAGTATAAAAATATTCATGATAATGATCATAATGTGGGGGAAAGAAGGATATATTATACATGGTATGATTCAATGAATCAGAATTTATAACTATGATATGATATCTACATATTTGTTATTCTGTATATATTAACTTTCTCAAATAAGAGAAAATGTGATGTCTGCCTTTTTGGGAATGGCTTATTTCACATCGCACAGTGATCTCCAGTTCCATACATTTTATTGTTAGTATCAGGAATTATTCTTTTTTAAGCTGATAATTCATCTCATACACACACACTCACATATATCAAGGTTTTTTCTCCAGTGTTTTGGAGTGGCTGTGAATGTGGCAGTGCAGTTATCTCTCATATGCTGAGTTCATTTGCTTTGGAATTATTCCTAAGAGTAGGATACCTGGACCATATGGTAGTTCCATTTTCAGTTTTCTGAAAAATTTCCATACTGTTTTTTTTATGGTTGCACCAATTTGCATTCCCATGAACAATGCAGTAGAGTACCCTTTTACCCACAACTTCATCAGCATTGTTTTTTATAATGGCCATTTGTGGTTTTGGTTTTTAGCCATTCTAGTTGATAGCATGTTGTGGTTTTCACTTGCATTTTCCTTGATGGCTAGCAACCCTGAGCATTTCTTTGTGTTGGCAATTTGTATTTCATCCTTTGAAAAATGCCTTTTTGTATCCTTTTTTTTTTTAGCTTGCAAAGTAAGATTTATTTAAGAAAGGGGGAAAAGCAGCTCCTGCCATAGTAGCAGGAGGGAGAATCCACAAAAGGAAAAAAGCAAAAAAAAACCCCTGAGAAAATGGTGGAGATGGGGTCTCTCATACACCATCTCAGGGGTGTCACTCACAGGACAAAGGGAAGAAAAAACAGAAAAGTCATTCGCAGATGTAACTGGATTGTTTTCTTGAGTGTCTTGAGCTTATATTCTGGATGTTAATCCTTTATAAGATGTACAATTTGCAAAAGCTTTGCTCTGTTCTGTTGATTATCTCTTGACTTTGTTTCCTTTGCTGTGAAGAAGCTTCTCAACTTAATGTAATCCTGTTTGCTGGTTTTGCTTTTCTTTCTTGTGCTTCTGCGGTGCTGTCCAGGAAGTCCGCCTAGGCCAGTGTCTTGCAGCATTTCCCTTATGTTTTCCTTTAGTAATTTGATGGTTTAAGGTCTTCACTTTAGATCCTTGATTCACTTTTAGTTCAATTTTTTATAGGTTGTAAGGTAAGGGTCTTTTTTCAGATGTATGTATATAGAAATCCAATTTTCTCAACATCATTTGTTGAATAAGACTGCCCTTTCTCTAGGGAATGATTTTAGCTCATTTGTCAATGATTAGTTGGTTTTGGATCTGAGGATTTATTGCCGGGATTTCTATTCTGTTAGTCTATATATCTACTTTATGCCAACAGTATGCTATTGGATTACAAACAATCCTTTAGTGTCCATTAATCTGGTTTTATAATCCCTCTGGCTTTTGTGTGAAATTGCTTTGGATATGCAGGGTGTTTTGTGTTTCCATATGAATTTTTTCTTTTCTTGTTCGGTGAAGAAACTCCTTGGAATGTGATTGGGATTTGATTGAATCTGCAAGTTATTTTGGGTCATATGGACATTTTGATGTGAATTCTTCCAATGCAAAAATAGGGAAGATTTCTCCTTTTTCATGTCTATTTCTTCTATTACTTTTTTCTAAATTTTATGATAGAGATCTTCCATATCCCTGGTTACACTTATCCCAAGCAATTAAACATTTTTTGTAATAGTGTTACTAGTGGACTAGTTTTTTTTTTTTTTTTTTTTTTTTTTTGCTTTGTAAAGATTTACTTTTATTTTTATTGGAAAGGCAGACTTATAGAGAGAAGACTTGGAGAGAAAGATCTTACATCTGCTATTTTTAGTGTGATTATATGTAATACAGTAATTATATGTATGTTCCATATTCCCCACTGGCCATA